TTGTGGTTTTCACATCAGTATATCAATTTGTGCAAAGTAATGATAAAGAAAAGGGTAACGTGGACTCTCTAATTAGTTAAAAAAAAGGGTCATGGTTATAATCGAAGTGATGGTAAAGTAATAGCACATGATGTCTAATTTGCGACTGAAACACCATATGCGTTGTTGCATTGACACCCAACCTCATCTCTTGTACTATCACACGAGTCGAGTCATGGTGGGTAGTCTTGGAAGGAATGGAGATGGAATGAATAACGAGGATCGCGAAACTTCAAACTAAGTTGGATTATCATATGGTCTTGAGTGTTCACAAGATCTATACAAATAATGAACATCATAACCATATTGTTGTCATCAAAACTAGGAGTTATTAGGTTATGATTCGAAACTTTCACTTTCACATACATGAAGAGAATGCAATCATGCTACGGATATCTTGCAAATAACGAGCACTCTACTAGTTTTGGTTAACATTTTATTGATTGTGGCTATCTAAAGTTGGATCAACTTATGTAATAGATAAGAGTTAGGGTGCTTAGTAAATAGTAAACATCTCATTTTCGACCCAAAAAAAGGACATGGTGCTTTCAGGTGATGTAAGTTGTAATTAGATTGAGTATATGAGTTCGATGAGTAACCATTTGTATAGTTGAGACAGTTGATGGTTATCATCAACTTCCTCTTTTCTTTTTCTTTTAGTTTTGGAATCTAATCTAAAGAATCTAAAGAATACACTTTCCCGTAAAAGGCATCACCATTTCAAATTTACTCTTTCCTTATTCTTCCACGTCAGCAGCTTGATTCAGCCAATCACAATTCGTTACAAAAAAAATATCTTACCCATCTTAAACAACTCCCGTAAAAGATGGGACAAAACCGTTTATTTATCTCGCAATTATCTCTATGGTGGCATTTTTTCTCTCTCCCTTAATTATCTCTACGGGGAAAAAACGGAATGATTGTCCCTCTTGCTCTTTTTTAGACGCCCATTAAACTACAATTGTTCTATATCTTCGCTGGCATCGGCGGTAAAAACTGCCCCTTTCGACCACACACAAAACCCTAGCGCCAAGGTATGTCACTATCTGGTCCTAAGCACGCCACTCAGTTGAAAACATCATATTCCTCTAATAAAGATTACTACGATCGCAGCGGACACACGAACTATGGCAGTTTTCCGCCGAGACAACCCAGTCGCCTCGCGGGATTACGAGGACCCCACCGATCCCCAAGGTTCGATGTTTGTGTTTCTGTAGGTCTAAATTGGTACTGGATTCGATTGATTCGCAAAATCTTACAATAAATGGTGACTCCACTTAGTGTGTTTCTTCTCTATTGTAGACCCCATTTGTGCTTCGATGACGTTTCGAGGTTTGCGGTTGGGAACCAACAACCGTACTGTGATAGCTCGGCTTCTAAAAACGTGGACAGAAGTCATTGACGGAAAGGTTTGGAAAACGCCAGCATTGCGCATGCTCTGGATGGACAAAAAGGTCTGTTTACGATTTCCCAGCAAAAAAAAACACCACCTGCTTATCTATAACATTCTTTTACACCTGCTAATCCCGCAGAAACGAGTTATTGAAGCTCTGGCATATGAAAAGGACATTGATGACGTGATGGCGAGGATCAAAGTTGGTTGTCTGTATCGCCTAAGCATTATCGTTACAATCCCCTCGAGTAAGAACAAACGCATTGTCCCAGGAGAACTGCGGCTGCTCATGAACTCTGACCAACTGATTGACAACATCGAAGAAGACCAGAACAATCCTAAGTTTCCCCTCGACTCATTCATGAACTCTCATTTCTCAATGGTCCCTGCAAAGTTTGAAAGTTTCCACTGCCACGCAGGTAAAACAATGTACATCACTTTCACGACCAACACACACTAAAAATCCCATAACATCTATGCAATTACAGATGTCACAGGCTGCGTACGGCGAATCACATTACCAAATGCCCTCCAAGATGGCATGCTTGATTTCCATCTGGTTATTGAAGACTACAGGTATACTAAACTATGTACCTAAGATCGTTAAAACTTTCGACAGCGAATAATTTATATTTTGTTTGCATTTGCAAAACAGTGGGAACAAGGCTGTTGTGCAGTACTGTGGCTACGATGTCGCTGGTTACCTCCAACAAGCAGCAGATGTAGAGTCGCACCTCCCGCTGATAACCACAGTTACATCGGTAGTCTCCGTGCCCCATGCATGCAACGATGATGGTATATATGAGCTGGAATCGACACAAGCCAGTCGTCTGATTATCAGTTCATACAATGAGACCACTGAAAGAGTCATGAACAGGTATTGATTTCCTAACAATCTCTAAGACAATTTGTTCACTTCAAATATGCTTTCATTGCAACAACTTAGCCTAACATAGACATCTATTTGCAAAACTCAGGTTTCTGCCATGCCGCAAACCGATCAAGTACATAATCTATGGAACAGCTGAAAGGATGGGATACTTACGCTACCCTCGCCCCCCAAGAAGAACACTTGCTCAGATAAAAGAAGACTTGAGTTCAATACCACAACATCGTGAGGTATATTATGATGCTTTGAAAAATCCCAACATTCAAATATGTTTCACTTGCTATTGTCGTGCACTCTAACCTGGCAAAAACAATTTTTATATTTCAGACCCTCTACCGAACCATAATCAAGTTCACTCATGTCAAATGCAAAATCGACATTTGCAGAACCACTCGTGAAACGCCAAGGTGAGATTAAATATTTAAATTGACCGGTTTGCACTTTTGGCAAGTAACGCTTGCATTTTTCTCAACAAAGCTAACGAGCTTCTATTATGACCAGACTACATTACCAAATCGAGGCAAGGTGCAAATCTGAATCATCCGAGGCCGATGTTGTACTCAACCACGAGGCAACTCTGTCAATAATCTGCATGATGCCGGCAAAGTATCTCAAACTGAATGAAGATGAAATAAAAGACATCATCAAGAAAAACTGCAAGAAGACCTTCGCAGCAGAACTGTACATTGCATGGCCAAACCCAGGTCAGAGGACCGTGCCGCACATCAGGGTTGCCACACTTTGGGATCGCTGTGCTTTCGACGATTGAACTGAGAATCTATTGTGAATGCTTAGGACACATTTTCGGAATTACTTTTGCATATGTACCTATAGTCAGTGTTAGACAATATTGATATGCAGATGTCCTTAATGGAATAAGTTGCAAGGGGAAAAACACAGATTCTGAGACGAAAATTGGTGTCCAAAAATAAAACACATCCCGCAGCGCGGGCTTATTTTATTGTATTTTGTCATAGAAACCCTTGCGGATTAACTAGGTAAGCACGAGAGAGCCACAATACAACGGCTTCTTCGTGAAATGATAGTCAAAACAAATAAGAACAATTAAAACGAACATTACAAGAGCCAGAGTAGCATAAGGCATTACGTGCCACAACATGGGTAGCCCGATTCGCTTCTCCAGGAGTAAAAGCAACAGAAACCAATGGCAATTCTTGCAACATAAAGATGACTTCTCGTAAGATAGCCCCCACAATGGCATAAGAAGCCTTCAAATGTTGTACAACTGCAATAACTTAAAACCAAAAATGAAATGCTGCTGATGGGTTTCGAACCCAAGCCAAAAAATTAGGCTTGCAAACTGCCATCCGCTGGACTGCAATCAACATTCTTTGTTCAATTGTGTACGCTTATTAATATGGATCATCTCGCAGCGAAGCGCGGGCTTATTCCAAGTAGTAATAACTTAAAACCAAAACTGAAATGCTTCTGATGGGTGTCGAACCTAAGACATAAATTGGCATTGCAAACTTCCATCCGCTGGACTACAATCAACCTGCTTTGTTCAATTGTGTACGCTTATTAATATGAATCATGGAAACAATTTGCTTGCCACTTAACCAACAAAAACCTATTTATCCAAGTTGATTAACGAGCTCTACATATTGTGTACATTTGAGGGCCAAAAGCAGCATCATTGGGCCAGAAGGCAACCAAACTAGCATCCCAAGTCAATTAATCACTTAATGAAAGTCTTCTGGACTTATTTTGTTCATGAAAACCAGCCATTATTATATAGCTGTAGTGAAGTGTGATGTTTATTTTCAAGCTATGTGGTAGAATTGTTGCTTCCTACGTTGGACTATATTGTTCAGCTTGTAAAACTAACGATCCTAGCTAGCTATGTATAGATTTTGACATTTTTTGCAATCATTCGTTCCTATTGATAGATGTTTATATTTAAGCACGTTCGTATTTTTATTTTCAAGTTCGCTCTTGTTATTAATTTTCAAGTTCGCTCTTTCTTATGAATCATGAATACTAATTTTTGATTGTTTGTGGCATGTAGTGTATTAAGAAGCAACAAACAACCCATAAGGAAGCAACAATTCATTAAGAAGGCAGGACCCGTACAAAATAACATTGTGTTCACACACTTAGTACACTTGGATAACAAGAGAAATGGCATTAAGGCCGACACTAAGCAAATTTAGTAGATTACTATTGACATTGCTGTAATGGTATTCAGTTTCCACGAGGAAAGAATAGTTTGACCAATAACAGCTCAAAATACCCATGGTTCCAAGGACCCAATGTGACCATAAACTCATAAGAGTTTCCACCAAGCAAGTTGACAAGGGTAACGAAATCGGCATTGGCCATGTCTTCATCACTTACTACATCTGAAAGGATTTTGCGTAAGTTTGCCGATGGGAAAACAACCTCAACATCCAAATAGTCATCCTCAATAACTAAGTGGATCAAATGAACTCTAGATGCAGCACACCATGATGTCCTCAACTCGGTGACACGTCCAGAGAAGAGGTAAGAAGTGCCCTGGTGTTTAAAACAACAAATGGATTTTCAAAAAAAAATTAACAAGCATTAACAAACAGAAAAAGTGCAAACGAGAGCGAGAATGATGAATGACAAAAAAAAATTTATTTCAATAACCTCAACGTCACCATTCTCTTGCAACAACATAAGACTGAGTGATTCCGTAAATTCAGACATAGTTACTGCTTCCTCATACAGCAGGTTTGCAACGAAACCAGGCTCAACCATAAAATCCCTACAAATAAAACCGTTACTAATGTCTGACCATACGAAAAGGAAGCGGAGTAGACAGTCTAAGGATTAGTTGGTAAACAATACTTACGGGTACCATTCAGATACACGATCCATTGTAAGAAAATTACACCTACGAGTATAACAACACACTACGTCAGATACTCTAATCCACCGTACCAAATAGTTAAAAAGCATTTACAAAAATGTACCTGCGGCGGTGGAAACGTGGTCGGCGGCAACTCCTTGTTAGTCCGGGAAGGAAGGAAGACGACGATTGGAATTCCTTTTTTCCACAGGATTTTCCTTCGCCTGCTCTTCTGTCAACAGACGACAACCCTACCCTTGCTGCTCTCTCCCTAACTTTCTCCTGCCTTTCGTCCTGGGAACTTTCTGCCGCTCTTCTTCCCACAACCCTGTTAGGAACGGAACATTTCCAACAAACCCCTCGAGCGAATCAGCGGCGGCGGTGGCAGGCGACGATGGTGGCTCGGAGGTGGAGACCAGTATTGAGCGACCGCCGACCAGCGGTGGATTGACTGGCGGAGGCGGAGGCGGAGGGGGAGGCTTGCATGCAAGGGAGGCGGAAGCGAAGGAAGGAGGAGGGCGGTTAAGTTTTCTTTCTCAAGGAAAATAGAGAAGCCTGCGCATGGGGGGAAGAAAAAGCATGGATATGGATCGATTGCTTGATTTTGTAGGGGAGGCTTTTATAGTTGTTCAACTTTGCCATAATTGAAGTGTGTTGGGTCTTGGGAGAATAAAAATAATGCCCAAGGCCAAAAGTAGTTGTGCCGCCGATCTGCTATTGCTAAGGGCCTGATTGGGCCTGGTACAAAAGGCATGTTCGAATTCACATGAGGCCTTTTTAATGGCCAAAAAATACGAGGCCTTTTTAATCAATCGGATTATTTAGACAACAAATAATCCGAATCGATAGTGAACAAATAATTAGGATCTCAAAACAACCTATGGTACTTTAGCTGTCTACCGAATTTCGCTGATCATCTAGAATGACAAAGAACAATTATTCCACGTGATAGGATCATCTCCGACAAAAATCTCATAAGATCTTCCTTGATCTATCATAACCTCATCGTGACTTGGCCATAGGTATCAATGTCATGCTAGTGCCTGATATAAATATATTTATAAGGAACAAGACATTCTACCTCAACCGACAAACTTCTATCAATGTAAAACTTCTATCGATGTCAAGTCTCACTTTTCAACTATAATGTTATATACTATGTTACATGCGTCTTAGTATATGAAATCGTGTCAAGGCAGAATATTGAACGTCAACCGACAAACTTCTATCAATCCATTTTACACGCATTAGTGTCAAGGCAGAATATTGAACCATTCGGAACATGGAGCTTTCACGTTTATAAGTTTGTCAAGGCAGAATTTCAAACTTAGTCACTAGAGTGCGCTACAGCCTACAAATGCCCTTTCACGTGGTTTAGCAAAGGTTTGTTTTGGGATGTACTAGTCCTTTGTACTAGTTTTGGGTTAACGCAAAGTTGCAAGGTGGAGGTGGGCACAACGGTGGTGTGTGACAAAAATGACATGTCGTGTAGAATTACTATTTATGAATAGTTGTAAAATAAAATTCTAAATAGAAAAATGAAATTTCTTCCAAAAACTTGACTAGCAAGGAGAGGGTAATCAACTATGAACAAGTGATTTCAAAGAAGAAACATAAAACCGCTAATAATTATAAAAAAACTAAATATAATGGTTGAAACTAGTATCCGAACCCTACACCTATTCTAGCAAACTTAATAGTAAACTACTAGCTTAACCACTAAGTTTGCCAACGTTTCTTGTTTTGTATGCTAAGTTTATGGAAACTATAAGTGTGATGATGTTAGCCACATTCCATCTCGTGAGTGGTTGAGAAACGATCAGACGCTTCCCTTCGATCGTCTTCTTCCTGTTCGTATTTCAAATTTCAGTTCTTTTTTTTCCAAATTCGAACTTCAGTTTTCTGCTCCACATAAATTCCCAAAATTTCCATAATAGCATACTGATACAACATGGTCCTATTATTGATTTTGAGGGTATGGCATATTTAGTTTTAACACAAATATGTGCGATAAACAAAATTCGCAGAACTTGACCCAGGAAGGTTTGACATCATCAATGATAGAACATTGAGGCGCCGCCGTTGATCTGTTAGTGACGGAACTTGGAAGCGAGGCTAATGGCGTCGGGGTCATCAAAGACCATTTGTGTCGTCGTGGGAGGACTCTCCGGTGGGGAGGTCACCCCTTTTTCTTTCGACGAAGGTCTCTGCAACTCGTTCGAGAAGCAATAACGCCAATCGCCAGAAAAAGCGAGCAGAGGAGAACCCTTCCTTCTTCTTCTGGTTGCAAGGATTCGAAATCCCTTCCGCAAGAGGTCACCCCTTTTTCTTTCGACGAAGGTCTCTGCAACTCGTTCGAGAAGCAATAACGCCAATCGCCAGAAAAAGCGAGCAGAGGAGAACCCTTCCTTCTTCTTCTGGTTGCAAGGATTCGAAATCCCTTCCGCAAGGAGAATCTAAGTTGTTGGTGAGCGATGAATTTGGGGCCGACAAGGGAGATTAGAAAGGGTAGGGAGAGGGCTAGCGGCGTCTAGCGGCGGAGGACGGAGGAACAGGGGAAGAGGATAGAGCATTAAGGTATCGGCGTGTAGCAGCGGAGAAGAGAGGGTCGGGATGGGGGGAACGAAGTGCTGGTAGGTTGGATGGGGTAGGTACCCTTTATGTTTTGGGGTGGTTGAATTTGGGTTCAATCAAAATATTGAAAAAACCCAACCCAACTCAAACTAACCAACCCACGGACATAGAGGACTAAAATGAAAGAAAAACTAATTCTATGAGTTGATCTGTAATTTTATTAATATAAATTCCGAAAAAACAAATCATTTAATAAAATTTAATCTCAGCCGTTGAGATCACACGTACGGTTAAGATCGTCAAGGTACGCCATACCCCGGAATTTACCCGGGGTACGATAGAACTCGCCATATATATATATATTTTGTCTAATTGAATCTAATGAGTCATACATGTTTCGATTTAAATCGTAAGGCGGCATCATTTTGCACACGAAAATCAGATTAGGCCGTAGTGCGATAACTTGTCGAAAAATGCAAATCTTGCATTATTTGAAAATGTCATAGAAATGCATTATTATTTATTTATTTTTGTATAACATAAATGCATTAATTGAAATAAGACTAAATTACATGCTTGGTCACTCAGTTTATCACAATATTTTGGAATTTATTTGAAAATTGTACCTTATTTCTCCATAATTGCTAAAATTAATATCAATTCCGCATAATTCAAAATTTATAATTGAAAATGAATTCCTAAAAACTTATTAAATTCATCTATAACAAACGGCATGTTAATGTTTATTTTAACTAGCTATCATAAGGCCGCTTATCAACGGTGAATTACACTAAATATAAATTACATAACCTAAGAGATGATGATTTGATGAATGACTACCCAATTGAATACATCGAAAATGTGTCTAATAATTAAATAAAATGTTATTATACTTGTTTGTAAAAAAAAAAAAAAATGAGACCGCATTAAGCTCGAATCCTGACCACGCACTTCCTCCAGCTCCACTACCTTCAACTCCTCATTCTTCCTTGATTCCTTTTAAGTCGATCGTCCAATCTATCTACAATATATTGAATTTCAACATGGACGATGATGATGACAGGGAGGAAGCAATGGTGGCCATAGAGCTTAGAGCTTCATGCTCCCGCCTATACATGGTTGTTTTTTAAGATCTTCCACCCCCATGTAAATATCTAAGGCTCCAGTCACCAAAAAAACTTCATTCTAGATGATAATGTGTTCTATAAACAAGTACCAGTATTCGTTTCAAGACCTGCTTGATGATATATAGCTCCAATGTCTGATTGCAGTACCTTCAAGCGAATAGAATCTGTAGCTCGTACCTTAAGACTCTGGTTAAGGCAAATTTCACAAGTTGATAATCATAAGTGCATAAATGAAGATACATTAATCAATATATCAAAGCATTCAAGGATACTCTCCAAATTGTACTTATTAGGCAGCGTCGCTTGATCATGGATTAGATGCCTTGGCAGCGGAAGTCTCCTTTAGTAAATGTGTTATTAACTCCATCGCAGCTGCAACGTTAGAAGCCTACTCAGATTTTCTATACAACCAATATACAGATGAGTTAACTAGTCTCTCAGCCAAAGCACCAGAGGTCCACAGCAATAGATTCAAGTCCCTGTTGTTTACTAACCCATGCATGGAAACCTCACCTTCGTTCTGAAGTAGATGAAAATCTGCAAGGGAGTGATCATTATTCAATGGTTAGCCAATCCAATTTCTGGTACAATCTTGTATGCAGCAGATCTCAATAGCATAGCTGTGGTTCATTCTTCATGGACACGAACGCATTTTGAGTAGAAAAAGTTGCCTGAGTAGCAAGAGGTAGCACTCAAAATCTAGCGTCGGTTTGGGTCTGGGAGTCGAGGGCTTACCTAACCAGCCATCTCAATCCAACTCCTCCCGGCTTCTTTTACACCAGAAGCTTTTGCAGTTTCCCTCACTCTGTTGAGGTCATCCCACATTTCCATCGTTGCATAAGCATTTGAGACCATTACATACACAGACGGATCATCAGGAAAGGCAACACGGAGGTTTTCAGCTATACCACTAATCATCTCACTGTTCTTATGAGTAACGCAAGCTGCGAGCAAGGAGCTCCATATCGTTTTGTTAGGCCTAAGTGGCATCTCACTAATCAACTTCCTTGCCTCCTTTAACAGCCCAGCTTGACCAAGTAATTCCACCATGCAGTAATAATGTTCTACTTGAGGTTCAAGTCCATGATCAGATCTCATGGACTGAAATAACCTCCACCCATCTTCAACCAGACCTGCATGTCTACATGCGGCAAGAAGCCCTAAGAAGGTGACTTCATTTGGGTGCACTCCCGACTTTATCATCTCTTGGAATATCTCAAGAGCTTCATTGGCTTTACCATTCTGTCCACACCCGACAATGATCCCCGTCCAACACACGACATCCCTATCAGATAGACCATTGAAGAGAGCTATACTGGCTTCAATTTCACCACATTTTGAGTACATATCAACAAGAGCTGTGGCTGCTACTGATTCGGTTTCATATCCTGCCTTGATACAGAAAGCATGAATTTGTTTTCCCTTTCCAAGAGATGATACACTTGAACAAACTTTCAGCATGGCAGAAACAACATATTGATCTACTTCAAGGCCTAAACTGACCATATCTCTGAACAGGGAAAACGTTTCTGAGCTCACCCCTGCTTTGGTGCATCCTATGATTAATCCAGACCAAGCTATGGAGTCTTTCTCGGTAAGCCTGTCAAAGACTGCAAAGGAGTCCTTCATTTTCCCGAATTTTGCATATAGGTCAGTAAGAATGCTGCCCACAACACAATCTAACTCGTACCCACTGATGACAATAAGACCGTGAACTTGAACTCCAAGCCTAAAGTGAAACAAGTTGATGCAGACCTTCAATGCACTACTCCAAGTATAGGAGTCAAAAAGAACACCAGAATGATGGATGCTAGAAAGCAAATTCAGGGCTTGGATATGTTTATCATTCTCCACATACCCAGAAATCATGGCATTCCAGAACGACAGACTCAAACAATTTGACCCGTTTCTGGTGCAATAACTTTCAAACAATCTAACTGCTTCATCTAAAGCATTGGAATTTGAGTACATATCCACCAGCGCAGAGAGAGTATAGCAACAAGCCTCAAAACCCGACTTTAAAGCATAACAGTGGATTTGCTTTCCCATAGCAAGAAAACCAACGTAACCCCCACATGTTTTAAGAGCACAAGGGAAGGTGAACTCGTCCAGCTTAAGGCCTTCCTTATGCATCTTACCCACGAACTCTAGTGTACTTATACTCCCATTGTCAGCCAAACCAGCAATGACAGTGTTCCACGAAGCAACGTTTGGATCAGGCATCTGCTGAAACAAATCCACCGCTTCCTTCATCAAGCCCTGCCCACAGTACCCTGAAATGAGCGTATTCCAAGAAGTGGTATTGGCAACAGAAAGCATCCCATCAAAAACTCTCCTTGCATCACTCAATCTACCACATTTGACGTACATGTGCAAAAGGGTATTCATCAGAACGACGTCCTCTTCCAGGTTCTCTTGACGAATCCTCTCGTGTATCTGCCTACCCAGTTGAACATCACCCACCAGCCCACACGCCTTCAGCACAGCGGAGTACATGAACCCAGTAGGCATCACGGATTGAGCGTCCGACATCTTGTTGAACAGTTCGATGGCATCATGAGGCTTCCCACTCCTAGTGCAAGCATAGACCACTGATGTCCAAGTAACAATGTTTCTCACGGGCATTTCATCGAACAGCTTCCTGGCATCGTTCAGCTGGGTGAAATCAGAGTACAACGTGATCAGGTTATTCATCATGTAAACATCCCCTGGAGAAAACCCAGTTTTGATCAGATGGGAGTGAAATGACTTCCCGCGCTGGAGAGCGTGAAGCCTCCGACAGCAGCGCAAAGCTTCCACGATGTACTTCAAATCCATTACCGTTTACCGCTACTTTCAACTGTCTTTCAATTTCCACTCCAGAAGCAGAACTTCTGCTATAGTGGTTTCCCAGAGCAAAACTGGGCAAGCTGACTGATCCAATCCAGTCCACTGGGCCAGACCAAGTTGAGCCCAGTCATGGGCTTATTGGGCCAATGTTACAAACCTTTACTCTTGTACTGGGATCATTTCTCAATTCTCACGCTCCATGTACACAAACAAACAAAGCTTTGCTCATGTGCTTATACAACATTTCTCATACGTTTTCTTCTGCCATGAACAAGCAGTGAATTCACGAGAGCTCGAAAAGATTGAATAAAGTACATCTACATTGTTTCTGGTTTACTTACAAGTTACAGTCACTATAATGTTAAGAAGAGAAATGTTAGGATCTTAAAACAAATAATTGAAGGGGCAACTGAAGTTGCCTAAACTAGAATTGAATCAGCAAAGTTAGAACTGATAGCAAAAATAAGTAACAGCATGTCAGTAATCTCGAAATAGGGCCTTAGACACTGAACCACAAACATTACCGCCACCTTGCTTCTTCGTCTTTTCATTGCTGCTGCTGCTGTCTCCTCCCTTGAATGATCTATCTTTCCCAGTCATGGGAGTCTCCATAACCACGTCAAAGCTCCGTCTTCTACGTGCATCTCTCTTCGAGTGCCTTCGGTCATACTTGGGTTTCATGGATTTAGGCTGCTGCTTGGGAGCCCAAACTTTGTGAAGGTCTGGCACCCAGCTGGTGAAAGAAGAAAATCTCTTTGCCCTCTGTCTTCTCTCCTGAGCCTCCATCAGTTTTCTGGCATGATCATCATCCTGTTTCATCTCATGCCGTTCTGCAGGGATTGGATCGTCCATTCTTCTCATTCTGTTGTTCCTCTCATCTTCTGTCTCCAGTCTTTCTTTCATGGAGTGGTTGCTATCCTCGCTGTTGAGCAAAGGGTTGGAGGGCTCCTCCTCGTCTTCGAACAGCAAAAGATCTAATTTTTCATAGATCTTGTGGACAACGTCACCCAGACTGTCACAATACCTGAAAAATTTGAAAAAAATACATAATTTGACACTGATTAATGGTTTCCCTCTCAAACAACAATAAAGATGCGGAGATTAACTAAGAGTTCGTTTTGCTGATGTATCTAGGTAATGAGTAGTTGCCCATAATCTATCAGCAGGTGGATCTGACCGAAATATCCTCTCTAGATGGTTTGTGTTGGTGGCATTGAGAGATTTTGGAACATCTGGCATGAGAGGATTTGAAAATATCAACTTGGGTAACTACCCAAGATGAATTTTTCCAGAGAATAGTATGACTTGAAAACCTCGATTGGATATTTCAAGAGACCATAAAGCTAATTGCTTCATATTGATTTGTCATACTCATATATAGCACATTTGTACACCTAAAACGGGGTAGAAATGCAAGCGTTGAAAGTTACTCCAACTCACAAAGGAACTTATACACGTTCATAAGATAAACATACCTGCTCTTTAAGATCTTCCCTATGTATTTATCAAGACTCCAATCACCAAAAAACCCTCCTTCAAGACGGCATTGAATGCCCTCTAAACAGGAGCAAATTTGCTTCACAAACTTTTGTTTCATGGACTCCTTGATACTAGCTCCGATGTCCGATTGCAGTATCTCCATGCGAAATAAAATCTGTAGCTCGTATCTTAAGACTGATTAAGGAAAATTGCAGAAGTTATACCATGATTACCAAAATGAAGCATGTAATAACATAGATGCGTAAAAACAATATGTATGACAGTATAAAAGGATACTCTCTAACTAGTTTTTCTGAGTCAACCTCAGTTGAACTCGGATTTGATGCCTTGGTAACCAAGTCTTTAGGCTCCTTGAGTAAAAGTGTCACTAACTGCCTTGCAACTGCACTACTTGAAGCATCCTCAGATGATCTTGGTTCTTTAGTTTGAACCTCCTCGTTGGTTCCATTTTCAGATTTTTTATACAACCAAAATACAGACGAGTTAACTAGTCGCATGGCCAAAGACCACAGGTCTACATCATCAGATTCAAGCCCCTGTTGAATTTTGTGGGGGATGTCATCTAGGAAACTTTCTGAAGTTAGTGAGTGAAAGTCATTACCAACCTCATCTTGCACTCGAGAAGCCCCAGTCAAAGAATCCTCTCCCACTGAAGCAGAGGATGCAATTGGTCGTTGTGCACCATCCTGTGGCAACTCACTCAGTCTGTCTTCTAATTTTGGGACATCATCAGAGTGTAGCTTATCATTATCGTTCACGGTGACACTTGTAGACTTCTTAACTTCTTTCATCCAGCATTTGAGAAATTTCAATTTCTTTGACTTGTTGCTTGCCTTGACAAAGTAAACATCTTCCAGATCTATCTGTAAGTGTTCCAGTGCCGCCTTACAGAAGTCGGACCAAGTAAGCTCCTGAAGCTTAGTTAGACTTCTTTTCGACTTCTTTCTCTTCCTGTCATCACAACCTCCAATTTCCAACGGTTTCCCACATGGTATAGGTCCAGAACTAGAGCCAATATGTGATCTTCCAGAATCCACCATGGAGTTCGTGGTCCCTTTGTTCATATTTGTAACAACTTGAACCGAAGGTCCACAATTAAGTCCATGACCCTTGAATTTGTCCGATTTGATCCACAGGAGAGCTGAAGAAACTGTGAAAGGCTTGAGAATTCCAGTAAGTGAGCAGCCATTGCCATTTGAAAGAGACACTGAACCCCAATAGCTCTCCCTACAGAGGAAACCCAAGAGAATTTGCCAAATGGGTCCAGACTTCTTTGGCAGTGATTCAACCATTTCTGGTTCCAGCATTTGAAGAACCTTATCTTCAAACAACTCACTCTGACTTCCATATTGTTCTTTATCAAGATCCCCAGAAACCTCACGTACTACAATTGGAACAGGCAGATATCCTGCAAATGTGACATCTTTATCATCCATCTTGATTGCTCTAACATGGAGTTTTGAGTTCCCACCACTAAACACTTCCCAAACTGACTTTTCCTGTCCACAGCTGGCTAACTTAGGGAAACTGTTTGAACCAGCCAGCTCAAGGTCACAGCACTTGCACTCCAAAGGCTTCCCATTCACGTCTAGTATCTCAAGACTCAAGCCTGCAAGAATCATCTTCGAGCAACAGAAATCAATCGCCTTTGGCGAGATCCCAATCCGTGGATAAATCAACCCAAATGGAACCACTGCAGAACCCAGCACAACATTATCACTGGAACAGAAACCCCATCCTAAATCCCTAATCCCACTCTCAAAAACTACAGACCTAACCAGAGATTCATCACAACCACCACTAACTTCCCAACTACCTACCGGACACTTCACATCAACCCAGCTGAAATGAATATCTCTACTCACAAACGCATCATTCACACCCCCAAACAATCCACGATACCTGCAAGCGAACTCCTCCACATTTCTCAAGCACTCGTCATCCGCATCCACACCCAAAAACTCCGACAGTCCATTCAGAGACTTTACAATGGGGGAAAACAGAACAACCAAATTCGACCTAACGGGAGAGAACCCACAATCCAATGGCGTACCGTCAATCGAGCTCGAGACAACAGAATCCCAGGCGTAGTCATGAATCAGCTGGCGCATCGAGGCGGCAAGATGCGAAGCCCTCGGGGAATTACATCCGCTCCAGTCAATTTTGGAAACAACGGACGAAGTGAGGGTTTGTGAGAGCGAATCGTAGGTGGAAGCAGGGCGGTCGAATTTGAGAGAAGACGGAGACGGGATCGGGAGCTTGGAGGAGGAGAGGAGGGGAGACAGGGAAGAGAAGAAGAGCTTGAAGGAGAAGAGAGAGGAAGCTAGAGGTGGGAAAGTGACAAGGATTCTGATGGCGGAGAGGAGAGAGTCGAGGTAAAGGCTCGGGTCGGGGAAATGGTGAAGTGGGTTTAGGTCGACGAGAAGGACCACGCGCTGGGTTTTGCTGTAATCTGTAACTGAGTCAAGGGTTTCCGCCATTGACAGTGGAGATGGAATTTTTTTGGTCAGGGTGAAGCAATCGCCGGCATAGAGTACTGAGAAGTGGGAAATCGGGCGATGGGGGAAATTTTCCGTCGGAGGAGGAACTGCAAGGGGCGGAGCGGCGGAGAGGGAAGAAATGTGTTGGGGTGAGGTGATGAGTGGATACGATGTCGTTTCATGAAATTTTTGGATAGAGCAATTGGTAAAGGCGCGGGTTGGATTTGGCGGGATTTCTTCTCAACTTTGTTTGATGTAGATCGGGAGGGACCCGGCGGGCGGCGGCACGTGATGATCGCTTTTTATTTGTGAACACTTTTCTGAAGGGGATTGCTATTCGTCGCTCTAAAAATCATTATTTGTCGCCCTGATTATATTAAATTACCCTAATATCCTTAAATTCACGGCGCTGCAACACTTCAACAAATCTTCGATCTTGATGACAGCAAATAGAGGCCATACACCCATTTTTCTGCAAACTTACTTACTCTTGGAACTCATTTTCCAATCACTTCCCTATCACTAACCATCCAAACAACGTTTTCCAAAAGCTATATATCATGGCTCACAATTCACCCATTTCGACACTCACAATTCACCCACTTAAATTTTAAATAATTGAAGAGCCCAACTGAAGTAAAACTGTGCCTAGAAATCCCATGGTATAAATTTGAAGGGGAAAGAAGAAGTAGGAGGAAGAAAGTCGGGGCGCTGGTCACATTCGCCGCTGTCGTTCCCTAGCACGTTGACTCGCTGTTATTTCTATTTTTTTTATATAATCCCAGCGGATGGAATCCGGATGGTTGAGAAACAGAGATTCCAAGGAAACGGAGAGCATCGGCGGCCGGAAATCGGCTGGTTGGCGACACGACACAAGGAGGTAGGGATTAGGGAAATTGGAGTTCGGGGTATTATCGTCAATTCAATATGATTTAGGGCGATTTTTTTTCAAAATTTAGGGCGACGATTAGCGATTCAGTTTCGTAATTCGCACAACATATCGAACGTACAATAAAAGAGTGGAGAATTTGCAAGATTGGTCACCAGAATTCACGTTTGGTCATTTAAAGAATTTTATTTCATTCGTTGTCATTAGGAGTGTTTAAAGATTCATGATTGGTTACTCTGCATTAGTCTCCAGTACCGTTTGGAGACTCGAACCGGACCGTAAAGCATGGAGCAAAGAATTTGAAGGGTTGATGAAGAAAGCTAAATATGACCTTACGAAATGCACATTTATCTGTCTTCGTCCCGGAGAAGACGGAAATCGCATTCTTCAACTGTTGACATGATGCTGTTGTAGCTACGCCTACGTCCACTTTCTTGTCCTGCGATTTGAGGAGGGGAGAGCTAGAGCTTCTTGCTGAACTAAAACTATCTCATCCTTGTTTTAAGTTAGTCCGACATAGGTTCTTTTGTTGGCCTACTCCGATCCCTAGGTACGAGGAATTGAGAAGTATTTACAATAATGGAATTGAGAGATGTTTAGTTCAGGGCACCGGGGCGACACACTGGTAATTACTTGTGTTTGTCACAAGCTTCTCTTCTTCACGATTGCTGCTATAATCTGTAATTGAGTCGAATGTTCCTCCATCGAAGATTACAAAAACTTTATTGTTATTATTATTATTATTCGAGAAGCGATCGCCGGTCGCTCGGCCCATGGAATTTTTCGTCGGAAGAGGAACTGCTTGAAGTGAAGGTCAACGGAGGGGAAAATTGTGTTGAAAGGAAATTTTGAGTGTGTGTCATATGTCTTTAAGGAGATGGCCCTACCTGTAATGTTGAATTAACAAATAACAATAAATTAAAGTATATTAGTCTATTAAAAATTCTAAAGACAAACTTGAAACGTGTTAATCGTGAAAAAGTTGGAGGTTATAATATCACACATTTCCGGAAAATAACATAATAAGATATTAGCAAAATTAACAATATTATAAAAAAATATCATTTAAATGACCAACTCCTTCAACAATATCGCTATTTAAAGGTTGAGGAAGCAGGTTCGAACTACACGTTGCTCTGCTTTATGAAAAGACCAAACATGACTAGAGCACATGGACATGCCATACACATGGCAACCCTGTAACGTACAAACTTGAAACGTGTTAATCATGCAAAGTTGGCAGTTATAATATCACACTTTCCGAGAATAACATAATAGGGTATTAGGAATATTAATATAGGTCTTAGGTCTGGTCACATTCTTTACTCAAGTAAAGTGTTGGAGACCGGTAGACTCAGTCTTTGTGTCCAAGTTCTATTCGCAAATAATGATTGTGTCAGGGAAACAACCGGAACCCTTGAACCTCGATCTATTAAAACTATAAAAAAAATTACCATTTAAATGGCCAATTCCTTCAACAATATCGCTATATAAAGGTTGAGGAAGCAGGTTCGGACCACAGGTTGCTCTACTTTATGACAAGACCGAACATGGCTAGAGCACATGAACATGGCATACACATGGCAAACCCGTAACGTACAAACTTGAAACGTGTTAATCATGCAAAATGTGTCGGTTATAATATCACACACTTTCCGAGAATAACATAATAAGATATTAGGTATATCAATAAAACTATAAAAAAACATACCATTTAAATGGCCAATTCCTTCAACAATATCGCTATATAAAGGTTGCTCTGCTTTATGACAAGACCGAACATGGCTAGAGCATATGAACATGACATACACATGGCAAAATTTTACCTACAAACTTGAAACGTGTTAATCATGCAAAGTTGTCGGTTATGATGCCACACTTTCCGAGAACAACACAATAAGATAATAGAAATATCAATAAAACTATAAAGCAGAGCAAGAACGTGATAACATTTGTGCTGCCATGGAGACCCGTAGCAAACGACGTCGAAGGTTGTCGGAAGAAAACCACATCGACAAACTCGGAGACGATCTCCACGTAGAAATTCTGATCCGGTGCCTCCCGAACCCTAGATCCGCCTGCCGCTGCAAAACCGTCTGCAAGCGTTGGAGGCGTCTGATCTCCAGTCCCAGCTTCAATCTCAGTTTCATTTCTCACCACCGGAGCATGAACGAGGAGTCATCATCACCGCCTCTTCTCATTCACGCGCACGCCGTGCAATCGATCCTCAGCTTCATGCCCGCCGCGGCCATGGACGCTCGAGGCCATTTCAAAGTTTTGGATTGCTTCAAGGACTTGCTTCTGTGCGGGTTCATAGGTCAGGCTTACAACAGCGAGCTCAGAAGGACATTCGTGGTCTGCAATCCGTTTACGAAGCAATGGTTGACCCTCCCCCTGGCGCCTGAAAAGGCGATGGAGTATGGACCTACAAGGGGATGGGCGGCGAGGTTAGTTTGCGAACCCCGTATCTCTCATGATCTTGATTTAGGAGATCATGATGATGATAAAACATTCGTTTATTCCGAGTATCGGTTTCGAGTGGTGATACTGTACCAACATGAGAGGTCTGCAAAGCTAGATCTGTTTTGCTCCGAGTCTGGAGAATGGACAGGGGGGGCTCTTGTTCTCGACGGCGTCGTCTTTAAGAAAAATGCGATTTCGTGCAACGACGAGTTGTTTTGGGTTTATGCTAGAGATGATGATGGCGAGGATACTCCTATATTGGTTGCATTTAATCCATTCCGGCTAGATTTATCTCTCATTTCCATTGATTCTTCTATGCTCGCTGAGAATCCAAGATGGAATATTTCGGTCTCGCAAGGTGCTCTGCACATAGTTGCATTCAGAAAGATCTCTGCTCCTCCTGCACCTGATGATTGTTCAGGGGATCTGATCTCCAGTACTGTTTGGAGGCTCGAACCGGACCGTAAATCTTGGAGTAAAGACTTTGAAGGGTTGATGAAGAAAGCTAAATATGACCCTATGAAATGCACATTTATCGGTCTGCATCCGGAGAAGACGGAAATTGCATTCTTCAACTATCGTCATGATGTTGTAGCTATGCCTATGTCGTCCACTTTCTTGTCCTGCGATTTGAGGAGGGGAGAGCTAGAGCTCTTCGCTGAACTAAAACTATCTCATCCTTGTTTTAAGGTACTCCGACCTAGGTTCGTCTGTTGGCCTACTCCGATCCCTAGGTATGAGGAATTGCGAAGTATGTACAATAATGGAACTGATGAGAAATGTCTAGTTCAGGGCACCGAGGCAACACACCAATAATTACTTTGTGTTGTCACAAGTTCCTCTTCTTCAAAATTTTGCTTTGGTTGCAATCTCTTAATTTGTTGGAAAAAACGAGTACTATGAGGGGAAAAAATTGTCGAAGGAGGAACTGTTTCAAGTGAAGGGCAGCGGAGGGAAGAAATATGTTGGAGGGAAAATTTGAGAGAGTGTCACACATCCTTAAGGAGATGGCCTTATCTATAATGTTGAATTAACAATAAATTAAAGTATAGCAGTTTATTAAAAATTAAAAAAAAAATCTTAGGGTACCCTAAAAAAAGCATGCTTATATTGAGATGATTAAGTTTTCAAGTTTATTAAAGGTCATGTCCAAATTGATGGTAATTAGATTTACACAGTGAATATGCTTAGATATATTTGAAATGTACTTGTACAAATGACAATATTATAAAATTTGGTAAAAAAATCATAAATGAAGTAATTTGGTAAAAAAAAAAAAAATCATAACCCATGGCATCCATATGGCAAACCCGTAACGTACAAACTTGAAGCGTGTTAATCATGCAAAGTTGGCGGTTATAATATCACACAATAACGCTATATATTAGGGGTATCAATAAAACTATAATAAGATATTAGGGGTATCAATAAAACTATATATAAAAATATATGATTTGAATGGCCAATTTCTTCAACAATAACGCTATATAAAGATTGAGGAAGCAGGTTCGGACGACAAGTTGCTCTGCTTTATGACAAGACCAAACATGGGGAGAGCACATGGACATGTCATACACATGGCAAATCCGTAAAGTACAAACTTGAAACGTGTTAATAATGCAAAGTTCGCAGTTATAATATCAAACTTTCCGAGAATAACATAACAAGATATTAAAAAAAAATTCAAGAAAAATATAAAAAATAATAATTTAAATGGCCAGTTCCTTCAATAATAACGCTATATAAAGATTGAGGAAGCAGGTTCGGACGACAAGTTGCTTTGCTTTATGACAAGACTGAACATGGCTAGAGCACATGGACATGGTATACACATGGCAAACCCGTAATGTACAAACTTGAAACGTGTTAATCATGCAAAGTTGGCGATTATAATATCAGTGGTGGAGCACCTTAAGCCCAGGGGGCAAAATCACGTAAAATTATATTTAAATTCGATAAATTTTTTGAGAAACATAGTAGTTCGTAAGGCTTTAACCCCCCTCGTCAGTTCGAATTTTCTGAGCGTAGATTTTTAGCCTCCCCTCATTTAGATTCCTGGCTCCGCCACTGTATAATATCGCACACTTTCCGAGAATAACACGATAAAATATTAGGAATATCAATAAACGTGATAACATTTATTACCGGATAACCTTCACCTACACAACAATTACTACAACAAGTCAACAACTCCATAGTATTTTTTTTCATTCTCTATCAATCAGAAGCAGCAGCTTCATTACAATTCAATTTAGTAAATTGAATTCCTACGACAACATGCACGGGACCAACAGGTTGTTTGGGCTGAAAAGCCCACCGCTTTCTCTGTGGTACTTGCTGCCGATATGAGCCCTGAATATGTTGATTTAAGTTTGGGCCGGCCTGGCCGATTTTACCATCCTAATCAAAGTTGACCCAAATCAGTCAATGCTGAACACTACCTGATTCGGGTCGGGTCGGGTCGGGTAGAACACCACGGGTCACTGCTACTGCTAACTCTCGGGCGCGGGATGAAGAAGATAAGAAACTGAACTCAGCCAGTTCCTTCCTCCCCTTTCCCTCTGAAACATTGAAACCCTTCCCAATTTTGCCTACTCAGATGAAACCATAGTCGTAATTACAGATTCCATCAGCGCAATTACTATGTCGTACATCTCTTCCTCCATTATCGGAACCACCACAGCAGCGTTCTCCATCCGCTTCTCAACTCCTCCTTCCAAATTCAGCTCGCTCCCCACGTTACCCACTTCTTCTTCCTTTTACCGGCGGGCTTCGTCGTCCTTCTGCCGGAGTAAAGCGGTTAAGCTACTCCCCTGTAGGTCGTCGGAGTTGGACGACGCGGCGCCGGCGGGCGAGGAGGAGGAGGAGGACGACGATTGGCGGAAGAGGGCTCCGGACAAGAAGAAGCCGCTCTACTCGCACAGCCTGCCTTGTATCGAGGCTTGGCTCGAGGAACTGGGGTTTCACCAGAGCAAAGAAGACCGCGCCGTTTGGTTGGTGGAGAAGCCCGACTGGCACGCTCAGCTCTCGCTCGACATGACCGACCTTTACATCAGGTACTTGAAGAGTGGGCCGGGGAGCCTCGAGAAGGATGTTGAGAGGAGGTTCAGTTATGCTTTGAGTAGGGAAGATATAGAGAACGCTGTTCTTGGAGGACCTTAGAGTTCTTCCTTTCTGGTTTTTGCTTGCATTACTGCACATTTGGAGCTTTGTTTCCTTGTTTTTGCTGTGTGCCTATTGCAATGAAGCTTTGAGAATGTTAATGAAAGTGCTTTCCACCAGACCCAGTTGTCTTCTGTTTAGTGAATGAGCAATATGATATTCCTGTGATTGCAGAAATTTTGGCGTGATATGGGTGTTTGCTTTTTTCATGAATTGATTGCTTACATTCAATTTCTTGCTAGGAGCCATTTCTACAAATCTAATTCTAGCTTTCCATGCTCTGCCATATTCCCCTCTCGCTACAGGCTTCTTGTTCGTCTGCAAGTTACTCATTAGTTACAACACTTTCTACAAGGCTACAACAGCCGGGAAGGTCTAGTTGCCGATTCCTAAGGAAAATTCGGGCACAACAAGGCTTCTCAGAAGTTCTTTTTTGGGGGGTTACTGGGACTCTGAAGATTGAGAATGAGACCAGTACTCTTTGACAAGCTGCCCAAACAAGGAGTCTTCCCTCTTCATTAGCTGCATTGGCTCATCATACTCCACCAGTCGCCCTGTTCACAAGCCAAACAAATCAGAATGAATTATTCTAGATACACTGCCAATCAATCTCGAATGCTTTTGTTTCGGTGAGAAACTGGAAGGAGGAATTTACCGTCTTTAATGGCGAGCACCATGGTGCAGTCCATCACGGTTGGTATCCTGTGAGCTACTGTGATGACTGTGCAATCTGCAAACTCAGTCCTAATGGTTTTCTGCAATATCAAGTCAGTTGCATTGTCAATGGAAGCTGTTGCCTCGTCAAGAACAAGTACTCGACTTCTCCTTAGGAGTGCTCGGCCCAAGCAGAATAGCTGCCTCTGCCCCATGCTCCAGTTTGATCCATCCTCAACAACTGTTTGTTAAAGATGATTGATAACTAAGTCACTCAGTCTTTGATCAGAAACCTAGAACCTAATGTTAATTGCTTCCACAAAGACTTACCTAAGGAGTCCAATCCCTCTTCTTTTTCCTGGACGACCTCTCTAAGTTGGCACTTACCAAGTACCTGCACAATGAAGAAATTATTATATCTTATTTCAGATTTGCAGGCAGACCAAGATGAATAACAGATTGCAAGAGTTTCACCTCCCATATCTCCTGGTCAGTGTGCTGAGCTAAGGGGTCCAAGTTGTATCTCACAGTTCCATTGAACAAAGTGGGATCTTGAGGTATGATGCCAAATCTTGACCTAAGATCATGAAGTCCTATCTTGGTTATATCGATACCATCCACAATAATCTTGCCTCCTGCTGGCTCAACCAGACGGAATAGTGCACCAATGAGAGTGGTCTTCCCACTGCCGGTTCGCCCGACGATGCCAATTTTATGCCCTCCCTGGAATGTGCAACTGATCCCTTTGAGAACAAGTGGAGCTTCAGGCCTATACCTTATCTGTTTCATTAAAAATGGTAACTTCCTCAGTTGTGCTGACTTTTGTTTACTCAATAGTTAAACCAGAAGGATCTTGAGTGAAGTTCTTACCTTCAGGTCACAAATTTCCACTTTCCCCACTGATGGCCAGGATGGTGGGGGGCGATTCTCTTCAATCACTTCAGGTGCTTCACTGGGTATATGCATGTACTGATTGAGTCTTTCAACTGAAATGATGTAGTTTGCTAAAGTGCATTGGTTTTGAATCGAAAAGACAAGGGACATGTTTAGGGAAAGACCATAGGAGAGAGCCATTCCAATAAACCCTGCGGATAAATGACAGTTCAGAATTCAGATAAGTCGAGTTTTTTCTTTCTTCCTTCTAGCAAATGAAAGTTGAAAAAGAAGTTGGCATCTTCTTTTACCAGAGCTGAAAGTCCCTGGAGGCAGCAGAACCATGCAGAGAGCTGCAGACGCTAGAACAGCTGCACTCATGGTTTCTAACCGTTGAATCAGCCATTCGTTTGCTGTGAAGCTGTGGAAGAATGGACTAGCATTTTTGTCAATGAGGTCTAGATTTTTGGCAAAGAAACGTTCCTCTTGCCGGAAAGCACGTATTGTTATTGCCCCTGCTAAGGATTCTGCCAGATGATTCGCCACGTAGGACTTGGTTGTACCGTTTATCCGCATAAACTCTTTTGCAGATGAGAAATAGTATTTCTGCGGAGAAGAAGGATTGAGGAACATGTTATTTCTCTTTTCTGTCTAGGAAATGTGGAAGAACAACAACAACCAGTTTCAAGAATATGGACAGAGAGACATGCCTGTAAACGAATTGCCAGATAAACCATTGGTATGGACACAAACAAGACTTGCCATGTGATAACCGCCAGAACTCCAAGATTAGCATAAGCATTTGAGGTCGCCCCAACGGTGAAGATGAAGCAGAATGGTACATCGAGGTCCACAATACTGAGATCAGAAGATACCTATGAAGCAGAAAGAATCCAAAGACGAAAGTTCAGTTAGTTGCTAATTCTTGGCATGTGGATTGTTTTGAATCTTCCCCATGTTTGCTTACCCGGCTAAGTATTCGTCCAAGAGGCGTGGAATCATAGAACGACATGGGTGCTCTGAAGAGGGAGATGAGAAGCTGTGAGAACAGCGACCTTGAAGATTGCATATTAAGTATAACAGTGGATATTCCTCTGCTAAGGAGAAACACAGTTGAGCCAACTCCAATTAGCAAGTAAACTCCGATCAGCTTCAACGTGCTAATGTTTGGATTATCGACGTTGGCAGCCATCCACGAGTTCTGTGATACCTGACTAGCCACAAACGTGAGGTGACTAATGGCAGCTAGGGAGAAGTAGAGATATCCTTTGTTTTGATTCAGGTATTGAATGTATGGCTTCAACCCTGTATCTCCCGTTTCTCTTTCTTCCTTCTTGATAAGTTGATCTCCTTGTGCCACTTGTGTTTGGTTTTCCACATAAGTTTTCTTTATCTCCCTGGAAGATGATCCTCCTGCTTTATGTGCAGAAGAAACTTCTTCAAGCCTCTCAGTGCCTGCTGTCTCCTTGTGAGCATGAACAAGTTCCTGAAACTCTCGGCTAGATGATAACAACTCGTTGTAAGGAGCTGCTCGTAGGATTTCTCCATCTGACATCAACTGCAAAAAACTCAAAACTCCGTCATGACTTTCACCCAAAAGTTGAAACGACAGACTGTATGGGTGTGCAATCATCCGAATTGGATAGAAAAAGCCTTACCAGAACAGCATCAAATGCCGGCAAGAAATCTACTTGGTGGGTCACCAGAAAGACAGTCTTCCTTGCTAGTGCCTCCATAACATATTCCTGAAAAGTAAGTTCAAAGTGAGATTCCTGATAAAGACATGTTAAAGAGTAAGATATCTTGTTTACTCTAGGATTTTACATTGAACAAGCTTGTGGCAGTGTGAGCATCCACAGCACTGAATGGATCGTCCAGGAGATATATATCAGCATCCTGATAAAGAGCACGAGCAAGCTGAATCCTCTGCTTTTGACCACCACTCAAGTTGACTCCTCTTTCCCCGATTTCGGTTCGATCTCCATAGGGCAGCAGCTCAAGATCCTTCACCAAGGAACATCTCTCGAGAGTATCTTGATATCGCCGTCTATCCATGGCAGACCCAAACAAGATGTTCTCTTGTATGCTCCCAGTCTGAATCCAAGCCGTTTGAGAAACATAGGCCACTGTCCCATGAACTTGAACCTGTGGTGGTAACAACAATGTCAGAAATTCAAGTCTACTGCAAAATTACATTGGCCATAAGATTTTCAACAGACTTACAGATCCTCGGGTGTTTGGAACTTCTCCCAGAATAGCCGCCAGAAGGGTTGATTTTCCGGAGCCAACTTCTCCACAGACCGCCACCTTCTCACCAGGCCGGACCTCCAAACTCACATCTCTCAGTGTAGCCTTTGCTGAAGAAGAGTTCTCTTCCCATGAAAAATCTGCCGACTTTATGCGAACGGCATAATCAGCACCACCCACATTGCTGCTCCGTTGACTGTGACTCGCATTCTGAAGCTCTGGCGCCTCGAGAAACCTCACAATTCTCGCGAATGCCACCTTCGCCTGAATCACCACCCCGATAACATCAGGGATTGACCTCACAGGCTCCTGAACCAGCCTCAACGTTGCCACGAAGGTGAAGACATTATTCGCGTGGAGTGGAACTTTGAGGAAGTAACAAGCTCCAAACGTAGCAGCAGAGACCAAAACGGGTGAAGACCAGAACAGAACGCCATTATACGCCTTCCTGAGCTGCACAGCTCTCAGCGATGTGTACTCAACTTCCCTCAGCTTCTCTATCACAGTCCTGAAATGTTTCTCCCAGGCATACAGCTTCAGCACCTTCATATTCACCAAAGCCTCCCCGCAGGCCTTCAGCCGCTCGTCCTGTGCCATCATCAGCTTCGTCTGATACAGATGCTGAAGCTTTGCGAGTGGAGCATTGCAGAGAACCGTCAGCACGATGATCGCCAATGCAGCGAATGTGGCTAAGCCGACTGCACGGAAGAGGATCACCAGCGAGAGGCAGAGCTGCAAGCTTGTGGTCCACGTCTGGTGAAACCAGAAGGGGAACTCGCCGATTCGGTAAGCATCTACCGTAACGTAGTTCATTATCTCCCCTGCAGAGTGTGTCAATCTGCCTGCGTTTGATAACTTCAATTGCTTCTTGTAGATGGCGGATGTGAGTAGAGATCGGACTTTCAGGCCGATGAGCCGAGACCTGAAGTACCATTGTCTCTGTGATAAGGACTCTACGCATTTGCACAGAAAAAGGGTTACAGCGAGCAGATAGCCTTCATATTGAAAGCTGGAGTTTCCTTCTGCGACGAGTATGAAGGAGTTGAGAAGCATTGGACCAGCTGAGACTGTGACTATCTTCAAGAAAGCAAAGAGCCCTGAAACTAAAATCTCTCTCGAGTGACATCTCACTATGGTCCAGAGTAATGATGGTGGTTGTTGCTGAGATGGCTTTTCGTTGCTAAGCTGTTCGAGGAAGTCCATGTAGCAAGTCTCTGCTCGATCTGCATGCCTTAGTTTGGGGATGTCGGTTTCCTCCAGCGTCTTCTCTCGGCCGATTTTCATGAGCGGATTCAGCCACCAGAATGACAAGGTGCCAAAGATTCCTGCTTTTGCAAACGGAGTAGTGAGTTCATCTTTTTCTACACCATTGCAGCCATTCAATGGAGAATACAGGCCATTTTCAGCCTCTTCATTGCTATCAAGCGCCTTGTAAGCGCATAACACCAACACAAAAGCTCCTGGAAGCGACAGCACATCTGCAACTACCTTCACTCCAACAACTCTATCTACAATTGCTGCAAACGCGGACAATCCACAGACAATTGAGGCAAACAACAATGCGGAAATGGAGAGAAGCTTGAGTGGGAATTCAGGAAGAGATCTTCCGCGAAGGCTTATGACCAATCCAATCAGCAACCATGTTGAGCCCTGGAGGAACAATGGCAGCCAGTTCTTCATCGGCAACGCGGTGTTATGTACCCTCAACTTCTCTTCCAGTATCCATACTCCTAATAACAAGTAGAAGAGACCAAGGCAGCCATTGAAGACTGCAGATCCTAGCTGCAACCTCGAATGAGCTCGAAATCGCGGCAGAACATTATCCATTTTGAATGGTGATGATGATCTTCGTATGAAGTTGAACAGGAGCAGAGCAAGAAGGACAAAGTCGAAGCAGATCACGATTGCTTGATTGGCACAAGAAGTGGGATGATGCAAGAACAACATGGAGATGGAATTCAGCAGCTGTCCTCCATCAGGAGTCCCCGTTTTCCCACAGAACATCTCCCACAAGCCATCCATGGTAAGAGATTCTCTGCATAAGAACCAGGAACCCATTAGTACTCCCACTCCCGAAAGAAAGATTGCTTTTACTCATCAAGTTGGCCAAAGGGTAGCAGAATATAGAGTTAGTACCTTACCAAGTTGGCCAAAGGTAGAATCTTTCTTTGTTAAGTTAATCGAAAATCACTATCTCCTGGAATTGCTGGCCAGGATTTGTAACCATAGAAGGTTTTGGAGCAGGGGGTTGCCGAATTTGGAAGCGTAAAGGTTGCTGCAATTTCTCTTTACCTTCCTACCGGGAATAAACAAAAGCAGAGAGGGGATAAACAAATTATTAAAGAAAAGGGTACGCGAGATTAAGAATCGAAGTACTGTGAGATCTAAACCAATCGGAACAACCGTCACATGCTAAGAATATACTTATGTCCACAGAAACAGAGTCATTTTAAAAATGAAGTAGAACCCATTTCTGGTTCAAGAGTGAGAATTGGGGAACCAGTCGAGAATGGAAACCAGTTTTTGTGATGAAACAGGGGATGAAGTAGACATTTGGAAGGTTGTGGCGTGGGGGAAGGAGAAGTAGCAAACCAACCGACCTTCAAAGAGTTAACCACGCAGATAGCATAGCACCCCTTTTCCACAAAACCGTACTTTGATTTCGTAAAACAGGGCAGAATCATGGGCGGTTAGGGATCGGATTGCGTCATGTAAATTCAGCCATGGAAAGAGGTTTGGAGTTTGTTGGGTGATGATTTTCAATGGCGGTTTTGCAGGCTGGCTTCCTGCCACTCGGTCAGGGAGAAGGGAGGGAGTGACGAGAAGCGAGCGGCGACGTGAGAATCTGAGAAGGCGAGCAAAAGGGTGAGACGCCTTTTATTTATAAGTGGTTGGTTGGTAGACTGGACGAAGGATCATCATCACCTAATTACGAAAGAAAAGGAAGAGAAAAGACAAAAAAGATGGCCACAAAATGATTCTTGATGAACAGAGGAAGAAGACGACGACGAAGACAATTGGCACACGGCTCGAATGTGTGCCTGGCCTTTTGTCTATCTTGCTTTTGTACTCTTTTCTTTTGATTAAAAGATCGAGAGATAGGAAAAGCCTGTTGGGATTCTGAAACCAACCCGAATCGAAGTTTTTCCCCCTTTATTCGTCAGGCAAAAAAGCAAATTTCTGCCTTTTTATCCGTTGAGAAAGCTCAGTACTTTGGTTAATGGCGATGAGAGAATTGCCTATGTCGTCGGATCCCTTTTAGCAACGTGTTTTCCTATCGTTGGATGGTAAACCGAACTAGTATTTTTGGATCGTGTATCCGATTCAAAACTCGATCGCTATCCACTTAACATAATAGTTGAATTTTCTTTAATCGAAACGTTACTGGTGATCAATTGAGCATAGAAATTACACTCAAACCAAAGGAACTTAAGCGGGTGCGAGACCGAGTAATTACAATGGCAAATCTAGGGAAGATGCCAACCCAGGCCACGACCCAGTGCTACTCTGGGTCCATAACTACCGAGCTAGTATATATATGCTTTTCTCCTAACTTCTGAGAGATACGTATATAATAATTAATAATTAACAAAACAAGAGCATTATAATATAATGTCAAATGCAATCAACAGAAAAGGGCAAAAATCATGCAGAAGGAAACAAGAGACGAGGAAATTTAAAGTAATAAGTTTATTATGGGATCGTAATCGCTGCCTCTCTCAATGATTCTGTCGTTGCTCGCCAGTAATCAGAGATCTCTGAGATTGCTATTGTTTAATAATGCACATTTATATTACCATACGGAGGAAGAAAAAAAAAACGGCCAGTTGTATCAAACTATCAATGGTCTGAATTATTTCAGTTGTATTAACGATAAAGGTTCATGCAAATTAATTAGCTTGAAATTATACCCAAATTATTGTAGGAGGTTCCGACCTCTTTATTAAAATAAAGCGAATTTCACTATGCGGTATTATATGATTTTATTCTACATCTAGCTATAGCATTAGATCGATATATACTTTTACAATATGTGGAATAGTATCGTATATGATTCAATTTGGGTTCGATATATGTTTGCTAAAGATATTTGGATCCTTGAAAAGTTAAGAGATAGGTCGAGTACATAAAATGGATCAGATCATCACAGAATCAACAAATGATTTACTTATGGGTGATCAAATTTCAATCATCACACGTTTCTTTAATTGTCATTTGTCAGGTCAATAATGGGACAAGCAATATCACCTTTCTTATTTTCTATAGAAAACACACGACAAAGAAGGAGCTCTCTTATATGGGTTGGGGGGAAAAACTCTAATAAGAAAACAAAGTTTCCCCCTTATGTGATCATTCGTTCTTTCACCATTCGCCGTTAATTCTTTTTATTTATTTTAAACGCATAATCAAAGTATAATGCATTAATTCTCTATTATTTTAAACTCGTGATTTAAATTCAATACTCCATAATAATAATTCGTCATATACATACTGAAGGTCCGATATAGGCCCATATAATTCGAAAGGTCCTATACAGGAGGGTCTCCGTCCACACCCACACTTACAGTACTACTACCGGCACTAATTATATTCTATCTGATATGATCTGCTTTGAACCAAACCGTTGCACATCCCCTGACTTAGGGATGGGATTAGGTGCTAACCCCTATAAGGTTTAGCACCGTGATAACTAGCAAAAAAACGCTACTAAAAATAATGAAATCACTACGGATTATTATAAAATCAATACAACATCTAAGCTAAATCACTACTAATTCAAACTAGTAGTAGTTTTCCCCTTGGTTAGGACGGTGCTAACTATTGTACAATTAGCACCGTAGCTGTTCCGCTTGACTTACCCAAATGCGACTCCAAGTTTAGTGTATGATGATATCAAAATCACAGTTGCAACAGGGAAAGTGAGAGCTTAGAAAAGGAAGAAAACAACAAAGGAAAGGTGACACGACCGATCGGGCAAAGAACCAAAGCAAAATGTCGGCTATACCAGTATTGTCAATTATTGCTTCATAATATGCACAGTTAGATTCCAAAGAACTAACGTACAGTATCGTCACCTGTTGCGTCATCTCCTTAGAGTAATTCACTAACTCAATCATAACTAGTAAATATTTCATTTAATATACATATATATAAATGTGTTTAAAAATGAAAAAAAAATCTGTTTTCGACTTTTTCATACAATTGACAAACCGTTATATTTTTTCGTCCATTTTGATTGCTCTCGTTCTAGACATGTATAAAATTTGTATAACACGTTTAATACCGATATTTAATGAAATATATAGATACTTTGAATTTTATTTATATATAATTTTTAAATTATTAATTTCATACATTTGTATTACTATAGATGTATTATTATTACGTAACATTACTTTACAGGCAAAATAAAGGATCCATAAGTATTTATGCTTAACTTATGCTTATCGTATTTTACTAACTATGAATCCAATAGCTAAAAATAAATATACAATTAGTTAGTAACGGCTAACTAAAAGAAGTAGAACGCAAGCGTTTGCTTTAAATGACAAAAGCTTGGTTGGAAAATGTTTCATTACAGAAATGGATCTTCACTACATTGCTTCTGCATGTAAGTTTTAACTATTTAGTCAAGTAAAATGAGTTAAGCAAATCTTTCCTTTTTCTTATTTTTTTAACAAAAATTTATTTTTCTCTATTTTTCAATATAAGTTTGAGTCAACTAAGAGATCTTGATCTGAATTTTTTCCAGGTATGAAACCGTTGAATCACTGTCATACCACAAAATACTCAATCATATACCGATTCGGTATTGACCTCCACTACGATCTCTTCCTTTTTTTTCTAAATGAAAAAATTCGTATTACATGAAAGAGATGTGTCGTCGTATTCAATTCGAAACTTGAGAACATTTGAACGACAATCTAACAACTGCCGCCCACACATTTTACATGATAGTCAAAATTTCCATAATCGAAGTTGCATGCACATTAACGATGGTGACTAATTACGCAGAATAATTACACTGAAACAAAGGTGCGAAAGCTGGTGTGAGTGAATTATTAGGATGTCGTCAGAGCTGACGTATCTGGCGATTGTGGCCTCATCTCACAGGAGGGTATATATGTTCTTTTGTCGACATGCTTTCTTAAGCTACGTATAATAATTAACAATATTCTTGATGAACAGAATATATTATTATTATTATTATTATTATTATTATTTTATGTAATTAAGGGAAAAGAGCAAATCATGAAGAAGGAGACAAATTGTAATTATGTATGATTATCTAATAGTGCTCTGTTGATCATAGCCACAAAATAATATAACCATACAGAGACAGAAAAAACGGTCAGCAAAGCCAAAAAAAATTCCAAACTCCAACTCCGGCCGGCTGTACACAAATTGCCCTTTTTCTGTTGTTTGTGTCGCAACTTGACCGCTCAAACGTAATCTCCCAAAGACATCATTACCAAAGATCGAATGCGCATAGTATAAGGATAGACGAGATTGTGACTCGTGAGAGCCGGTCCGCGGCTCTATTTCCTTCTCGGTCTGTATATGCACAATGTCAACGAACCACTCTTCTCGGTCTGTATAGCCACGAACGTCTTTATTTCTCAACGGAAGACTGTACCAAATGAAATGTGACGACACGATCATCGAGCAAAGAACCAAGCAAAATGTCAGGCGATATACACGAGTTTTAGTATTGCCAATTATTCCTTTTATAATATACACAGATAGATTCCAAAACCCTCTTCCCCAAAAATATACACAATGATGATATCGTACGCTAAGATACAACAATACACACAAGTGCATGTGGGCCTAAACGTCCAGTTTCGTCACTGGTTCAAGACTTCAAAACTTGTGTACTATATCTGGACAGGTGTCTTTGGTGTTTCGTCACCTGTTGCGTCATCCCCTCTAATTATTATATATATTGTGATAGTAAATCCAATAACTAAATTATATTTAATTAAGTAAAGTTAAAAAGCAGTTGCATGCATGCGAAATTTTTATCACGTTGGAATTTGACATCGGCCGGACGTAATTAAAATTAACTAACCTAGCTAGGAGCTGCTTGATTACTACTGTGGCCCAGAAACGGGGGACGGTTTGGGCCCAACATGACATGCAACGAGTTTCCCTTTGGCGAAGAATAAATGGACATTGGGCCCTTATATTCTATGACATTGGCTCGACTGGGCAAATCAAAGACCTTTTCTAATCAGTACGACATTAATTAACAATTAATTTCTCGATAAAATGTGCCAACTGCCAACGAAACATTTTACAACCGGACGGTACTGGTACGTAGACACATGCATGAGCATGATGGTCAGGCAGTGACCGAGAAAACACAACCATATGTTACTCATGTGCATAATTCCTAGCCCAGCCCAGCCCACTAATCAACAGATCAAGTTTGCAGAGTTGGTGGGCTCGGCATGAAAGCCTGCCCAGTCCAATGATCTCCAGTGGAGGCAGGCAGCCCATTCTTTTTTTTTTTTTTATATAGGAAAATGGGTACTAAAAGGGCACCCCTGCCTGTAGTGATGGCAATGGGACGGGGCAGGGCGGGTACCTCAATTCCCATGCCCGCCGCATGCTACTACTGGTCGGGGCGGGTAAAATCTGCGCGGGTATAGGATGGGGCGGGTCGACCCACTCTTACATGTTGTAAAAAAAAAATACAAGTAAATTTTACTTTTTACAATAAAACGTAGGGAAAAACACTTTAAGAATGAAAAATATTGATAATAGAATGGATAATTGAGCCTAACAAGTTGAAAGATCGACTCTAACTAGTTGAAGAAAAGTCAAAATAGGAGAAATATGTATAGATATTGTAAGAAATTGAGATAAAATGAGTCTAGAACGGGGCGGGGCGGGGCAGGGCGGGTCGGAAGTAGATACCCATGCCCCGCCCCACGTTACTGCGGGTCGGGTAATACCCGCCCCATCGCGGGTCAGGTCGGGTAATACCCGCGGGGCGGGTTGAAATTGCCATCACTACCTGCATGGCGCATTAAATTAATCTGGTTTGGGCAATGCCCATACAATCATACAGGACCCAAAACGAGAGGCCCGAATCCGAAATACTAAAACCATGAACTCCTAAACTGAGCTCATGGCCACGATTAACCAGATAGTCAGCCGCCTTATTGCATTCCCTATAAACATGAGAGATTTTCACTTCCCAATTCCGATTCAAGAGCCTCTGGAATTGTTTGATGAGAATGAGATACCTTTGGTCCTCTTGATCAGTGGTGGTGAGCAGTTGGAGCGCAGCTGTCGAGTCAATTCCCACCATTACTTTTCTGTAGCCATACTCCCAAGCTCGATTAAGTCCTTCTATTACCCCCTTTATCTCTGCTCTAGTAATGGTACATGCTCCAAGATTCCCTGAGAAAGCAACCAGACATTTTCCCATGTGATCTCGAATCAGACCTCCAGTTGCCGCCAAAGCACCAGGCTGTCGAACAGAGCCGTCCGATTGAAGGCTAACCCATCCTGCCGGCGGTGGTTCCCATGCCAAACTGGTGACCTCTTTCGGTGTTGATTCATCATTTGTGAGCCTATCACTTTGTTGGGCTTGTTCCACGATCTTAGTCCAGCTCTTTATTCGTTGGGCGAGGACTCCGGCATCGAACGTATTGTGTTGGAATATGGATTCGTTTCTCTGCTTCCATAGATACCAAGCTGCCACTCCGAAAAGCAAGCCATCCTTCTTTGAATGCAGCCTTTTCATAAACCAATATGCGAACGGGACAGCCACAGTAAGGTAGTCGTCCTTTATACCCAAAATATTCCATACATGTTTGGCTCTTGGACAGTTTTTGACGACATGCTCCGCGTTTTCTGGGCCTGCATTGCAAAAGCAGCACTTATCATCTGTGGTAAGCTTCCTCCTTTTTCTTTCCACGTTAGTCAGCAGCCGATCATGAGCAACGAGCCATAGGAAGTGCACAATTTTGTTCGGCCCCTTCCACTTCCAAATCTCCTTCCATTTCGGTGGACTTGTTGGATTTGCACCATCCTCCTCTTCATTTTGCAGCCACTCGACAGCAACCTTATATGCTGATTTGAGCCTGAAGCGCTCATCTGCCTCCGGTCCCCAGGTCGTGATGTCCTTTTCAAGCTCCGGGTCAGGAGTATCAGTACCTGCAATAAGGTTGAGGAGTTCATTAGGCAGATGTGGTTGTAAAACAGTCTTAGAAGACTTTATCTTTTCCATACACCAGATCAAGATCAGTGAGCGAAGGGAGCAAGATGCCAGTCGACTGCCTTCTATCGTCACGCCGTGGACCTCCAGCTTCCTGAACTGCGCCGCCGAGACGGAAGGGCCCACGGTGACGAGATTACGCCACCTCGAGCTGCTGACGTGGATTAGGTCGAAGGCGTTCAGGTCGTCCGTGTACTCGTAGACGTGAAGGTTCCGAGATCGTTCGCCGGCTCGGATGAACAAAGACTGATTAATGCTGTGTTACTGTGATCCACAAACGAAGTGTTTTCCCCGATAGACTTAGGGCGTCTTTACTTCTCGACTCCTGGGAAATATGAAGAGCATTAACTAATTCTTCCGATACCAATTAATTATATCATATTTCCTATATAAAGAACGCAGGAATCAGACCCGCCGGAATCGTAATCTGCCATGGTATGTGTATGCTTTGCTTCCCAAGTGGCAATTCCCATTACCCGAGAAGCCAAATTCCCTTTTAATTTTATTGGGACTAACAAGCCTGATGGATAACAAGCCATAATGTTAAACGTATAAGTTCAAGTCGTACCATAAAGAAATTGATACTATTATGTAATGGTACAAATTCAAGTTGTAAAGTTGTACCATAACATAAAGGTACAAGTTCAAGTTGTACCATAAAAGAATTTGTACAAAAAGTATAGGTACAATCTGAAATTGTACCATAACGTTAAATGTACAATTTTAAGTTGTATTGTACCATAAAGGGAAAACCTTATAGCACCAATGCTATATAGCATTGTAAAATTCCTCGATGGATAACACGACAAAAGATACTCATAGAAGAAAGGGTTAATACCCTAGTTTGGTCCGAAGTTTAGCGTTAGTGATAGTTTTGGCCTCATTTTTAAATAAGACATTTATAACATATTTTCAAAATTATTGGACGAATTTGGCCCGACATTTGGGTTGACCGTTAAACCTGATAATCAAACTTTTTCACCGTTAATGACTCAACAAAAACTGCTGATATGGCAATGACATGGCTACCACGTATCTTCACTGATGATTGACTAATCTCCCAAACTCATAACCCTAAATTTGAACAGCAGGGAGGCAGCAGGGGAGCTTTGTGCGGTTGGCGGTGTAGCGGAGGAGGCAATATTCGATGCTAACTTCCATAGTCGTTTGGCGGTTGCGCTCCGCAAGGGGAAATCCACAAGGGAACTCTTTGGAGGTTTCAATCTGGTGGTACGGAGGGAGGGCAGCGCACGCCGATGACTCTTCAGCTGCTCCGGGAGCTGTCGACTTACACCCTGTCTAGCATAGTTTCCTTCTTGTTGTGTTGTGAGAAGGTTTTGTGAAAATAGAAGCAACACAACACAAGACCAACACAACTCAAATAAAAAACCCAAATAAACGGAAAAAGACAATTATTGTGGTTGGGGAATCTGAAAATCAAAAGCCAGCAACTGCCAAGTCCGAGATGTAGAAACTTCTTCCCCATCCACTTCCTCCGACTCCGCCGAAACCCTTCCAAGACAGAAACCCACCTTTATCATCGCCATCTCCACCTTCCCTCTTGACGTTGTGCGGTCATCGACGCTATGGGGTCGTCAATGTTGGTTGGTGACGAAATTGATGGAGCGGGTGGAGGAGGAAGGAAGAGGAGGGTCGGGATTGGACGTTGGGGTCGACAGAAGGAATTGAGAAGATGGGCAAGGAGTGGTGACGGCGACGGAGGAAGTTATTCCGACAAGGCTTGGCGACGAGGACGATTGGATTGAAAAGTGGAGGAGGAGTGGCTACGGTGGCGCGAGGAGTGGTGGATGGTGGTGTGGAGAGATGGATGAAACGAAACAAGGAAGATGAATAGTGGCGTGGAAGAAGACATGATTGGTAAAGGAAAAAAAAGGAATAAAGGAAAAAGGAAACGAAACACATCCAAAGCCACTTTTTGGCGTTTCTCAAATTTGGGTCCGGTCGTGGAAATGTGTTGCACAACAAAAATAGAAAACACTACTAAACCTGTTTTTTTTCTTGGTTTTCACAATTCTTAAAAGCACAACAGAAAACAGAAACGAGCAACAATACTAAACGAACCCTAAGGGAAATGAGAAGGGCTAGAAGGTGAGGAGGAAGACTGGAGATTTCCGTTTTGGTGAGGGGAAACAAAGAAGATGGATCGAGAAGGCAGAAGGTGAGGAGGAAGAAGGTGGAGTCATTGAAAAGCGACGGGAGGAGTCAGGAGAGTGAATTAGGGATTTCATCCCTTTGCCTTCATCGTCTCTAGTTAGGGATGGAGTTAAATGAGATGGCAAGATAGAAGGGATGGAGGTGAAATAGGAATTTGAGAATTTCATCCCTCTACCTTTATCATTTTATTGTTTATTTTCATGTTTTATTTAGAAATTTTAACATAAATAATTTAACGAATTTTTTTAACATAAATAAATTATGCGGAAATAATGTGGACGACACGTCATTGCCACCTCAACACTATTTGAGTCACTGACGGAATAAATATTTGACCGTTAGTTTTAACGGTCAACCCAAATGTCGGGCCAAATTTGTCCAATAATTTTGAAAGTAGGCCATAAATGTCTTATTTGAAAAATGGAGCTAGAACTGTCACTAACGCTAAACTTCGGGCCAAACTAGGGTATTAACCCTAGAAGAAATGTAAAATCTCAAAATTTATCCGAATAAAAATCTAAAATATTATTTGTTGGGCTAAGTGATTCGTCAAAATTCCATGGTACCGTACCGGAGGTTCAAACACGAAATATCAGTATCGGAGGCTAAATCGGCAGGTGATATTTAACGGTCTAACGGTTGAACTACGATTAAACCACATTTTTATCATAAAATATCATACCGCTGATTTTTCCGATACGATATCCGATGAGCATGCTAAATTCCCGTCAATGAAGCAAGCCCAGCCCATATCTCCATGGAGACGGGCAAGGACCCTTAAATCGGAGCCAATCTTCTGGTTCTGGTTTAGTTCTGGCTGGTTTTTTCGGTTCGGTGGTTTATGCTAACCAAACAGCCAGGCCCACGAGTGAGTAACCGTTTTGCCTAGACAAAGCTGCTGTAAACTCAGTGAGCAGAGACCAACCAACCTCCTATTACCTTTTCCCCATCGCCGATCTTAAGCTTAGCTCTCCTCCTTGGCCGTGCCTGGCGCCGTCGCCGGTGCTCGGATTTTTCTGATGTTCGATTCCCGAACTGAAAAATTACAACTCCTCTTTGCCCCGGGAGGGATCGGAGAAGTGGAACTTCCGTGCTTCAATTGAGAGTTCGAATCGAAAATCAAATCGGAGAGAGCAGAGCGTCGACAGTTGGAAGAAGATGCTCGGCGGTAGTGCCAGCAAAGGGGCAGGAAGCAGAGGATCCAGCTCGGGTTATGGATCTAGGATCCCGACTCTATTGTTCTCGATGTTTGCTACTTTCGCTTCCATTTACGTCGCCGGCCGGTAACGCCCCGATGATGCACACATTCTCTCTTCCCTCTCTCATTCAATAGCAATCTGCAATTTCATTTTACTCTTGTGAGTAATGGAGATATTTTGGTGGTTGATTGTTCTCTCAATTGGTTGGTTGGTGGATGTTAGGTTATGGCAGGATTCGCAGCATAGGGTTTATTTGATTAAAGAGCTCGACCGGATTACTGGGCAGGTTAGGCAATTCTGGTTTCTTGCTGCTGCTAGAATTTTACATTTCCTCTGCTGCTTATAAGATACTTGAATGTTGTTAAGTGTTAGATAGTGAAAGCTAGTTGAGGATTGTTGCCATAACTTGATCTGGAAAGATAAAAAATCATGTAGATTACGAATTACAGACAATTACTGGGTTCTGATTTCAGGGCCAATCTGCCATATCAGTAGAAGATACATTGAAGATCATTGCTTGCAGGTTGTTCTGTTCTTTGATTTTGTTTCAAAACCATCCCCTTTTTTTATCTTAGCCTTGCTTCATGTGTTTGTTGATTCTTCAAAAAATGACTTCCTGCATGCTAGGGAACAGCAGAAGAAGTTATCAGCTCTAGAGATGGAATTGGGTTCGGCTAAGCAAGAGGGGTTCACTGCTGATTCTTTAGCTGAAAATGATGATACTCAGCCAAAGAAACGACACCTCGTAGTGTTAGGAATCATGACAGTATTCAACCATAAGAATAACCGTGATGCAGTTCGAAAAGCTTGGATGGGAAGTGGTATGGTGCCGACATACTATTCTGCTTCTGTTTCTTCACCCTTGAAAATGCATGTTGAGCCCTTTAGATTCAGTATTCTGGAATATGGTCAATGTGCTTTTAGTTGAATGGATGACTGAGAGTTCAATTCAGGTGCAACTTTGAAGAAAATGGAGATGGACAAAGGTATAACCGCACGGTTTGTAATTGGACGAAGGTATCTTGTGTTTGTTTGTGTGTTTTGCCTCATGTTTCTGATGCAGATGGAACTTCGCCAAGGTGATCATCTTGTTCTTCTCTCTTGCAGTGCAAAGCGTGGAGACACCCTGGACAGAACCATCGACAGTGAAAATAAGCAGACTGATGACTTCATAATTCTTGTAAGTTCATCATCATTGGTATTAGTTTCTACTTTCACTACGGATTTTCTGACTTTTCTTGGGTGGTCTGATATTGGAAGCTTTTGCTCACTCCTCCTGTGCATCTTTTTTCCTGCTTGTCTTATTCATCTGCCACAGGATGATCATGTGGAGTCTACTGATGGACTATCGAAGAAGGCTAAATTGTTTTTCGCCCATGCTATACATAAATGGGATGCAGAGTATTACGGAAAAGTGAATGACAATATCTATGTCAATATTGGTAAGTTGTTAAGTCGTGACTTTTCATGTCTTCAACCACATAGATACAACCAAGCCCTTGGTGATTATTGATGGTCTTAAAATCAAACTTCTTTTATTCAACCACAGATGCTCTGGGAGCTACTTTAGCAACCTTTTTGAACAAACCCCGTGCCTACATTGGTTGCATGAAATCCGGTGAAGTTTTCTCTGAACGGTGAGCTCCTCAACAAAATTACTTAGGAAGTTCCAAGTCGTCTTTGGATTGATCGTTCATTTTTAAGCCTTGGATTATTGGCAGGAATCACAAATGGTATGAACCAGATTGGTGGAAATTTGGCGATAGGAAATCGTAAGTTCTTTTCATCTGTTACTGTAATCCCCTTTTTTTTTTAATCTTGAAATCAGTAATCAATAGTCAATTGTCCTAACAGGTACTTCCGCCATGCTTCTGGTGAGATGTATGTCATGTCACGAGCTCTTGCTAAGTTCATATCCATCAACAGGTGAGCTTATATACCTCCATTCCTAGTTACCATAAACCTTCAGCTTCCTATGGTCCCACGCCCCTGAGAGCTTAATGTTTGAACGAGCAGATCTGTCCTCCGCTCGTATGCGCATGATGATGTCAGTACCGGATCCTGGTTTATTGGGCTTGATGTCCAGCATGTTGATGAATCTAAGTTCTGTTGCTCATCCTGGTCTTCAGGTCTCTCTCTCTCTCTCTGACAGAACTCTCGATGATTTTGTTTTGGCTTGGCTTCGGAATGAGCTACTGAATTCAAATTGGGGGTGTTTTCAGGAGCTATTTGTGCAGGAGTCTAATTCAAGCCTATTTCGAGTACATAGAAGCAGATGGAAGAAGAAACAGTAAAACAACTATGATACTGACAGATGACTGGTCTTCTATACAGTTGCTTTACCCTTTGAAGTTATGGTGATTTCATACTCCAAGTTTGACCTCGTCTATCGATACATATATACAGAATTCGAAATCGAAAAGTGAGATAGCAACGTCGAGAGCGTGTTGTATTTTCCTCGTTGAACTGCTTCTGAGTGACCTATAGTTGTTAGATGTTGCTGTAGTTCTTTGATTGTATGACACAGATTATAAGTTAGCAACAGACTTCGATATTGTGTTGGCTATCAAAGCTAAGAGTGATCTACAGGTGTTTGATCATTAAATCCATACCCTTCCCGTCCTGAACATAATTAAGACGATGCAGTCATTCAAAATCTAAAATCCACATCATTGTCCATTTGTTTTAACACAAATATACAAGTCTCAACCACTATTCTCGTGTTGCCACCCAATTTCTTTACCGAAATTCTTGAACATCTTTTCGATATAATGTGACTGACACAAAGTGATACCCACACTATATTTATTTACTTTGATAGCTAAAATAATATCAAGTTCTCCAAAATCTTCCAATTGAAAACATTGAAGTTAGATACTCCCTACCATCAATTATTCTCTTCATTCTAGTTTCTATTATTATAAATTCACAAACCACAAAGGCATATGATGACTACATAATCTATGGTGCACTCTAAATAAATGCACATGTCATCAAATTTATGAGAAAAATCCATGAGCCAAAACTTCGAAATCAAATGTCTCGTGTCATTACTTAGGTGTTTGCTTTAGATCATACAAAAACTTCAACAACATACACATCTTTCTTTCATTTCCAAACAACACGAACCTTTCTGGTTGCTCAATGTACACGTCTTCATATAAGTCATCATTTAAAAATGTCATCCTAACATCCATTTAGTGTACAAATATCTCAAGTCCCAACCAAGATTATTAATCCGCAGGAGTACCGTCCCTAATCCGGTGCTCTAACCAGGTCAAACCCGGTCAACCCCGGGAAAACCGGACGGTAACCGAGCACCGGGCTGGAAACCGCGGTTTGATTGAAGAGAATCGCAAATCGCATGCCTCTTTGTTCCAATTTCCCAATTCCGAAGCCCTATTCTGGTTTATCTAATCATCTTTCTCCCACAAACATAGCTTGCAGCGGCGGTCGAGAGTCGACATCACCAGCTAGCCTCGCCGGCGTCAGTCGTCTCGCGCCCTTCTCTGCCGCCTTTCCCAAGCTTATATAGAGCCAAACCCTAAAAACCTCGCATATGGAAAGTAAAGGTTGGAGAAGTTCTAAACTGGAATGTCTGTAGCGCAACGGCGGCGGGAGTGACCGCAGTGAGCTCAGTAGCCAGCCGCCGTCTTCTATGAATTGAAACGCAGAAAAACACAGAGCTGACAGAAAGTCGAAGAGGCATCGGGCAGAAAAGCTTAACCGGCCTGCCCCCAACCTAATGCCAAAGAGAATTCAGACGCTCTACTGAACACATAAACAGCATGCATAGACATCTGTAAGTTCTGTTACTCAGATTTTCGTCGGAGTCCCGTCTGGAGGCATTACCTTATTTAGTTTCCGACTTCCCCTTGTTCTTTTGGATGCAGAGGCAAAATTCCCTTCTTGTCAATTGCAAACTCCGTTTGTAGATTGAAATCGCAAGTTCATGTGAGTTCTCCGTCACTATTCCGTTCCTTGTTCAGAATCATTATCGAGTTCAGAGTGATAAAGTTTCAGAGTTCTGCTACAAGAGAATGCTAATGTAGATTTTGGGATTGCTTACTCCATGCGTGGCTCATTTCTTTTTTAGCCGGTTGCTAAATGTCAGGGACGAACACAACAATCTATTCACCAGTCGTGGTTCCCTCGTGCTTTCGCCACTTCATTTGGTAGGCTGTTTGTATGCAGCACTCTAATTTGGTTGGTTCATTGCATTTCTTGCAGTTTGTTGTTGATCTTATTTGTTATTAACAGCTTTAGGTCATAGGCTATATGAATGGTATTCTTTTTACAGTATGTATTCTGGTTGTTAGAATCTCAGTAGCCACTGCTTCAGGTATAAGCATCGTGCGATGATTCGATATTCATTTTATCATTAGCATACACTCAACGTTCTTATACAAATTGCTTCTCTTGAGGAGGGTTTTGACTACCATTCTTTCTTTATACAAATAAGTGTCATATCCCTTCATATGCATGGATTGTACTGTCTGTTTGGGTACTGGACCAATGTGACTCTCAATTTGACAATGGTTTCCTTTGTGTTTTACTATTACTGCCTTTATCAATAGTTTGAGACTCTGATAGGAATATGGTTATTTCCTGACAGTCCTATAGTCTCAGATGCAGATTATGATTTTTCGGGTGAAGGATTAAAAGTAAGGGAGCCCTTGCATCAGCGAATAGTTGATTCACTTCACTCGGGAAAAAGAGACGAGGCATCAAACTTTCTTGTCGACCTGGGCAATGCAAACTTTTCTTTGGGTGTCAATGACTTCATTGATATTCTTAAATATTGTGCACGGTCACCTGATCCTCTGGTAAGTAAATCAATAAGAAAATTCAGTCATCTGGATATCAGAAATGACGAACCAGATATTCTCTTTCAGATTTAACGTGATTGGACCGGAACTTCAGATCTAGCTTTTTATGCTCTGGTTTCTTATTGGAAACGCAATAGACTTTAAGAGAATAGATTTTGTTGGCATATCGCAACTGTTTAGCCTATTAGCATGGAGTTATTGTATGGAAAGTGTCTGGTCCTATAGGTATGACTTGGTGAAAAGCCGTAGTAGCTCTTTCTGGCACGCACATTTTGGCATTGTCAATGCTTGATTAATGAATCAGATTCAGGATTCAAGAGAGGAAAGTTTATTTTTCTCACTTCTACGTTATGTGCTATGTTGAGTGGTCCTTGGTATAGTAAGCTGGGTGAGCAACTTATCCACCTCTTCTAGTTTTTGTTCTCTTACCGCAGTTTGCCATGGAGACTTGGGCAGTCATGGAGAAAAATAATGTGACCCCAAACCTTAGGTGCTATATCCAAATGGTGCAAGCGCTTTGTAGTGGAGGCTATCTAAAGGAGGTAGATGCCGATAACTTTATTCAACAAAGCATTTTCCGTGGCCAGTGCTCTTGTTCATTTTCTATTGACTTTGTTTAGATGCATGGAAAGGGAAGATTTAACTCACTAACAGGTGGATGATAGGAGATATATCACTCAAGTACAGACTTCAGAATAAACAAAACTGTGATCCTTTTTCTCACAATGTCTGATCTTTTTGGCCTGGTCAACTTGTTTTTCCTTATCTGTGGTTTTGTTTACAGGTCATAGTAGCAAAAGAGTATTTTATTTTCTTCTGCTGCCAATTATATGGATGTTAGATACAGAAACGAATGTTATTGGTGGTCAACCATATCAAGAAATTCAGTTAGATCGCTGTGCTGTACATATGCGTCAATAGTATATGTGGAACTAGATTTTGTAGCAAATAATTAGGATTTTCCCTGCTAGAGTTCCCAGCTTGTTCTTTTTCAGACAGGTAAGATGTGTTCCCTATTCTCGGTTTAAACTTGGTTATAGACTACATCACATTGCGTTGTTGGCCAAGTTCATGGATGTTTATGGAAGTAATTATAAACCTGTCGGTTAAGTCTAATGCTCTGCAATTTGAACTGCATTGTAAGAGATTACGTGATAGGGAGCCCAACATTAGGGTTTTGATAGGCCGGTTGCCTACTGGCTAAGTTCATCTTGTTCTTCCTGTTTTTCACCCAACTAAGTTATTAACACTGCCTTCCTACCATTTTTGTGGATATTCTCTTTTTCCTCTTCATTTTGGATCATTGGATTTGTACACTCCAAATGAGGTTCTAAACCCTGGCCATTGGCATCTGGTTTCGGTTGTCCTAACTTCCTGTGATATTTCTTTTCCTTTTACTTTGTTCAGGCATCTAACTTGATCGCTTATGCTGGAGAGTGTAATGATGTCTACCCTGTTTTGACATTGTATAACGTGCTGCTAAGATCCTGCTCTAAAATGCAACATTTGGTGCACGTTAATGTCTGCTTAGATTTGATGGAGCGTAGAATGGTGGGGAAGAATGAGACTACATATTTGGAACTTCTGGAGGTTTGTAAAAGTATTAGCTCCTTTTGATGCTTTTTTATCTTGTTGCTGAATTAGCATTTTTGTGAGGCATTTGCTATCATTCTCATAGTCTTATCTTCAGCTTGCAGTTTGGCAGAAAAATATGTATGCAGTCCATGAGATCTGGAATAATTATATAAGACATTATACTCCTAGTATAGCGGCTTTGCGGAAACTCATTTGGTCCTTCGGAAGTTTGGGAGAAACACAGTCTGCCTGCAAAGCATTGCAGTACATGGTGACTGTGGCCTTTGTAGGATGGAATAAGGTGATCAGCTCTAGTGAAGAAAGCAACATATGGAGAGGCAATTGCAAAGGACGCTATTCTTCAAGATTGGACATTCCTGTCCCTTACAATTGTGACCTGGTTTCACTGGACTTTGACTTCAAGCAAAATAAGCAGTTGATTCCTCTATCATCGGATCATTGCAGTGCTTTTGGTAATGAAAGAGTTACGAGTAATGGGTTTGTCATAGATCAGGATGCCCCTGAAATAAAAACCCTGAAGTCCTCTTTTGATGAGCTCATTAATGTCTGTGCTAAGACTCGAAATAGTGGATTGGCAAAGCAGTTAATGTTGCAGGTACACAATCAACTAGTGTCATATGCATAGTTTCATTTTTCCCCCCATTGTACTTCCGGTTTTACGGCCATAATACCAAATTGTTCAGTGTGAGCTCATAGGATTTAAATGTACTCGAACAAATATCGATACTAGTCATAATTTCCTTTTGCTTTTTCTAAAGTCAAGGGGCCAATTGAATATCCTGGAATCGAAGTGATGTTCCCTTGATGAATAAGTAACAAGCTTTTGTTTTTTAAAATCGAATGAATTAGTTTGGTAAAAGTTTTTTTCGATGTAGTACCATACTAGAAGACTGTACGCAAAGAAATCTTGGGATCGTCTTCACGTAGCATGCGTAGCTTCTTGCAATGTGTTGTTCACTTTCTTGATGTGAATCTCTTGGGGTTATCTGGAACTTTTTGTGATGGAACTGGCCGTCTGGATACTGTAAGCAAAAAGAGGGAAAATGTGGCATGAAAGATCAAATGAGACGGCCTTTTTAGGATTCTATTGTCATGTCTTTTTCCCCCCTTTCTGTATCGTGGTTCTCGTGTTCATTCTCCATCAGCTTTATTTAAATAATGGGCATCATTAGTGTTTTTGGTACATTGGTGTTGTGATTCTCCTCTTCTATATGTTGTGTGTTCTTCAGCTGTGCTTTCTGTCTTTTTATCTAGATGCAAAAGATAGGGATACAACCTTCAAGTCGTGCGTATGATGGATTGGTTAGAGCACTTGCTCGTGGGGAAGGATTGACCGAGGGCATGAATGTGGTAAGAATATACAGCATATCCTTCTGTAATGAAACTTGTATTAGTTTTACTGGTTGACTTGGCATTCATGACTTCTGAATAATGGCTGTGATGTATACACAGTTAAAGCTAATGCAACAGAGGAATTTGAAGGCACACGACTCGACTCTTGCCACTCTCTCAATTGGCTGCAGCAAAAATTTTGAACTCGACCTGGCAGAGGATTTGCTGAATGAACTTTCTGCTTCTCCATATCCTTATCCTTGTAATGAATTTCTCCAAGCCTGCGATAGATTGGTGAGTCAATGTGCATTGCCATGATACTTGATCGTTTGTTTTCTCCTCTTCACACAACTTGAAGGTTGAACGTCTAGTTACATGTTAATAATTCTTATCTACCAGTACATATTCTGATGTTGCAGAATCAACCTGAGCGTGCCTTGCGGATGCTGGCTAAGATGAAAAAGTTAAACCTTAAGCCTGATATCCGGACATATGAACTGCTCATTTCCTTGTTTGGAAATGTGAATGCTCCATATGAAGACGGGAACTTGTGGTCACAGATCGACTGTTCTAAAAGAATAAAAGCTATAGAGAAGGATATGGCTGAAAATTGTGTGGAGCACAGTCGTACTTCAATTAGAAACCTGGTAACTACTGGGGCTGATGTATTTTCTGCTATTACCCAGATATTATACCCTTGCTAGATCTGACTGCTCCCATATACCTCTAAGCTTGACTGCTAGAAGTTATTGCCCTTACTAGGAAATGAAGAATTGCATTGTTTTGTGCTATGAAATTAACTAGAGTGCAAATGTATGGATTTTTTCTTATCTAGTTCTCTTTATTCTAAACTGAATCTGAAATTAACAACTGGGTCTAGTGATGCTGCAAAAACATGTAGCACGATGAATCTTTGGGAGGGAAAGGGGCACCTGTAGGTTACTTATTTCTGCGCGGACATCTGATAACTAACAATGTTGTCGTTTTGTGCGGTTTGTGTTTCTAGTAAGTGGAGGTTAGTCAAAATTAAAGAAAACTTGTCACTATTAGTAGATGCTTGTTTTCTGTATTTCTGCTTGTCAGTTGTCACATAGAGATGATGGTATATACATGCAGTAGTCCTTCTGAAACTGAATATAATTGACGGTTTCGGGAGTGACGGAGAAGTAATCTTCTCTTATTTCCTATGTACTTTTAAGAACAAACTCTGCGCTGTGTGCAAAATTGAGAACTTGAAAGTTTTTTGGAGCATCTTTTGTTGATATTTTGTGTTGTTCTCAGCTGAAAGCACTTGGGGCAGAAGGGATGATTGATGAACTAGTTCAACGTTTACGTTCTGCGGAAGACCTTTTTTTTCGTAACAATATTTATTTGGGTACCCCAGTCTACAATACGGCCCTACATTCATTGGTCAAAGCTAAGAATGTGCGTAATTTCTTTCAGCCATAATTTTTCTCTCTTGATGGAGTTGGTGGTGTCAATGTAACCCAGTTAGTTTCTCTTTGTTTCTGCTGCTAATTCCTTCCTGCCTGCTGACCTTTTAGTTTTTGCCTGCTGACCTTTTATTTTTTTGCACGGCATGCAGATCCATTTGGCCATGGAAATATTCAAAAATATGATGCTGAGTGGTGTCTACCCGGATGCTGAAACTTACAATATAATGATTGACTGTTCCAGTGTTAGTCAGTGTTTCAAGTCTGCTTTATCAGTGCTCTGCTTGATGTTGCGAGTTGGGTTTGATCCGGTAGCTGCTACCTACACAGTACTCATGAAGGTAAACTGTGTTTCTGCTATCTAAAACTTGTTTATATTGCAAAGTCTGTCATCTGGAATGCAAGCAGAGAACTGCTTACTGATAAGGGAAACATAAGTTGACTCTGTACTTTTTGTAAGTTAGGTGGAGTTGCACATGTAATATTCAGTTCCTAATAAAAGAAGTTTGTGAGATGATGTATCATATCCTCTTGTTTTTTTCCAATTTCCACCAAATTTCCAGTATACATAATCATTGCACTTGCTGTCTTCCTGTTTTAGCTGGTAAACGTAAAAAATAGGGTTGTAAAGATAACTAGTTGTTAAGATACAGAAAATGTTCGCGGAGATGTTATTTGATCGGGGACTTGGGACTTGTATATGGATCAGGGGCCTAGCTTACTGGAGTCAGCTTGGTCAAGATTTCTAATCTAGTTGCTCTTGCATGCTTTACAGATTCTAATGGATAATGAGGATTTTGATGAAGCTTTGATTCTTTTGGATCGCATGGGGCTAGAAGGAATTTCAGTTGATGTACTGTTGTACAACACAGTTCTGGATAAAGCATTCGCCAAGGTATAGCTTGTCTGATCCTCGTTGTCCCTCTGTTCAGTTTACAAACATGCTTGAACGTTGAGAAATGACTGTTATGGATTTAACTTTTATGAGCATCTTTATTTCAAATTGGCAAAGGTGGAAATAAATTATTAGTCAGATGACTTTTTATTTTTGAGAGAATTGTTGTTTTAAAACGTTAGATTGGAAACTATATTTTTTTATTGTTTTCAAAACAAACACAACCTTTGTCCTCACGAGTAATGTTCATTTTATTGAATCCCAGGGCAGAGTCGACATTACTGAATATATGGTTGAGCATATGCGAAGAAACAGAGTCCAACCAGATCCATCTACCTGCGCCGCTGTGTTCTCCACATACGTGAGACGTCAGTTTTATGACACAGCATTGCAAGCATTGACAGTGTTAAGCATGCGGATGATGCTCCGTCAAGAAGACGCCGTGCTCGAAGAATTGAAGGCAAAGTTCGAAGCCGATTTGGTCCTTTCTGAAGCCTCAGAACCTGAGTCGGAAATACTCGAGCATTTCACAACTTCGGATGAGGACATCCTCACTGTTGCCCTCTTGAATCTACGATGGTGTGCGATCCTCGGTTCCCCTATTTCTTGGTCACCCGACGAGACCCCATGGGCAAGAAGGCTTGCTGCTGACTACGATACCAGAAGGATGCTTGTTTGACCGATTCGAAGCCACATTTTTCTTCTTGACAGATAATAAAGCCGACCAAGTTCCAACGCTCTGCACTGGAATTGCAATTTTTGTCAGCCATATTAGAAGGGTAAGTTGAGAGTGCTAGCAAAAGAGTGCACTAACTGCTGACTAGTGTTTGTTTCTCCGCAGGCTGTTAGGAATTTCAAAAGAGTGCCAAATGACATGTTTAGGTTTTTTTCGACCTGATAATTTTGTTTATTCTTCATGTTGCAACTTGTAACTGATCAACAGAGTAAGAATTTTTCTGGTGATACTACGCGGATTGAAGAACAAAGGATCATCGAAATAGGCTCGACAATACGTGTAACTTGGTCTGGTCTAGTTTTGCATTTATGTCTACATGTGTAAGTGTAACGATGCAAAAGAGCTTTTACCTTGTAACAGTAACACTAGGTGGACTAGAAGCTGCAATTATATATCATGCACCGTTGCACGTCCAAAACTCATATCTGATCATGTCAGCAATTTTCTCTAATTCTAATCTAATATTCACAAAAATCTCATTTGGGTAACATAACACGGAGTAACTGTACATGGAAATGAAACGTCAAAGACTGATAAGCTGCGACGTCAGTGAAAGATGAACTCAACAAGTTGTTGAAGATGTACCAGCCAGCATTTCCTCTGACTGTCAATAACAACTTTCAGCTCCCTTCTTTTTCATTTCATTTGAGTGTTCCTGCTCTGCTCATCTTAATTAGAGGGAAAGAATCACTTCTCTCTGAGAATCCAGCTCGCGGCCTGGGAGCGCCAACATTGAGATAGCAGCTTCCAAAAGTACATGATGGGTTCTAGGTAAGAGAAATAAGAGCCAAGAGAAGAAGGTCGGCAATCTCAGTTCTTAAACGAGTTACGAAATGCTAAATAGTGAAGGCAAGCAAATACACCCCAACAAGAATTTTCATAAATCAAACCAGAGCAATGAAACATAAACCAGTGCTGAGGGTAAGAATATGCCCATTTATTGCTTGCTGCTCTAAAGCAGTGCTGAGCGGTTTGCTGTTTGCTGTTCTGAACCAGCTGCAGCTTCCATCGTACATTCCTCGCGATTTCTCGTACCTTGGAATCAGAGCAGGCCAGCAAGAGACGCTAGGCTCGAACACTGTCCAACGAGGAACAAGTTGTCTTAGCTCGGCGAAGAACACTCTAGTTTTTCCCCTGCTTGAGTCGCAGCACAATATACCATCACCCTTAAACAACGAAGTCTATTTACACCTTTTAATTCGATTATATGCAAAGCATCTTGTGAGACTGAAATATCCCACTGTGGGCTCTCAGCAAAATCAGAAACATTACAAGCAGCAGGTATATCGAGGCGGAAAGGATTCAACTCAGTATCTCGCAATTTAGCGGGAGACAAACAGATGGATTGAAGGAAGGAAGAGGAAGGTTACAAAGGTGTAATGGAAGGGCTTGGCAATGGCACACTACAACAGAGGGAGAAGCTCAAGGTAGGGAGCGACGAGATGGAAAGCCGTAACTCCTCTGTTTCAATTTCCCCCCTTTTCCTAATCTGATTAGGAATAGACCTTTCTACGCAAATGTATGGTTGGGCTTGGCCCACTTTGCTATGCTTTGCTTTGGTTCAATCTCTGAATTGGACAATGCTTAATGTCCAAGATTTCGTTTCCTTTGGGCCCAAGATATAACATTCTTTTCCCATGTTTTTGGTTTTTACCGTTGGAACTTGGAATGGGGTTAATCCCTATGTCCAGACCTCCTCTCTTCAATATTTCACCCTTTTATTAAAAAAAAAAACAATGCTCGGTTTGGTTTGCTAGCACCTAATGTGATTAGGAATAGAGCCTACCCAATGTGAGTGTGGGTGAAATTGATGGGTTGGTCTTAGCCCATTTGTGATTGAAAAAAAAAAAAAAAAAAAAAAACTTAGCTCATTTACTTTCATTCTCCAACTAGCCATTGGACAACGACCCACTTGGCCTATGAAAGAAAAAGTCATCTTCCACCTTGGCTTTTGGCTGAGCCCGAGACTTATCATGGTTCGGAGAAAGTTCATGAACAACGGCAGAAAAATAATGGTTCTCCTTATATATCAGAGAAAGTTCCTGCCAAAATTCATGTGACAGTTTACAAAATGAGCAATAAGGACTAAGTCCAAATAAACAACAAACTAAAAACCCAAAATGAGTGGCAACTGGCAAGCAAAGCAACAAGCAATGCAACTTATCTACCACTCTTTACATCCATTTGGCTAATCCATCAGCTGCGTTTTCTTATAAATCATCAATAAGCTTCTTACGCCTTGCCGCCAAATCATCCAGCTAATCACATTTATCTTTGCACACACGCTCAAAATAAGTGGCGAGCAAAGCAACAAGTAGTGCAACCTATCTACTACTCTTTACATCCATTTGGCTCATCCATCACTGCGTTTTCCTGCAACTCACCAATCAACTTCTTACAATCTTACGCCTTGCCGCCAACTCGTCCGGCTGATCACATTCATCTTTGCACACATGCTCTAAATGATTCCCAATCTTCGATCTAAATCTAGCAATTTGTGTGTCGATAACAACAATTTTGACCGAAACCGTTTCCTTCACAAACCCCCTTATCCAAACGTCCTCTCATTCTCATAACCATGAGAGCTTAAGAAACCTTATCAGTATCTACATCAACTTGACCAAGTTCAAGTTCAACATACTTTTGTCTTTGGCCCCTATCTTTAATAGCTTCATCATTAAGACCTGGATCTTCTACCTCATTAGTGCTTGAGTCGGATTTTAGCTGTGCAAGAAGGTCACTCTCCTTCAACAAGACGTCCCGCTTCTCCTGAAGCTTAACCATCAAATCATTTTTTGATGGGTCTTAATCAACCCTTAGTTTTCTTAGGAAGTCGTCAATGTACGTAGGAGCAGACCACATTCATCTTCTACTTTCAGTTATATGTTGTGGAATTCAGCTCTGAAGGTCTCTCAATATATTTGAACTATACTTTGACATGCTCTTTTCCACCTAACACATCTCACAATACTGCAAGATCTTCTCATCCATTTCTCCAAGTTGGGCAGAATCTATTGCCTTTGTGGATCATTAAAATCTAGATTGTTAAGTGATTCAAAAGATTCCCTCTGACTTTGTAAACAATCAACAAGCCCTTCGTCCATCTCATTATGGCAAATGGAGTAATTTGCCAGATATCTCAAGAGTTTGTCTGTATCAGCTGCAATATTTCCAACCCATAACATAATAATCATATCGAAATGTGAATAGATAGACATATAGTTAGATAGATTAAAAAACTTGGATAAGGGAGAGAGGGGTTGGTTTGTGAGTGGCATGAAGTTCAGTTTGGCTCTCTATGCTATCTCCCTTACCAAATCATTCATGAATCAATCAAATTCCAAAGTCAGTTTCTACCGATGGCTGCACAGAAGGCATGAAGAAAAGACATAGGGGCTAAGCCCCTCTGAAAGAAACCAAAATCAATTCTTGTCTACTACCTTACCTATACTATCAAATAGAGACCAAAACAAATGTTCACAGAAGAATAGAGAAAGATTCAATAACATGACCCAAGGCACTAATAGAGGTGTTCCTGGGTCTGAACAGAAGCACATACTTGACACAAAGCTCTTAACCAAATCTTACCAACCCTCTAGAACTTAACTCCTAATGCAATCCCCAACAAAACTGATTGAGTAGAAAAAAAAAAGAACGAACAAACCAGGAGCATTTGCAAGGATGAGGGGACGACGATGGCGAAGGCGCCCTCCCGGAGCGACCACGGTAGAGATTTTGTTCGCCGGATTTTTTTACAACTAATTAGGCTAACTCTTTCGAAGAATAAAATAGATCGATCACCAACTCCAAAAAAAATTCCAGTAGAAAAAAGAACAAACCAGGACTTGTGACGAGGGCGAGGGGACAGCGATGGCAGCCTCCTGCAGGGCGGCGAGAGTTTGGCGGTGAGGAGGGGACAACGTTGGCGTCTCCGCCCTCTTGCCGGGACGGTGGCGGAGTCTGCGAATCCGACATTGACTAAATGAAGTGGAATTCAAAGAAAATCAGAGTCTGGTGGAATTCTTGTTGGTCTAGGATGTGAGTAGCGTTTGGTAGCCAAGAAAAACGCAAAGGAAAAGAAAAGAAAAGCGGAAGCGAAAAGGGAAGCAGAAACAAAGATGGAGAGCGGGAAGAGAGAAAATTGGTTTTTGGATTAAAAAATGTGGAGGACCAATAGAAAGTATATTAAATCTTAATAAATGTCCATAATAATATTATATAGGGCTAATACCACTAGAATTACCAACATTTAGCGAAATGTTATTTATAATATGAAACTTTCGATATGAAACTTTAGACCCAATCCATCACTATGCTTCTTACCTTCTGCGCCTCCATCTCAATCGTCCTTCATCGGCGAGCTTCGGGGAATTCTACATCGCTTCTACACTTTAAATATTGCAATTCGATATACAATATTTGAACCATTGATATTTGGATGACGATTTTAAAATTATACTTCTTTTATAAGACACACGTCAATTGAATGAATTATTAAAGTCTCATTAAAAGAATCAAAATATGAAAATAGAAGTATCAAACACCAAAAATATATTAACGAGAGAGTTAGAGTGATAGCTAACCGTGGTGGAAAAGTCCTACGATTTTTCAGATTTTAGCTTCTTGTATATTTTTAATTTAAAAAGATTAAAAAAAATAGTGTAACTAGTTATGTTTCTTGTCTTTGTTTGAACAGACTAAGGTTCAAACCCCATTATTGATGCGTTTTTTCTATAAATAAGAAAATAATAAATGACTGTCAATACGACTCCACCCTTCCTTATTTCCCCCTCTCTTCAATATTTCCCCCTCTTATTAAAAAAAAAAGAATGTTGGGTTTGGTTTGCTAGCTTTTAGGAATAGAGCCTACACAACCCAATGTGAGTGTGGGTGAAATTGATGGGTTGGACTTAGCTCATTTGTGATTACAAAAAAGAAAAGAACTTAGCTCATATACTTTCATTCTCCAGCCATCCATTAGACAACAACCCACTTGGCCTATGAAAAAAAGAGTCATCTTCCACCTTGGCTTATGGATGAGACCAAGACTTATCATGGTTCAGAGAAAGTTCCTGAACAATGGCAGAAAAATAATGGTTCTTCATATATATCAGAGAAAGTTCCTGCCGAAATTCATGTGACAGTTTACAAAATGAGCAATAAAGACTAAGTCCAAATAAACAACAAACTAAAAACCCAAAATGAGTGGCAACTGACAAGCAAAGCAACAAGCAGTGCAACTTATCTACTACTCTTTACATCCATTTGGCTCATCCATCATCTGCGTTTTCCTACAACTCATCAATAAGCTTCTTACGCCCTGCCGACAAATCATCCAGCTAATCACATTCATCTTTGCACCCACGCCCAAAATGAGTGGCAAGCAAAGCAACAAGCAGTGCAACTTATCTACTACTCTTTACATCCATTTGGCTCATCCATCACTGCGTTTTCCTGCAACTCACCAATCAACTTCCTACAATCTTACGCCTTGTCGCCAACTCGTCTGGCAGATCACATTCATCTTTGCACACACGCCCCAAACGATTCTCAATCTTCGATCTAAGCCTAGCCATTTGTGTGTCGATAACAACAATTTTGACTGAAACCTTTTCCTTCACAAACCCCCTTATCCAAACGTCCTCTCATTCTCATAACCATGAGAGCTTAAGAAAGCTTATCAGTATCTATATCGACTTGACCAAGTTCAAGTTCAACATACTTTTGTCTTTTGCTCCTATCTTTAATAGCTTTATCATTAAGACCTGGATCTTCTACCTCATTAGTGCTTGAGTCGGATTTTAGCTGTGCAAGAAGGTCACTCTCATTCAACAAGGCGTCCCGCTTCTCCTGAAGCTTAACCATCAAATTGTTTTTTGATGGGTCTTCATCAGCCCTTAGTTTTCTTAGGAAGTCGTCAATGTACGTAGAAGCATACCACATTCATCTTCTACTTTCAGCTATATGTTGTGGAGTCTAGCTATGATGGTCTCTCAATATATTTGAACTATACTTTGACAAGCTCTTTTCCATCTGATGCATCTCACAGTACTGCAAGATCTTCTCACCCATTTCCCCAAGTTGGGTAAAAATCTGATGCCTTTGTGTATCATTAAAATCTAGCTTGTTAAGTGATTGAAAAGATTTCCTCCAACTTTGTAAACAAGCAGCAAGCCCTTCATCCATCTCATTATGGCAAAAGGAGTAATTTTCCAGATATCTCGAGAGTCTGTATGTATCAGCTGCAATATTTCCAACCCATCTTACAATATATTAAAGGGGTTTGGAAAAACCACCCCTTCCACGTAAGCTTTTCAGGCTTCCTCACGTTTCTCGGCATTTTGGGGTATTTTTTATTTTTTAATATTTTTTTCCTCCTGACTCCCGTTACCTTCTCCTTTTTATTGTGATTTTGCTATTTTTTAGTTTTCCGTTAAGGCATTGGGAGAGGAGGGAGATTGGAGATTGTGGAGATATGGAGAGAGTAGAAAAACTATAAGTTAATTTATTGTTTATTATTTATAATTATTAGTTAGCACTATTTATCATCCATAAGAAGTATTTATTTATCTAATTAAGAATAATTGTTTACTATTTACACCAAAAAATTGTTTACACATTCAATTAATAATATAAATTGTTTTTTTAACTATGTATAATTACTATTTGTTTTAGCCATGCAAAATTTAAGAAATGTCAAAAGACTTTTGGATTTGATCCAGTGTTACCTGGGTTGGGTTCTCACGAAAAACTATATATATGAGACTTTTTTTTGGTAATTTATTTTATGAGAAAATTTTCCATGAGTAAGTTCTCACCATAAGCTATATCATAATTTCAATATCTCAATTCTCAAGTTTAGCATAAAACATATCTCAATTACGAAGACATTGACATTTGCTATGTCAATTTTATGAATTTATCACAAGTTCACAATAAGATTAATATTATTCGAATGTGTTTTATACTTCTTAATCAGTTGTTGATATTGAGTAAATATGAGATGAATTTAGGCTGAATTATATGCTAGCAACATAAATTTATAATTGTCAAATCAATTGTGTCAACTTAATATATTATGAACCGAAAAAAATATGTTTGTTATTATTATTATTATTATTAAAAGTTACCCGGCCAATGGCCGGGAATAAAGCTAGTAACATAATAAACATATCGAAATGTGAATAGATAGACAGATAGTTAGATATATTACAAAACTTGGATACGGGAGAGAGGGGTTGGTTTGTGAGTGTGGCATGAAGTTCAGTTTGGCTCTCTATGCTATCTCTCTTACCAAGTCATTCATAAAATAATCACTCATATTCCAAAGTCAGTTTCTACCGATAGCTGCACAGAAGGCATGAAGAAAAGACATAGGGTCTAAGCCCCACTGAAAGAAACCAAAACCAATTCTTGTCTACTGCCTATACTACCAAATATAAACCAAAACAAATGTTCACAGGAGAATAGAGAAAGATTCAATAACATAACCCAAGGCACTAATAGAGGTGTTCCTGGGTCTGACAGAAGCACATACTTGAGACAAAGCTCTTAACTAAATCTTACCAACCTTCTAGAACTTAACTCCTAATGCAATCCCCCAACAGAACTGATTGAGTAGGAAAAAAAGAACGAACAAACCAAGAGCATTGACGAGGATGAGGGGACGGGGATGGCGAAGGCGCCCTCCCACAGCGACGACGATAGAGATTTTGTTCACCGTATTTTTTTATTACAGCTAATTAGGCTAACTCTTTTGAAGAATAAAAGAGATCGATCACCAGACATGATTATAAGCATGATAAGTGTATGGTTAAAATCCTCGTAAATTCTCAAGACCAAAGCAACGTAAGAAAATTACAACCAGACATGACGGAAGAAGATTACGGGTAGTGCTTATGAAGGACTGTTGAGGAAATGAGCCAATGCCTTGTCGGTGTCATTGTTATACATGACAATTGATGCATCCAGGAAAGACAAGTTGCAAGGAAAGACAGTGCAATCCAAGTTGGCTGGCAATCATTCTTGTGTATGTTAATCAAATAAGAGATGGATGGCATTCATGGCATTAACAGTGGCAAGCTTCTTGGAAGGGGTTCAAGTGATCATTGAATCCAATATAATCAAAGGGGCGATGAGATCATAATGCCTACCTATGCAGGGTTATCGATCTCCATAGTTTGCAACTGCAACAGGAACAGGAATAGCTTCTCGATTAATGCTGGATGCAATGTACTTGCTTACTATGGGATCTCCTCCTCAACCATGCATCACCAATGTGCTCCATCTTATCAGAGAAAGCTACTTAGCTTCCATCATTCCACGGACTAGTGTCGCCTAAAGATATGCTTCGTGAAACAAAACAAGATAAAAACTGTTAGTTGATCATGCCAACATCATAACTGGGATATTGAGGTTCTTCTAGTAGATATAAATACACTTTGGAGTAACTAATCGAACCACAGATACAGAAACGAGCACCTATGCTACCCATTTCGATTGTCTATTAAGATCAAATGTTTGAGTTATGCTGATAATGAGACGAAAGCTCTGCCCATTTTAACTGCCTATCAAGATCCAACGTTCAAGTTCTGCTGATAATGACACTGACACGAAAGCTAAACGATAGTGCACGCTATTATAAAATCGACAACGAAAATAGTAAATCCACTAGAAGGCTTCTACAGCCGATGAAGAATTTGATTCTACAGAGCCCTGAGTGGAGGAACATTCTCCAGCCCTAGCCTGCTCCGATTGATGCTTCCCTTCTCTGCTTCAGCCAACAGCTTCACAAAACAAACACCAGCTGCAATGTACTTGCTTACTATGGGATCTCCTCCTCAACCATGCATCACCAATGTGCTCCATCTTATCAGAGAAAGCTACTTAGCTTCCATCATTCCATGGACTAGTGTCGCCTAAAGAGATGCTTCGTGAAACAAAACCAGATAAAAACTGTTACTTGATCATGCCAACATCATATCTGGGATATTGAGGTTCTTCTAGTATATATAAATACACTTCGGAGTAACTAATCGAATCACAGATATAGAAACGGGCACCTATGCTACCCATTTCGATTGTCTATCAAGATCAAATGTTTGAGTTCTGCTTATAATGAGACGAAAGCTCTGCCCATTTTAACTGCCTATCAAGATCCAAAGTTCAAGTTCTGTTGATAATGTCACTAGCACGAAAGCTAAACGATAGTGCACGCTATTATAAAATCGACAACGAAAATAGTAAATCCACTAGAAGGCTTCTACAGCCGATGAAGAATTTAATTCTGTAGAGCCCTAAGTGGAGGAACATTCTCCAACCCTAGCCTGCTCCAATTGATGCTTCCCTTCTCTGCTTCAACCAACAGCTTCACAAAACAAACACCAGATGCAAGTCTAAATAAGGCTCGAAAAACATATCAAAGTCTGTTTCGATCTAGGGACCTGTAGATTATGGGCCCACCACACTTTTGCTGCGCTACTTTGATTATGTTGATAAATCTTTTAAACAAAATTTATTAAAACTAATTTGTTGGGATCTGAATATTGTATGCTTTATCAGACGTTGACCATAATAATCCTACTCCCTGCAAATCCTTCACAATTTATAATTGAACCACAGTGACATGTTCATGGAAAATGTTGTTTACGGCCGTAATGAAAGCATCATGAAACATAGACAAATTCGAGTATTAGTTTACAAAGTAGTAAAGAGTTTCGATATGAAAAGGCCGCAATAGAAAACATATATAGTTGACTTTGAACCCCCATCAAACAATGTAATACATGGCATGTGACATTCTTTGATCAAACATCAACATAATAAGCCATATATGGAAAATGAAGATGCAACACCAATTGTGTCGAGACAATTTGAACGGTTTTGTTTTGCATCGATTGGAATTGACAGGGGTGCGGCAAGTAATTCGAAATGATGCATATTTTTATGAGAAGTGACAATTATGAAGCGGGCCAAATTGCATCGTTTCGGAAATTCGTCATCCCAAACGATTCAATTAGTAATAAGCAATTTATGAAAAGAATTGTTAACCAGATGGAAACCAATGGTTTAAGGTTTCATATATAAAATATGATGAAATCATCATAAACTATAAATTATGTCGTCAATGTTCGTAACAACTACACATGATGTCAAATCGCAAATCTATGAATTCAACCCCTATAAGTCAGACTTGGAAATGCCTACCTCTCCTATGTCAAGATTTGAGGTCCATACTTCGTTAAAGTGTCTAATTCCTTCTCTATCAAGCTCTAAACTCGAGAAGCGACTTTTGATTGCCTGTTATATCGCATAAGAGCTTAAATTAACTGATTTAGCATGTCTTATTTTACTTAGAACTCGATCTAACAATTGAGTAAAATCAGAATCCACAACACCTGGATCAAAGTGACAATAACACGAAGATTAACACAACATCTAACCTACACAATCAAACCGACACTTTCTAATGCAGTTTCACAGTCACCCTGACAAGCATATAGTTAGTTGAGTGGCATTTAAGGGAGGAGAAAGGCTCTTTGTACTTTGTAATGGTAACCGGTAAGGAAGCAATAAGTTATCACGTGGTAGCCATTATTCTTCTGTCACCACCAACCCCTTATATAACCGCCACCGTTCGTTGGCTTTGGCTCCCGCCGGCCAACCGGAGCCGCCACCGGCGGTGACACAACAAGTCTCAAGCCAGAGTTTAGAAAGTACCTATATTACAGAGTTTATCTATAGGAGAAAGTTTCAGCATCAACATTCAAACAGTCAATTCTCCCATCTTAAATTCTGCCTCAGTTATTTTGCCAAATCAGTTCTTCTAATGCCATTTTCTCACACATCCATATCTCACTTCACCTTACACCGATTATAATAATGGGAAGGGAACATGTTCTTTGATAAGCCCTGCTTCCAGTGATGCAAAACTTCTCACCGTCCCCGCAATTACTCCTCCCCTCCCTCTGTCACCAACAACAAGAAATCAATCCAATAAAGAAAAAAGGAAAAGAAAAAAAGACTAAGGCAGCAAGCAAGCAAGTAGCAGACAGTGTTCCTTCTTCAAACACGCATCAATGGCGGCAGCAACAGAATCAAGTTGATCAGAGAGATGATGGCCCCATATATTAGGCCCGCAGAACAAGAAAGAAGCAGAGCAAGTCAGCTGATTTCCTTCCTTCCTTCACATGCTCTTTCCTTTTCCTGCGCTATATATTAAAAAACCAAGTCTCATTCATTGAGTCAAATCTCAAGAGAGGGAACACAGAACCCTGCATGGGTTGATTAGATTAAGCTTTCTAATCTAAGCTAATCATATGGTGGATTACTTTATTGTTTTATCTCACTTGGGTTTCCGCAGCTTCTTCTTCTTTCCATGTGATGCTTCTCTGCCAAGCGAATACAGCTCATTCTCGCCATTCATCATTACCCAATACATAATTTCCCATCTTTCGTCAACTAACTCCCCCATCTTTCCCCATCACTGTTCCTTTTCTGGGTTCAAGAGGGGCTGAGAAAATGGATTCACTGAAGATTGGATTGTGGGTCTGAAGAAAGAAAAAAAACAGAGATGGAGATCCCCTGCATTCCCCTGGTAAGTTTCTCTCTGTTTTTTCTGGTACTCTGTAAGTAGATAGCTTACTACCCCTTTTAGGTGAACAACGACAGACAAGGTGTTTTGATGGGATCCAAGAATTGCTCCCAACATCCAATTAATGTTTACGGCTAGAAAGTTTCGATCTTTCTCTCCAATTTTCCTACCCTTTTCTTTTCTCAGCAACCAAACGGAAGTTAGGCGATTCCTGTATCCAAAAGTCAACAAATTAGCTAGCTATACACCGGCATGAAAGCTCTGTCTTTCTTTCTTTGTGTTAGCTGTTCATGTTTGACTTGAACGGCAATGGGATAACAGCAAACTAGTTTTATTAGTCTTTTATGGGTTCAACAAAGTAACGTCTGTTCATCTATTCATTACAGTCATAAACTCCATTACTAAATACGACCTTTCTCCCTGGTTTCTTACACAGATGTGAGTCACCGACCAAGTTTTGCAGCAGCAGCAACAAGAGAAGGCCATGGTGGAAATGAAGATTCTTTCATTCATTCTCTCTGCATTTCTCATCATTGCTTCAGTTTCACTCCCAGTTACCAAATCCGAGCCATACGAGGACAAAGAAGCATTGCTAGACTTCATAAGAAACATTCACTACTCCCACTCACCAAACTGGGACACAAACTTCCCAGCATGCTTCCTCTGGACAGGGGTCACCTGCAACAGCGACAACTCTCGGGTCGTAGCTCTCCGATTGCCCGGAATGGGGCTCCGCGGCTCGATCCCTTCCAACACGCTGAGCCGCCTCTCGTCGCTCCAAATCCTCAGCCTGAGATCCAACGCGATCTCAGGCGATTTCCCTTTGGATTTCTCCAACCTCAGGAACTTGACTTCCCTGTACCTCCAGTCCAACAACTTCACCGGCTCTTTACCTCCTGACTTCTCGGTATGGAACAACTTAACAGTTCTGGACCTCTCGGGAAACCGATTCGACGGCAGCATTCCTCCTTCCATCTCGAAATTGAACCACTTGACATCTCTAAACCTCTCCAACAACTCCCTCACGGGCGAAATCCCGGACATCAACATCCCCAGCTTGCAGCAGATCAACCTCACAAACAATCACCTCACCGGCATTCTCCCCAATTCGCTCATGAGGTACCCGAGCTCTGCATTCTCCGGCAATGAGTTGTCTTCACAAATTGCAATCCCACCGGCCACCTCTGCTGAAACTCCAATTCCTCAGCCGGTGAGGAAATCGGGAAGGAAGTTGACTGAGCCAGCCATACTTGGGATTGTGCTCGGCAGCTGTGTCCTGGCGTTTGCAGCGATCGCGCTGTTGATGATATGCAGCTACTCTAGTACGAGAAAGGAGAATAAGAACGATGGAGGATTGCCTACCACGACGATTTCCACCGCTGCCAAGTCGAAGGACAAAGGCGAGCCTGCTCTGAAGCTGAAGAAGAAGGATGGTGGTGGTGGTGATAGTAAGAACAACAGGTTGGTGTTCTTCGAAGGGTGCAGCCTTGCATTTGACTTGGAGGACTTGCTGAGGGCGTCGGCGGAGGTGCTAGGGAAGGGGAGCTACGGGACGACTTATAAGGCTGCGTTGGAGGATGCGACGACGACGGTGGTGGTGAAGAGGTTGAAGGAGGTGGGAGTCGGGAAGAAGGAGTTCGAAGGGCAGATGGAGGTGGTTGGTGGGATTAGCCATGAGAATGTGTGTGCTTTGAGGGCGTATTACTACTCCAAGGATGAGAAGCTGATGGTGTATGATTTCTACGACAGGGGAAGTGTCTCTGTTCTGCTGCATGGTATGTGATTCTGAAACTAAAAATCACTTTCTTGGATTTGATTGTCACGCAGTTAACGATTTAACCGCTAATCGCGCCACTAACCAACGGTTAAGAAGGATGAGGGTCGGTTAACGGAAGTCGAAAATTGCTTATCGGGTTAGCACAACGAAACAATGTGTGTTTTGCAGGCAAAAGAGGGGAAGGCAGGACACCGTTAGACTGGGAAACCAGAATGAGGATTGCCATAGGCGCAGCAAAGGGAATCCTCTGCATCCACAGCACACGCCAATCCGCCGCCAAGCAGCTCGTCCACGGCAACATAAAGGCCTCAAACATCTTCTTAAACTCCGACAACTACGGCAGCATCTCCGACGTCGGACTAGCCACGCTGATGACTCCAATCCCGGCACCAGCACCAGCGCCAAACAGAGCATCCACAGGGTACCGTGCCCCAGAAGTAACAGACCCGCGTAAGGCGACCCCTGCATCCGACGTCTACAGCTTCGGTGTCCTCCTCCTCGAGCTCCTCACCGGGAAATCCCCAACCAGTTCCTCCTCTGGAGGCAGTAGCGGGGGCGAAGAAGTCGTTCACTTGGTTAGATGGGTGAACTCCGTGGTGAGGGAGGAGTGGACCGCCGAGGTGTTCGACGTGGAGCTTCTGAGGTATCCTAACATAGAGGAAGAGATGGTGGAGATGCTGCAGATTGGGATGAACTGCGTGGTGAGAATGCCGGACCAGCGGCCGAAGATGGTCGACGTGGTGAAGATGGTGGAAGGGATCCGACGTGCAGGAGGTAGTGTTAGTGTTAGTCCCGGAGAAGGTCGGGGATTCGGGTCGGATTCCGGCGTGGAGATCACCATGTCGACTCCGACCCCGCCGGGGTCGGATCGTGCCGGTAGCTCTTCAGCCATACATTAGATGTTCAATAATTTGAGTTTTGATATTCATTATGGGTGCTGGAATTGGTCACCAAATTCCCAGTCAAGACTGAGGCAAGTTGGGAGCTTGTGTAGGGTGTAGTCTGGAGGCTTTTTTTCTTCTTCTTCTTGTGTTGTTATGTGATGGCATGTGAGATTTTTTCTGAGATGTAAAAAAACTAATGGATTAGTTCTGATTCAAACAAAATTCACTTCCCTGCATTTCTGCTAGTTTGTTCAGTGGGTGCACACTGGAACTATGTAGGATATGCAGTGTTCCGATCTCGTCAATATTGAGATATCGTGGTATGTCATAATAACACGATAGTTTGACGATAGATTGGATTAGAGGAAACAATGTATGGAAACTACAGGGAAAATATGAATGAAACAGAGAAATCAGCATACTTGGAAGATCAGACTGTTTCAATGAGTAAAGCCAAATCCAAGAGTTCATCCCAGCTAGGACAAATTCTGGAGATTATTATCACTCTTTTCAGAGAGTACAAGCTGCAAAGTAATACAGACACTTGGTTCTATTAATGGACATGCAAAATCAAGAGGAAAAAGGGACAGCAAGCAAGCCAATTCCCATAGTTACAGTAGTACAAACAAATTGATGTCTTTATATATATGCAGCAAAAACTAATAAAGGTAAACAATTCTCACACCTGGTTGGCATCAATACTCTGAACAATTACTACATCTCGCCTTTACATTGATCTGATCCGAGTCACCCTATGAGGTGGTCTAAAAGTTATGAAGGATTGAGATTCGGAACGGGTTGCAGTCTCATTTCCTCAGGATTCTTGTTCTGACACCACCTGGGAAACAAACAGAGGGTCATCGAGAGGGGAAACGACCGGGATCAGGAGAACAGCAGATTAAGCAAACCAGAACATTGTTATCTACTAACTAGGCTGCATCTGTCATGATTTCGAACGAAACAGTTATAAATATATAGTCTATGAGTAACACATACCCTCCACTTCCTCGAACTGAACTTCCTTAGTCAAATCGGCAGCTGCCTGATACTCAATGCTGAATCATAGAACAAACAACTAAGTTAAGGGTATCCGCATGGAAACATTGCCCAAAACACAAAGAGTAGTTGTCTACAAAGAAGCCTTTCAATGCCTTGGATCAAGGTAGACAACCATATTCTGACCACAAGCAATAAAACAACTAGCATTGGTAGTAGAAGAAGATGGCATAGCTAAAGCACCTATAGAGCACCTAAAAGCCATACCCAGAAAGCAAAACGTCAACTTGCTAGCATAGCATCACACGGGGAGGGATTGGTTCTTACCTATTGGAGAATTCCACATCGAGCTCATAGTTCGAAGAGCTCTTGGTATGTTCAACTAAAACAGTAACGATTTCCGTCTTTCTGGTACTGGCCATTAGAAGATCATACTCCGTCGGGATGATGATTGCCAAGAAGTTATCACTCAGCTCACTCAAGCACAGCTTCTCCACTGCAGCCATTGCAATCCGCCTCTTGAGCACATCGTTCTCCGGATCAAGGATGTAAATCGCGAAATCGGTTATTAGCAATATCCGCCGCTTCATCTTCCCTGAAGCAGTGAATTTCAAAACTTTGTCCGCAAATAGTATGTGCTTATCTCCTGCAAAGAAACACAATGAAACATGAATTCAGGCTTGCACATTGTACAAAAATTCAAATTACTATTGTTCTGAATCACAGGTGCTTGAATCGATCAAGCTACCAAATCTAGTTGCTAGGCGCCAATTGCAATTGCAGGAAAGCCAACCAATTGTTCATTTCGAGCAACCTCGCATTCAATCGGACCAACAACAACAAGGATACGCAATCGGAAACGACATACAATGGCCATTAGATAAATCAATAAAGGAGCGCAATCGAAGGTAAACCGAAACCTAACCTTGTTTCTGCAAGATCTTCATCAGGCGAGGATGCGAAGGCACGTCGATGTAATCTCCTTTAACTTCTCTGTGGAGCGACGCCTTCCGTCGAACCTTGACCCCCATGAAGGGCTCCTGGTCGTCGCTCACGTTGCTGCTCGTCGATCTCAGCTTCGTCGCGCCTCCTCCTTCCTCCTCACCGCCTCCGTTCTGGCCATTCCTCTCGTCGTCGTCGTACTTAGGGTCGTCGATTTGGACTCGCCGGGTTAATCTGCTCATCGCGGCCGGAGGGGGGAAACCGAGCTGGATTTTTGTGGGCGAGAAGGAGGTCAGTTGAGGACCCTCGCCGGGATTCTTGGCGGCGGCGAAGATGTAATGGCGCGTTTGGTACGCGGTCTGTGAGCCAGCATGTGCGTAAAGGTCAACCCTCGGAAAAAATGGTCAGAGGCCAGCTCATCCTGTGCTAGCTTGGTGAATGGTGGTCAATTTTAAGTTTCTTAATTATTTTTTTACTGTTTTCTTTTATAATGTTGAGATTAGGGGTGTTCAAACGGTGTGGTTACTATGGTAATCGTTTTAACCAGTACTATTTGGATAATTTAGTTTGGTTAATTTGGATAATTGGTTTGGTTTGGTTTGGTTAAAGTTCTTTGAATGTTTGGTTTAGGTGGTTTGGTTTAGTTTCAGACACTCATAACCAGCCAAACCAAATTAACCAGATAAATAATTAGTCATATATCTAATATATACACATACTTAATACTTTGAATAATCACTCAAGAGTTAAACATTCATCCATTTTAGACTCATAAAATATAAAGCTTGATATTGTTCCTATAATGTATATTTGTACATGTAGAGTGTAGACCACAACAAATGAACGCCTAGTTTAGATAAATCTCATACATTATGTTGGATGAAAACTTGAAAGTAAGGTCAATTCAAACAAATACAACAATTCATTAACCCATACCATTGTGATAAATTTTTGTTAGGTGAATACTTCTATACTAGCCGTAAGATAATTGTCTTAGTTGCATGTATTTATGTTAAGGGTCAACTATAACTATGTGTTGATTGTTATGTTTTATTCATTATATAAATTGTGAATTGATAAATTAACAGAAAACTTTATCACTTAATGATAATGTGATTTTATATTGGTTAATCTGGTTAACCAATTAACCAAACCGATTAAACTTTAGTTTGGTTAATTTGGCTGTTGTATTAGTTTGGACGGTTTGGTTATGATATTGTATTCCATGGTTAATGAAATTTAACATTATTTGGTATGTGGTTTCGTTGATTTTGTTGGGATCCAATTATCTTTTTGTGAAAATATAAACCAAACGGGCATTATTATGTCCTGATTTACTCAAGGTGTACATTCTTCTCCTCTTAAAAGTGTAAATCGTTCTTTGCATTTGATTGATAGTCAGGAAGTATTGTCATCGAATTTGCCCCTTCAACTTCATTTTTTTATGGCAATGTTTGTAAACTTAAGCCACTAAAACAATTTGATTCATAATATATATATTTTTTTAAATGTCATTAAGCCAGCCCTAAATATTGCAATTGACCAACAATTTGATTCATAACACGCTATGAACTTGACGCCGTCCACGCAGGAGAACCCAAAGCAAACGACAACACGAAAGCAAAAAACCCACTTGGAAAACACGAACATTCATTTCCCCCTTATGTCCATCGCTAAAACCACAAATGCAATCCTCTTTTTTCTTTTTTTTTTTGTAGTTTTCCTTGTAATTGGAAGGATAAATTAAAATTAATCATTAATTTAACATTTCCAATTTAGTCACTAATTTCCCTTAAACTCTATTAATTTCATCAGTAATTTGGTTATGTGGCTGGCAGAAAGCAGATTAGGCATAGAGAAAATGAAAACATAGAAAAATAAAGGAAAGGAGGATTTATTCGGCGGCCACTTTTGGCTTTGGGTGAATATTTGACGTTAAGGCTGGCTATTTGGTCCTGGACTGTTTGGTTTTACTCGAAACCGGTTCTTATAACTCGGATCGGGACCGGACTGGGACCGGATAGCAAACAATGCAATCTCATATTTGGGCTTAGATTTGAGGTAAAAAAACTGGATAAGAGACCCCCAACACCTAAAATAAAGATAAAATTGGGACCGGACCGAATCAAGACCAGACTGTATCCAATCCAATCTTTGGTCCTTATATTCCGGAAAAGACCGGACTGGGACCTGATCAATTTGGTCCAATTTAACCGGACCGGACCGTATAGCAACCCTATTTGACGTAGAGAAAACGCTTAGATTGGGTCCCACCACACCAAGAATAACCCAATCAGAAGGTTCTGGAGATTCTGGAGTGGACGGCCTTCCTAAGCTCGCCTGCCATTTCCAAGCCAATTCACAATTTTTCTCCCACCATTTTTATTTATCCATCTTTTTAAAAAAAAATATTATTAATTTAATAAAAAGCCATTAGCTTACCGGATTCCCAAATACCTCCTTCAACTTTCCCCTTCTTCTTCTTCTTCTTCTTCTTCATCATTCAATCCCTCGCTCCAATCTCCTTCGAACGCCGCCTGGTTTTCTTCCTTTTCATCCAGAAGGAGGATCTGATCTCGAAGTTCGTTCGCTCTCTGGTATGAATTTCCTCTTTCCCGATCGCCGGTGTCGATTGTGGTTTTGTCTTCGTTAGATCTGATCGATTCTGTTGCGTTTTCTTTTGGGAATCTTAAGGTTTTCGGCGATGGCGTCGAAGCGTATCTTGAAGGAACTCAAGGATCTGCAGAAGGATCCTCCTACCTCATGCAGCGCTGGTAAATTTTCCTCCCTTAGTTTGGATCGACAGGGGCCAAAAAAAAAATCCAGCTCGGTTTGACTTTCCTTTGCTTCCTGTTTAGAAATTTATCACCAATTCATAGGGGTAGATTTCTTTTCCCGCCGTATTCGCCATTCCAGCTGGTGAATTTCATTCGTCGGTATCGCGATTGTGTAGATCCCTCCTTAGGCAGGCAGCCATGTTGAATGATGATTTGAGGCATTATAATGTATGTCGGCGACGACTGATGTGTTTGTCGGCCTTAGGGTTTTGGTGGTGCTAAAGTTCTGTTATGGTTTCTGGTTCTTTTGACCCAATTACCTGCAATGTTTGTGGGTAACTGTTACACGGTTTACTGGGGTCAACTGCTATGGTTTGATAGAGATTTGAACTAGGCTATTAACCTGTTCTGATCGCTGTGCCAAGAGTTGCAGAAAGGAATTTGATTATCAATGAATGTAATTCAAGTCTGCCGACGGGGGTCAACAGTTTGGCTCTACCATGGTTCTTTGTTTCGGGGGAAATATGCTAGGGTCGTGTCTTATTTGTTCATGCTTCATATGGACTAGCAACACCTTGTTTCTATTATTTATACGGAAATGCCATTTACAGTACGCAACTAAAGCGTGATCGACGGGATTGGACTGTAAAGAGGTTGTTACTATGCTAATGGCTTTGAAGCTGGCAGCACATTATTCATTGATAGCCATAGTCAATTGTGGGATTCCACAATTGTTTCTTCTTAGGGATGTCTGGTTTCTTGTGTCGTAGTTTTATGGTTTTATCACGCTGCACATGGAATGTCCATGCATCTCCTGTCCAAACCAGGAAGCTGCCTGCTTGAGTTTTGGATCTCCTTGCAACAAAATAATGACTTGTTATTTAGAGTCATCCTAATTCAAAGCATGAATTGATAATCTCATTGAGTTTTTTTTTTTTTTTTGGCAATGCTACAGGCCCTGTTGCTGAGGACATGTTTCATTGGCAAGCAACAATTATGGGTCCTCCAGACAGCCCTTATTCCGGCGGAGTTTTCCTGGTCACTATCCATTTCCCACCAGATTATCCATTTAAGCCTCCCAAGGTATCCATTTAGCTTTCTGTGCTGTTCGTCCATTGCTGTTTGGCTTCATGTGTAACGTCTTGTGATCAAAATCAATTATGCATCCCGTGCATGGAATAGTGCTTCCTGCATATGCATATGGTTTACCATTGTTCCTACTTTATCTCCCTTTTCCTCTCATCTGCAAAGCTGTGCTTCCTGCATACTTTTCCTGGTTTTAACTTCTCCTTTCCTGACTGATCTGAAAACCTTGTATTGTTGAAAAGCATTTAGATCTGGCGCGTTACATCATTATATTAACTCGAAAAATGCATTTGCAGGTGGCATTCAGAACAAAGGTGTTCCATCCTAATATTAATAGCAACGGGAGCATCTGTCTCGATATCTTGAAAGAACAGTGGAGCCCTGCTCTAACCATATCCAAGGTATTTGGCTCAGTCTTTACAAGCACCAAGTAATAAGAATACTATAAGAAACTAAATCAAATGCATTGCTGCTTGTTTCATCAATGGATGCTGATCTCTAAGGTTATACACCCCTCTGCTCTGTCATGTAGGTATTGCTTTCCATCTGTTCCTTGTTGACGGACCCCAACCCCGACGATCCCTTGGTGCCCGAGATCGCTCACATGTACAAAACGGACAAGAACAAGTACGAGACGACTGCTAGAAGCTGGACCCAGAAGTATGCCATGGGCTAAAACCAGGGAAGGAAGAAAGAAAGGAAGGAAGAGGGGTGTGTGATCAGGGGAAAAGGTTTTGGCTTTGCGAGGGAGGGGTGATTTTCTTTCTCAGTTGGCTGTTTGCCTTTTGTCCCTCTCTCACCCGCCTCTCTCAGTTGCTATGTATTAAAAGTCCAGTCGTGAATGGTGATGCTCTTGAAACTAAAATGGGCTAAAGTAGGCCCAATAACAATTTCCCTAGTCCCCAAAAAGCCTAACAAAAAGAACAAGAGCCAGGAAGCTATGTCGTTTATTTTCCTTTATTTTTTTCCTAATGTATGGATAATTTGATGTTGGAACATTCCAAAACTGTGTCCCAACTGTCTTGTTTACGGTTTCGCTTGTTCAGGGAACTGCCCGTTTCCTTGTTATCTAAACTCTAAAGTGCTCTGTTCTTAAGGTTAAGGGAGCCTGCATAGGTAATGATGATGTTTATTTGATGTATCTGATGTTCAACTAGGGGTGTCAATTCGGGTTCGGTTTTTCGGGTTTACCCGAAACCAACCCGATTATATGCATTTTCGGTTTTTTGGGTTTGGTTTGGGTTTCGGGTTTTTTCGTTTTGGGTTCGGTTTTGCTTATCGGTTTTTTGGGTTCCGGCTAAAAACCTCCAATGAATAGAACTCAACCTGTATTTTTAGGTGTTCGGGTTTTTGGGTTTTGGTTTTGCTTTAACCGAACCCGAACCCGATAAGAAATTTTCGGGTTTCGAGTAACTGGAACCCGCAAGTCCTTATCAGATTCAGGTTCGGTTTTAGTGATTTTCGGTTTCGGGTTTTCGGGTTTTTTTCGGTTTTGGTTTTGGCAACCGAACCCGACCCGAACCGACAACCCTATGTTCAACACAATCACCATTATTTTTGGTCTTATGACAATGTGTATCCAAGGCTGAAACCATCTCCTGATTGAAGTGGCAGGAATAGAACCCCCGTGACTTTACTGAATGAGCCAACTATAGGGAATTAGGGATTTACATTGATTTTAGGGTTAAAAGAATGTGGCAGTCCGAAACCACGCCGCACTCTCTCATGCCATTGAGCAATTTGAGCTACCACGAACGATACGAAGAGTTTATACGTTCTACTTGTGCTAAGATTTTGTATCGATATAGTTGGCACTTCTGAAGCATTCTCTACCAGGGGTGTTCAAATCAGTTTGGTTAAATTTTTTAGCTTGTGTTGGATTAGTTTGGTTTGGTTAACCAATTGGCCATATATCTCATATATTTTATATTCATATTTTGCATAACCACTCAAGCATCGAGTATTATCTCTCTTTTAGTCAAATCTCTAATATATTATATACACTTACTATCAGTGGCGGACCTAGGATTGTTGGAGAGGTGTGTCGCCGCTAACATAGAATAATAATAGAATAAAAAATTAAGTAGAAATTAAAAGAAATTAATTTATGAAGTTCACAATGTCATTTTACAACGAATCACGACGACTTTTCATCTGCTGAAATGTCTCTAAAATACATTCATCACTTATGCTGCAAAGCAAATGTTTTTCAGTATACACAACTTAACAATCATTTATAAACAATGATATTATACTCTAACCCCCAATGTGTGAACCGCAATCCCCAATTCACTAACCTAACATAAGATTCATTTGATCTTGAAAAATGAAAATCAATGATTCTGATTTGTCGAAATTATTGTTGAGTTTCATTTTAAGATTGACCAAATTTTGCCGTTTGGGTTAGAAAATTAGGGATTGGGGTTCACCCATTAGAGGTTAGGATATAGGATCATGCCCCAAAGTCCGGTTAATTATTTATCTAAATAGCAAAACCCAATTGCCATACGGTGGTCGGACGTACGCTAGCCTGAACTTATATTTATATATTTTGATAACTTATGACAATAAATTTCCATAAACACAATGGAGTTGTGTCGGATACAATGATCAGAGGTGTGTCGAAAATCCCGAGATCGAAATTTTAGTACCGACGAATTAGGGGTCTTTCACAAAATTTTCGGGCGGAGGTGTGTCAGATGACACACCTCCCTTGTGCCTAGGTCCGCCCCTGCTTACTATGATAACAATTTGTACACCCCTATATCTACGACGAAATTAACCCTACCGATTTTACGAAGGAGTGAAGGTACTCCAAGTTTGATTGGTGGGCTGGATGATGGGTGCCATGGGCTGGACGGAGATGGGTATGACTCCTGGGCTAGGTTTCGCGGCCCGTTATGAGATGGCTTGCACTTGTTGTCCATTTTATATTGGGCCGGGTTCATGCAATTCATTAGTTAAGCTACTCCATCTCTTTAACACTCGGTTTATGTGTGAGAGAAATTTAGGAAGGAGAAAGAAAATTTAGAGAAGTGAAATTTGAAGATAGTAAAATAATAAGAAGAAAATGATGTTCATATCTAAACGGAAAAAATATACCATAAGTGTAAGGATAGTTTTCACTTAAAATTGGGGAGATATTGACACTATAGTAGCTTTTTTTTTCCTCCAATAATCACCCCTTGTACTATAGCAAACCTTATGATAGGAGAAAGGTTCATGATTACTACAATTTTCTCCAATTTTTTCTCCTCCCTCTCTTTTTCTTCTTTCGTGAACATAGAATAAGGAAAATATACTCCATCATAATTCTTGCTATAAGCATGTAATGCTTATTTACAATCAATTGTACAAATGAGTTCGTAGGGGATTAACCTACGAAAGAGCTAGTCTTTACGAAAGAAGCTATTAACTTAAACGGATCTTTATGATAATCCGTTGAACGCGGTTTGTTATCTTTGTAAGTGACACCAACACCTAATTCATGCAGTCTAGTGTTTATTCACGTAATATTGATGTTTATTCATGAAAACACCAATGGTTATTCTCGCAAGAGTGGTGTGTTACTTACACAAGTTGTTATTTATACACACATTGTAGCATTTCAAATAACATCAAATTTTATTTTTCAAGAATATCAAAATGCTTGTAACTATGTAAATCACGATCAATACAACTTTTTGTATAAAATATAATAATAAAAAATTATTCGGTAAGTTATGGTCGATACAAATTATTAAGGGATGGAAAAATAAGAAAATTTCTCTATCCATGATAAAAATATTATTAAATCATAAGGTGTTTGAAAATACGAGAATTTTTTCTAATCCTTTACATATTTACGGGGTGCCTACATATTTCTAGTTTTCGAACAAGATACTGTTTTATCCAGTAACACCATCAAATTATTATTCTTATTTGATTCTCGATTTCTAAAAAAGCGTTATAGTTACGGATTTGAAATGGAGTAGAATGTAGATAGACCGATACTTTGGAGATACAACTATATATATACATAATCTTGAGAAAACTTTACTACTCTAAAACTCATCTTCCTCTTTTGAATAACAATTGTGTATGTACATTGACCTCTTTAAAAGAACACAACTAATATGTAGTGGGTAGATCAAAACCATTAATTCCCCAAATATATGCCCAAAGACCGGTCCAACCCAATATTGAAAGCTAACATGAAGTTTCGAAGACACTGACACTTCAAAATCCTTTTTAATCTAAATTATTCAGAAATGAAAAGTTTGATGAATTATATATAATATGGTCGTCTCCATGCTTGAAAATTAATGGAGACATTGAAGTGAAGAACATCTATGGAGATAATATAAACTACTCAGAGGCAAAAACAGCCCACTAAAGCAAAGTGCTGCTTCTTCAGACAGTTCACATTTACCTTTCTAGCCCCCCATCAACAATGTCCGCTGCAAAATTAATTAGCTTCAAAAGATCCACCAAATACAACCATTTGCCATTATGGTGTTAATTAAGTACACCTACAGCTTAATTACTCTGTAAGAACAGATTATATTCATTGATACAATGAAATAGTCTTGAATCTTGATCAAGTCCGCAAAGGAGATATCACTTTACAAATGTCATTGAAATTTGATTCCTACCACTGAAAATGTCTTATTGATTGATATCTATAGATCCAATTTTTCTACCATAAGTTCATGTAAATTGTAAAAAAATCCGCTACATCCAAGTGAACGCTTTACATACACTCTTCATCGCTTGGCCAAGGTCGAACACTATTCATATAAAAATAACTGTTCTTCCTCCAAAAATAAAAACCAATGGTAGACCCTTCTACATTGCATTAGTCTCTTTGAATGAGCAAAAAAATTCAAGATGTATCGACTTCAGTATCATAACGTGCCTATATTTAAAAAAAAACATCATCGGGTCTCTTTTGATGTAACGATGTTATTGAACCAGATGCAATGAATGCATAAAAATCAAATCATCCATGAATCTTCACATCAATCCATCATCAGATCTCCCTTGACAATGCACATACTATTAAAATTCACTCTCTGAACCTACACAGAGTCGCCTAATAATAATACGGGATGAGAACATCCACCGCTTTCTAAATTTGAATCTTAATTACTCACCAACGAAAAAGTTCATTTTTAAACATTTGGAGGTGAGAGCTAGCTAGTAGTCATGGTGTCCATAACCCAAAAAACTAATTACTCAATCAATTCATTAAGTACACTTACATAACATATGAAATGTTGACGACCCATGTCGATCTTTTCTTTTCCTCTCCTCATGTTCATATTCGTACCTTCAAATTAGCAGTGTCCATTAAACCGTACCGTGCCGGCGGTTCAACCACGAAATACCAGTATCGGAGGCTAAACCGATATGCGGCATTTACCGGTATAACGGTTGAACTACAGTTAAACCACGATTTTACCATAAAATACCCAACCGCTGACTTTCCCGATATGGTCTCCGGTACGGTTTCATGGACCATGCAAATTAGAAACAACTATATATTAATTTCAATCCTCTCTTTTTTTCTGCTTTTTTCCCTACGAAAGGCCAAAAAGGGCCAAAATAAAATACCTTTAATTTTTTCTTTTGCAGGTCGGGCGGGTCGTGCCCACGAGTGGAAGAGACAAAGCATGGTCCCTGAAAATCTGCAGGAGAGGGTTAGGTTCCATTAATAAGCCCTCCCAACAAAAATCTTTTTTCTCTACTTGACTTAATCCCACTTTAATAAGTTTTAATCTGAGATTAAATATACGCATTAATTATCAAGGGACAAGGTAAACCCTACAAACAGCAGAACACATTAAAGAAAGAAAAAAACCAGACACCATCTCAGTTCATGTACTTACTCCATGTTTGTTTAATGAAGAGCTTGAGATTCTCATCCTGTGTGATTAGCATTCGCTATGCAATTCCACGTACTCCACCATATTTGATTAGTGAGATCGATATTGGGTTGGTACGTACGGAATTTGCTTATTATTACATTTGATGATTAATGATAAACAATCTTTGTTATGTAATCTCCTCATCTGGATGGGTTGTAATCAAGTCACTAATTATTGTCTAATTAATGGGCTTCAAATGTCCAGGGAACACGGGCCCCCATGTTCTTTGCAAACTCATATTCTGGAGGACCTAAAAATTGGAAAAAGGAAAATACAACGGGAGAAAGAATTGCAGACAAAATACCACATGCCAAGCAGTAAGCAACTTTCAATTAGTCAGAGGAAGAAGAAAAGGGAGGAAAAAGGGAGAATAAAATTGTCTTTATAGCAGAAAAAAAGATGTATTTGTAAGTATAGTGGAACTCAGCTTGGTCGAATAACAAATTAATAATTCAAAGTTAAATTATTTTCCCCAATTTTAAGGGTTCTTTTGGATTTGCTAAAACCCATCATTAATAGACAACAACAAAAAAAAACGCTTAATTATATGGACAATATCTCAGTCTGAGTGAGTTCATGAAACATAGAGCACCAACTCCCTAAAAATTGTCTCTCATAAATAAATAAAGTATTCTTTTGTGTCACATTCTCTATTATTGGTAGGTACTAAATTAATTGGGAGATAAAAAGTATATAATTAGGACCATAACCAAACCTTTGGTTGTATTTATTAGCAGGATTGCAATTTTTGGTCTTCTCATTACAGCCCATAACAGCTTTAAACAAACAACTTCCAAGAAAAGTAGATATATATAATATATTAATATGCATTCATCATCAAAATATCCCCACCCATTAACATAGTGATCCAAATAGAGTTACATGTAATTTAGCTTGGGTTGTAGGCTTGTAGCTGCTCTTTATATTTGAACTTATATTGTTTCTACTTGGAGTTCATGTTGAAACAAATATTAAAATATTTCACGATAAAACGTTCTCAACGCTTTTTTTATAACATATTAGTCCAATATCGAGAGATTACATAATTTTTTATTCTATCATTTTTTTCACTCTATATCGTAGTATCGCCTACACAAGGAAACATTTAGAGTAAGTTTTGGGACCAGACAAACAGGAACCACATGAATTATGAATTAGTTATGGTATGATTTTTTGGACTAATCCCACTTAATAACCAGTGTTTACAAGAAGCCAAGATGTCACATTTTCGTAAAATAATCCCACATCATCGTCACATGGAGTTGATTAGACACGTGACTGGCTTTGGTCGCCGAGAAAGGCGCAATCGGCGCCGGTCACCGTTTTTTTTCAGACGTCTCAGTAATGTCGGGGGGGCGGCGGCGTCGACTGGGTCCCACCGCTAATTAGCTATATCACCGCTCGCAGGCCACCGTCGCGTCGCGGTGGCGATTGCATGGAGGAGCATGCGGCTACGTACGCCCGCTCTCCACCTACTGCTTAATTATTCCCATTTCAATTAGCGTATATATTCTAAACAAGATTGAAGCAATAAAAAAATGATTAGCTTATGCAATTAATATGCATATATATATGCTTTTTGGTTCAAGTTGATATTAATGGTTGTTTACGATACTATATATTATCTTGCAAAACTGATTCACCCATCGCCATCCAGCTCAATGAAGAGGCTCAAGAAACCCACACTTTAATTTGCTGTAATTGTTGAGATTATAGAACCATTATCATTTTTGCTTGGTTTGGTTGATAAGTTGGTTAAGTATTATATATGGATCTCTCACAACAACTCAAGTTATTGAGAACAATCGGTGTGTTCTTAAAGTTATGTGTTCAAATTTTCACGACCCGTAATATTAATCGTTGTCTTTCTCATGTGTATCGTCGTGGAGTTAACTTGGTTGCGAATTTTTTAAGCTTCTTTTTGGGCACTCATTTGCATCTCAATCCAAACTTCTTACTTATCTTGGTATGTAGCTCGTTACTGTACTGGTTGTATTTCGATCGAATTAGGGTACCATGGCACTTTGATTTATTTGATGCATCAGGTAAGATCACGCTTTTTTTAGCCTCCCGTTTTCTACAAGGAGAAAAAAATTATGAATGACATGTTAGCCAGACTGTGTTAATATGAATTCAAAACGAGAACAAAACGGATATGAAGAGATGGAAGAAAGCTCTATAATCATAATTCAATATTTTATCAAACTGTTTAAGGGATACTCGTTTGAAATAGATCGAAACCAATAATAAATCAAGCGTGTGTAGATCGTCCTGAAAAGTTAACATAAGAAAAAGGGTAAAACAAACTGAAGTATTGGAGAGATTTTTAATTAATTAGTGTGGTGGCTTCACTGAAATCTGTAAAAGTTCCATGAATGAACACACTTTTAGAAAAAATTGAATATAAATTTTCGTTCCTTTTTTATTAATTATTTACAGAAAGCTAGCTATAGCTCTATCGCTCGTCGAAAGATCTTTTGATCATTTGTATTTGACCATATATATACATATATTAGTAAACCATGTTCGTAGTATATAAGGCATGGCTCTCAATATAGTATAATACAGACAATGTTTGGAGTTCTTGGATTGTTTACTTTCTAGTGTATTTTTCTCGTTTTAGTTTATTCATCAGTTCTTCACTTAGGTTATTTAATAAAACGAAGAGCATAGAAAAGAGCAGCAGCAGCAGCACGTGATCTCACTGAAAATTTGAGTGTTATGTGTAACATAGATATGTACATTTCCTCAGTTCTCAACTTGGCTTGCTGGCCATGAATCATGCATCATAAAAAAAATAATTGTGAACAATTGGCAAAACCATTTAGACACCACGATGGAGCGGCGTAGTTTAAGAGTGTTTATAATCACGAAATTTAATCTAAAATTACAATGTATGTATTCATATTTCGAGAAAATATTAGAAAATTATATTGATTTATTAGGTTATTAGTCATTCTCATTCAAAATCGAAATTCAATCGGGAGAAATCATTACAGGTTCTTATTCAGTTTGCCAATGTGTATTAACTGTGTTTTTACTTTGTTACCAAGCCAAAGGGAAACATTATTACATCATAACCATGTCGTAGTTAAATTTATGCATAAAGAGATACCTACTATAGATATGGTGTTTAGCTCCTAGCTAGGTTGGTCATCAATCATCCAGAATATAGTTAATATACATGTGAAAAAGGGTATCGTATACCCGGAGTATGCACTACTGTTGGTGATCGATCTTGTCGTTGGATGTACTTTATTTTACTTCGACGAATAATAACCATTGGTTATTGTTTTTTTTATTTATTAAATTGATCTTAGTAGGGGCTGGACATAGAAAGTTATATTATGGTGTTCCCTCATTTAGGATGGCAATTTTGACCTGACCCGTTTTACCTGACATGTTTGACCTGTTTTGGGGCAGGGCGGGCCTGGGTACTCTCATCGACCCGACCTGCCCTGACCCGCCCCATTCTCGACCCGTTCTTGCCTAAATTACATGCAATCTTAGTTAAATTACTTAGAATTTTTCATTTATTACATGATAATTTAGATATAATAAAGTTGTAAATCAGTGAAAATGTCAATTTCTCTAATAATTTAACTACATTTATCATAATATTGTTTGTTTTCTTGGTCTTATAATAAAAATAACGAATATTTCTAATGTTTTTCATATTAATTGCATACCCATTGGGTCGACCTGCCCCGACCTGCCACGGGGCGGGTCTGGGTACCAAGAAACCCGCCCCGGACCTGCCCCATTGCTATTCCTACGGGCTCATTAGAGATTAGAATATCGTATCATATCAAACTAAGTTCTTTATGGTATAAATCCCGTGTCACCTCATTACGAGTATCATGGCTGTATGCTAGCCTTTACCAGGGTGATCAAATATTTAGAGGTTTGAATCTTTCTTCACACGGGTTTGAAGCTTGCACTTTTCACAAACTCTTCATATACATTGAATTTCAATGATGTATCACATATGTCTAATCGCAGGCCGGGTCCTCTCAAAATAACAAAGACCGTGATGATACCGTGTCGTACAATCAATCTGTCTCGATAACTTGTTTGAGTTCTAGCATAGTTTTTCTTCTTCTTTTTTTTGGTAAGATGGGTCTAATACTACTATTGGTGCAACAATCATGGCTTGCCTAGACTATGTTGTTAACTTGTGATGCAAGACTAGCTAGATAGCTAACCATATATGTTGGCAAATTATGTTGTCTAAGAAAATGCGAACCATGAATTTAATTTGTTTGCCGTTTGTTTGTTATATCGATTTCCCTGACCCTTGGGGCTTCTCTCTTTTTGGTGGCGATCGATGTTTCCCGATGAAAACTAAACTATCATGTGGGAGCTAATCAATTGTTTGGAGCAAAAACTTTGACTCACTTGCCACATCATTATCGTCCATTGAATTCCAGGCCAAATCTAAAGAAGAGAAGTGAAGAAGGGAAAGCTAAGCCATGCGCACGTGGTTGTGGCAGTGCTTCTATTTATTGCCACTTGCAAATATCTACCTGCTTTTTTCCATTGAATAATAATGAAGAGGTTGTGTACGTGCTTGCGAACAATATGAGGTGGTTTGAATGGATCAATTTAGAAATGAGTCAATTGTTCTCGTTTTTATAAAGGAGGTAATTAAAACGAGTCAATTCGAATTATCTGCCCTTCTCATGTAATTGAAATTGACTCAAAACGAATCAATTCAAAATACCTCAGGTAGATTGATCTATCCAAATTTTTTGCTAGCAAACGAGGCAATTTGGTACAATTGTCTCAAAACGAGACAATTGTGTCAAATTAATCCATTACAATTCCTCCTCTAAACGAGCCTATAGTTGCATATAGACCAATAATTATTATCACACACTGGATGAGACGCGGAACCCAGCCAGTAGTAAAAATGCTCTGGTCGATGATGAAAAAAGTGAATGATGAAAAGCTACCAATAATTATTATCACATTTGGGCCGCAGCTGGCTTTGCTTGCACCAAAATCGTTGATTAATGAAATGCACTGGTTTGTCAAAACAACAAAATTATCGCGCGACAACTTAACTTTTTTATCATGCGTTTGGAATTCATGTGATTATTTGTAGTAGTAAGTGATTAATTGAAAATTATTGTCGATCGGCTCTGATAATACACCGATATGATGTGATTTGAAGTGAAGTGAATAATATTTTTGTTTTAATTAGGGGAAGGTAAATAGGTAATACCTATTATATGAAAACCCTTAGAGCCATATGATTCTTTCGTTTGTGTTGAAACTTGAAAGATGAAAACACAAAAGGTGGCCTTTCAAAAAGAAGGAAAATGATACCTCCGTAAAAAAACCAAAAGTGGAAAAGAGAACAATGTAATATTTTTGTCAAGGTCATGGGAAAAGTTCACATCATTTTAGTTCAGTTCAATCATACATACTTGAGAAATTACATGGAAGAAAATGAACCCACACTTCAGTCAACAAAATGCTCAATATGACCATGTACGTGTTGAACAATCAATTGAACTCGATAATTTAAAGCAATAAAAGAAGTTTATAGAATTTATCAGGTCGTTTGGATGCATCATTTTGGTTCTGTGGTATTTCGAATCCAAATGATGCATTATTTTGCTATGTGGCATTTCATGTGGTATTTCATTTTGAAATGTGGTAATTGGTATAATTGCCTTGTTTGGATAAAACGTTCAAATATTGTGGTATTTCACCACTTAAAGAAGGGATGAAGTGGAAAAAAAGAAGTTGGGAGATGAGGTATTTGAAATAACTAGGGGGTGGGTAGGTATTTCAAATAACTCACAATGAGTTATTTCAATTGACTCATGGACAAAATACCACATTCTACTTTATTTTTGCCAAACGAGTTATTTTGATTGAAATACCTCATTCTGAGTTATTTCGACCAAATTACCTCATCAAAATACTGCATCCAAACGACTCGTATATCCATTCTCTTATACAATCGTCTCAGACTTTAAAGTCAACCGCGTGTGCTTCAAAATTTGTACAAACCCACACCATACATTGTGGCTCAATCAACTGTTAATATTGGTTTCACGGAGAATAGAATCGCAAAAACTTCTCAATCAAAGATTATAATTTCGTTGTCGAAGAATCCGTTCAACGTCAAACACCTTGAACGGTTGCAAAAGATTGAAGTATTGATCTTATTACCCATTTCCAGCCTCTACGTGTAAGTTCACATTTTGGAATTGTAGGGGGGGAAATGAAGTAATTAACGCTGAAGTTTGATGATTCGTTCACGCTTTAATTTTGTTGCCCCAATGGTATTTATGAGAGAAAAGGCTGCAGGTTATTAAAAAGGCAAAGGGGAAGAAAGAATAGCAAAAAAGCTGGCCGTGGCAAAGACGCCGGCCGGCCGGCCGGCCAACATCTCTTGCTTCACCCACAAGCCTGCTCTCTCTCTCTCTCTCTCTCTCTAGATCACTTCTTCTACAAGATACAAACAAGCATGTTAAGATCGATGTTGGGTTGTGGGTTTATATAATTAAATGTGTCTTCGTAACTTGGTCTTTGTACCGTTATACATGTTGGTTCTTCTTCTTCTTCAACTTTGTAATTTAACAAACATTATAGTGTCCTGAAATTCCGAGCTTAATTATGTCTATAGGTTTAATTAATTAATGTGATGTGATGATAATATGATATTATAGTTAAATATGATGCTTACGTACTAATTGTGCACAGATATTGAAGCCCGACATTATTAGTAATAAAGCTTCAGCATTGGCGGAGGAGGAGGAGGAGGAGGAGGAGGGCCCTTCTTTTTAGAATAGATCTCGAAAACCCTTTCCCTTACTTGTTTTACCGTGTCCTCTATGCCTGCGGATTCATATTCACACCATGTTTTCCCATCTAGTTTTTTACTTTTTACTTTTTACTTTTGTAGTTAGTAATCAAACATGTCTCGATAATATCGCGGCGAGTTAGTTTTGAATGTATACAAGGCGTCATATCGTCTATAAATTTGATGAGTGTTATTTGTAAAGGTTAAATGAAATATATGTACGTTACAAGTCGTTATAGTTGTGATTCGTAACGACGCATGGATAAATATCGTTGACCATATATTACTAGATTGGAAAGTTTGTGGTGTGCAAAATGTGTTGAATTGATCCCAGTGTCTTCTCTTCCCAATGTATATCTCTATTTATTTTTTTTGTGGTACTTGCAAAAATAAATAGAAACATAGTTCCAATAAAGGGAACCCAGGGACCATATTCTTTTTCAATCTGAGTGTTACTGATTCGGAAATGAAAATTTCACATCGACCGTCAATAGGTTTAGCTAAAACATTTATAACACGACCCAAAAAAAAAAGCTTCAACCAGGAATTTCGCCCAAGGAAGCAGGGGGTGCGGTAGCTACTGAATCCTCTACCGGTACGTGGATAACTGTGTGGATCGATAGGCTTACCAGCCGTGAAAAGGATGATTCATTCAGATCGACATGAGAGTCCAACTACATTGCATTGCAAGAATCTATGTTCACTACAAGAAAAACAGATTTTGGTGACAATAACTATTATTTGCTGCCATAAGCCAAAGATTTGTTGCTAAAGCTATTTGGTGCCCACAGTTCATCAAGAAAGAAAGGATTCACTGAGCCGGAATCACTAACTAAGACTAATCGAATACTAATAGAATAGAATAGAAAAGAACTGTATTTTCTCTATAATTTTCATGGTTCCATTCTTACTGCCTGCTTTACGCAATCGATTAGACCATATAGATATCCCTTCAACACAACATAGGTCATCTAAAATATCTCAGAGACCAACCAAAGCACGAAAGCCATGATCTTTTAGAAAATGGATTTCTATTCGAAGTGCATAACCGCATGGATATGCTCACACTAACCCGCCAATTCATCCTATTCAGATATTCATAACTCAGACGTATTGGATTCTCTTTTGGATATGCTCACACTAAAAGGAGAAATAAGGCTGGAATGCCAACAGATCTCTATGAATAGATAAGCCGACGACAATCCCTAAAACCTCATTCTTTCAGGTGTTGATGCACACATTGACAAGAGAGATGTAGTCTCATGGGTATGCACCGGTATACCAAACTAAACTCTAATTAAGCTGATGATGAAGATTGAGATCCATCCACCCTTGCCCATCTGCTCGTTTGGCCAACTGTCAGAGGTTGGGAGAGAGAGTGATCAGAGACAAATGGGCATTGACCAGATTCTGCACTTGCACTTGCCAATGTGAGGAATGAGAACAGAAGCAAGACAAATCAAGCTTGTAACAAGGCAAACATTACTGCAGTGAAGTATGAAAACAAGAAGCAAGACAAAGCCTTCCAAGTCCTAACCATGCAAGTAGGCATTTCAGGCAGGCTGTGCAAGTGTGTTAGCAGAGAGGCAAGTGGCCTAGCTGAGCTGGCTGGTTAGAAGTAAAGAATGCTCATATTTATGTGGTTCAATAATACGATGTGTGTTATCCTAACCCTAATCTAACTTGGAAATAAAAATATTACTAACGTGTACCAAACACATAACAATATATATATAAGCTCATAAAATGCAGTAACAAAAAATAATCTGATTTCAAATCATACCGAATACAACACTCCAAAATGCAACGATTGCCTCTCCCTTAATTTGACTTGAAAATTGACTTCATTAGCTCCAAATTACTATGTACACCCTTTTTTAGCATGTAAAACACCAAAGATGTAAAACAAAAAACAAATTCTAATTATATACACATATAATCCCAATACGTATATGGTTCATTTCTGTGGGTTCTTTTAGGATTGTTGAGAACCGTGACTTAAACCCAAACATATTAATTTCCCAACGGGAAATTAATTAAAATAATAAGTTTGATTAATAATTTAATATATTTAGCGACAGATGATTGGAAATAATTTGTCGAGCTTGGTGTAATTAGCGGTCATATAGTTAGTTTATGGGTTCACTTGGCTCAATGAAGGAGAGGGCCACTGTCCAAGAAATTTGTTACAAGCTTGCTACCTTGATATTTGTCCTCCCTTGCTAATCCATATGCTTAATAGTTAATACTCTCTCTCTCTCTCTCTCTCTCTCTCTAATGTCTATGCATGGACATGGGATCTCTAAACCCACACAAATATCAAGCCCTTCTAAATCTCGCTCTCTCCCTACAATTCTATAGTTTATAATTCTTCAAAACAAAATAAAAAATCTTATTAATGTCAATATTTTTAGAATTATAATGCATTAACGTATTGTTAAACAACTTGTGTCCGCATCGATCATAACAAAAAATGTACGCTAGATTAACATTAGGAGTATCGACTATACCGAGTACTATGTAACAGGATAGAGCATGACAAAGTATGAAATGATAGGAGATGCATAATAGAGTGTGGTAGTAATGTTCAAGCCAATAGGACCTCCTATTGGTTTAAGTATGATAACAACACTTAGTTTTGTCACCTTATCTTATCTCGTGCAACGTACTGTCCACAACTTTGATTATATATGAGAGACTTAATCCGCTGTAAATAATTTCACTCTGTTTTTTTTATGCAAGGCAAAATCCTCATTTAGCCACCTTCCATAAACATGCATTGGTGACGAAAGGTAAATTTGTGCTAATTGAATAATTTGGTGTGGTTTACATTAATTCGGAGCACTGGTCCGATCCTGTAGATTATAGGTCAACTGTCACCAGCGCTCTTGGAGCATTGTGTGGCTTAAATATAATGTATTACGTACGTACGTACATACGTGCGATACAAACCACATTCGTAGTAGAAAGTCACTCCGGTAAAATCATGATAAAAACTTTCTCAAATAAGTTCATCTATAATCACCTCAATCACCTCGAGCTTATAAGCTCTTCCCTTAACTTCTCCAATACTTTCACTTCTATAGTCTCATTCATCGGCCTTTGTGTTGCGTGAACCAGTAAGATGTTCTTAGTTAAGGCAACACGTTAACAAAGTACAACATCAATGGTCATCATCATCTTCGACAACTCCAACATGTGGAAGATGTAAACGTGGAAGTAATTAACATTGTACTAAGTGAAAAAGCCGGTTTAACACTTCCATCAGCCCAACCGTTCAATTTTAATTAAAAAAACGCCTTTTTCAAAAAAACTAGTTTTTAAGAAGAGAAAGCCAAAAATAGCTAAACCTCACAAAAGTTCCCATCACAAACTGTTGGAACATAAACCAAACCGAACTATGATCCAATCCGGCAATTTCCACAGCGAACAATTAGGTCCCAAACGTGACCGGACGGTGACAGAAAAAAGCCCAACCACCAATCATTCCGTGACACGTACATCAACCCCACCACCGCCGGCGTCGGCCGCCACGACCTACTATAATCTCCGTGTGGGTGAATAATGAAGTCTTCAATTTGCATGCCTAAAAACAAAAACAAAAAAAAAGGTCGGCTTTCTTTGTTTGATCCACTGTTTATGTTTACAAAGTTTTCGAAATACTATAATTATTATTATTTGCCTGGTACATGCTTCAATTAATTAAATTAACCCATAATTATTCGTTAATTGCTTATTAGTGATGTTGTTGTTTAATCAAGTCAAAAAGACTTGGCGATGGAGCCGTCCATGGTTGTCTCACTTGTTGTAGCACATGAGATTTATCGGCAGTTTACACGTCTTGTTTTGTTTCGCTTCGTTGTTTCATGTTTGTTGGTACTGCGTTTCATTTGGCCGACGGGATATAGCGTGCAATTTGCAATGTGCAGGCGACAGCCGACAAGGAATGGGGGTTTAAGGACCGTTATTTTGAAGTTCCATTGTAAGACAACTCGACATTTAAGACAAGTTTATGTGAACGTAAATCCACGACCAAAGTTTCACTCCTTGTGGACAAAATAAAATCTTAATCGAACCCATCGTTTACAACATTACAGCATAGTACTGTTCCATTTTCGTTAACTTCTTTCTTCCCATAGTTGAGTACAATGTGGACGTGTGTGGGTGTCAAAGAGAGGGAATCACACTTGTGTTAATTAATGTACAAACATGATATTTGTTTCCTAATCTAGAGGTCACATCCTTAAACCGATAATTTTAAATCTTATGTCGATGAAGACAGTCGACACGCTGATCGAGTTTTAGGGCCACAAGCATGATATTGTTTCTTGTAATCTAGATGCCAGATCCTTAAATCGAAAACCGTACGTATGTCGATAAAAGATAGTCGACTTAGCGAGTTGTAGCAACAATTATCGGTCGGCAACTTCATTGGCATGTATCATTTAGAGAAACTTCTTGAAGATGGCGGCTCAATAGCTAGATCGTTACGTCATTTAATAGTGTGAGCGGGTTGAAATTTTCTCAAACATGAAATTTTTGTTATTTATTTTTACTTACTCTCGACCGACGTCACACCTCCATATAACATGGAAGTGTGTGGGTGTCGATAGAAGGAACCACACACTCGCTAACTAATGCACACGCATATAATAACATTCCTATAGATTCATATTTTTAAATCGAAAATTATAAACCATATGTCAATAAAGACAGTCGAATTCAGTGGATTCGAACAATAACGATGCTTAACATATCTATTTTAGATTAAAAAAAATTCAAAATACGTGTACAACAGATCATTACATCATTCGTGTGCGTAGGTTGGAATAGGGATGTTCAAATGGTTACCATGGTTATTACCAAACCAAATAAGGCTAAATTTCATTAACCATGGAATACAATATCATAACCAAACCGTCCAAACTAATACAGCAACCAAATTAATCAATATAAAATCACATTAGAAAATTTTTCGGTTAATTTATCAATTCACAATTTATATAATGAATAAAACATAACAATCAACACATAGTTATAGTTGACCCTTAACATAAATACACGCAACTAAGACAATTATCTTACGGTTAGTATAGAAGTATTCATCTAACAAAAATTTATCACAATGGTATGAGTTAATGAATTGTTGTGTTTGTTTGAATTGACTTAGTCTTTTAGCAATTTTCATAGGCTGAAAAGGACCTTGCTTTCAAGTTTTCATCCAACATAATGTATGAGATTTATATAAATTAGGCGTTCAGATGTTGTAGTCTACACTCTACATATACAAATATACATTATAGGAACAATATCAAGCTTTATATTTTATGAGTCTAAAAGAGATGAATGTTTAACTCTTGAGTGGTTATTCAAAGTATTAACTATTAAGTATGTGGTAAATGCCACATTTGGTCACTGAGATTACTAAATCGTGTCATGTTTAGTCACTAGAAAAATTTAATATCAATTTTGATCACTCGAATTACCGAAACTGGTCACATTTAGTCACTTTTTCCTGTTAGTTTCCGTTCAACTCCATTAACTAAATGTGACATGTTTTAGTAATTCGAGTGACTAAATGTGACATGTTTCAATAATTCGAGTGACCGGAGTTGGACATAGGCTACATGAGAGTGATCAACTGTGACCTGTTATAGTAATTCAAGTGACCAAAATTTATATTAAATTTTTCAAGTGACTAAACATGACACGATTATGTACTCTCAATGACCAAATATGTCATTTTCCCATTAAGTATGTGTATATATTAGACATATGGCTAATTATTTATCTGGTTAATTTGGTTTGGCTGGTTAGGAGTGTTTGAAACCAAACCAAACCACCTAAACCAAACAAGCTAAAAACTTTAACGAAACCAATTATCTAAATTAACCAAATCAAATTATCCAAATAGTATTGGTTAAAACGGTTACCATGGTAACCACACCGTTTGAACACCCCTAGGCTGGAACGTACTCAACCACAAATTTTCTTGCCTTTTTTATTTAATTTATCGAGGCTGGAGATTACTGGAGACGACGGGAGACTTGCCCTCAGTTTATGGTCATTGTTGTCTATGAGGCGATTGCTTGATTGAAGGGCAATCGAAAAAATCTTGGACCATCGTGATCGTACGGACCAGTCCAAGTCCACGACGATCTTATTCCCTGTTAAGACTTTTCTGATCCAACGGTCTGGAGCTAACGGGTCGGTAAACGTACGCTAGAACCGGTCCCCAAATGCTAACCCGACCCGCCGGAGACCGGCGACGACATGTCCAAGGCGGGTCATGGGTCCTACGCGCGGCGCATATAGAGTCCACGTATTACGGTATTGGTATCAAAATAATTAATTAATTAACATTACGAATAATTTGAAGCGTTTCTAATGTAATTAATTAATATTTCGTTACGATAAATGGGGAGTTTGAGAGTTATAATCTCACGATTTGCGGGATATCATTAAGAATGATAATTGTTTTTTCCACGTCTTACTTGCTTGACAAGGAATGGTCATTGTAACCATTAAGTATCCTCTCCTTAATTAGGCTTTTCTGTTCCAACAAACAAACGTGATTATCGATTGAGGTTAAGATAGAAAATGGGTGATTAAAGTTGGTATGTATCCGATTGGGGTGACATGGTTAAATGTATCAACTCTGTATGTGACCGAATAAGTATGTAAACTATTACTATCACATCTTTTTTTTCCATACAAGAGGAGGGGGAAAAAGTCTATATAATTACTCGTATGTACGAATTTCTCTTTCCGTGAATGAATAACCTCTAAAAAAGGAAGATAAAAATATGTAAAATCACATGAAAACAGAAAAAACACGATGTTACTTTACTAGGGCATTTCTTTTGCCTCCTCGACAATAAGCGATTTGGTCGCATTCGATCATTACGTGTGGTCAGCGCAGTAAGTCATGAGAGTTTAATATGGTGTGATGTTCTCAAAATACCAAACCATTTTAGGAGAACGTTTCAAAAATTACGGTAGTGGCATTACTGTATGCACATGCACTTGCTCAATCTTTTATGTCTCAATACCGATATTATGAGTTACGACTTACGATAATCACTAACATATGCGCGTAAATTCCTCGTATAAGAAAATGAACGCAATCGGATTATATACGATATTATTATTCTGTTTTTTTTTTTTTTGTCGAGTTTAGAGGAGCGTGAGGCGCACGCAGGAGAAACGGGAAGTGAAAGAGGCATATCTCGGTCGTGTGAAATAAGTAGGTAGTGTAGTGTAGAGAGCAGAAAAGGCCCAGAGAGACGTGTAGTCGTACAACCAAAAAAAAAAACATAATTTATAAAAATTGGCGGCGAGTTCTAGGTTGCCGGCCACGTTACCCCACCACCAGCTGGCAGTGAAAAAGGTAAAAAAAAAAAAAAAAACATTAAAAACAAACGCTAAACAACAACAACAAATTAATTCCGGACTGTTAAATCTTCCAAGTCGTAACAAAAAAGGTAAAAACTATTTAAAATTTCACCCCGTAACGTCCCTACCACAGCGGATTTCGAAAGACGAGGTGGCCCCTATTCGAAACGGCCAGCTGTATAGTACGGAAGGGTAGAAGTGACATTTTGAGTTGGCGGGAGGAGGTTTTTTTGTAGTTTGACCGACTTATTTAGTTACTTTATTTACTTGCTATTATGAAAAAAAAGTTAAAATATAAAATCCCCATTTTAACCGGACCCGGGTATCTTGGGCCTCACGTGACTGGAGATCACGCTCCTCGAGAAGAGAGGGAAAGAAACCAAAAAGGCGCTGAGTCGGCAAGCCTACCAGGGTTACCCATTGGGCCGAAAACTCTTCTCAGTTCAGGCCCGCTGTGGGAAACCGGACACGTGGCGTTATAGGACTGCGCCATGTGGATGCGGCGGTTCGTTCTCATTGGTAAGTAAGTGGGGAGTTTGGGTTCGGGTCGTTGCCCGGAAACGGAATCTCGGCCCGACCAAGTAATTTACCTTCTCCAAAGGGAATTTTAAGGAATCAAATTTTGATTCAGTGTCTTTGTTTAACGAGTTAATTTGGAGTAGAATAGCCATCTTACATATCTTATCATTCGATCAACGTACTGTTTAAAAAAAAAAATGGTTGAATAATTATAACGAATTAACAAATCTAGTCGATGGTTTTCGAAATGTTGACACCCATCACATTTTCATTGTAGGCAAAATTTTGTGTAGGCTTTTTGTGAGCGTAGCATGATCTGTTGTTTTTTTTTGTGTGATTTAACTATACGTTTGATCATCAATATTTCATTTAGTAAGGTGGCGTATCAAAATCATGTCAAATCGAACACAATAATTTTCTTAGAAAAAACAATTAGCTCGGAAAAAGAAATCAAATTGCAAGAATTGTAATTGATCACCAAATACAGTATTTTGAATATTTGTCTAATGCATCATGGAGATAAGCTATATATAGTTCTTGTAATTCTCGGATGATGTTGTTTGGAAACTGGGAGATTTGTGGATTTCGATTGCTAACCCGTCCACTCAAATAGCCATCAGAGAACGAGAAAGATAATATATGGTTTACGTTTCGACAACCATGATTACGTAGGTTCGTTACTACATAAATGATTGAATTCGAGAGACCTGATGCCAGAGGAAAACAATTCTTTTTCCTGGTGTGACGCAAACAAACCTTTGATCGGAACACGAATTCAAGTTAGCCACTCGAGCCGACCTAATCGTAATGCCGAAAACGAGCCATGAACTCAGTCCCTTCGCTACCCCCTACTACAATCCAACCGGTCAAAATCGATGTATCATCCATTACTTTTTGTGGATGATTCAACTATAACTTTTTGATCATCAATATTTCATTTTATCAAGGTAAGCATATCAAAACCATGTCAAATCGAACACAATACTCTCAGGAAAAAAGCAACAAGCTACAAGAACACCCGGTTACAAGAATTACAATTGATCACCGAGTATTGCATTCGTAGTATTGTCTAATTGCACCAAATTCCAATCGACCCATTAACCAACTCTAATCCTCCACTCCAATTACGGTCCAACCGTAGGATTCATTACCATTAGAATACAACAATAGCCCCTCTTTACTTCTTAAACTGATATAGAAATTCATTCAAAATATTATTAATTACCCAAAGAAAAGAAAAAAACCCAATTATGGCTGGGAGCTGTTTTGGTCATTCCAATTCCGGCTGTTTGGGATTCCTATAAATCCCCCTTCCTACCAAATTCAGCGCTCTCTCAATTCCTTCCTTCCTTCAGTTTCCCCACTTCACACTTCCTTCCTTGCTTACTTACTCTGCCTCTTCCCCTTCTCTTCCGCACGCTCCTTTCCTTTCCCTTTCACTGATTCCCCTCCCCTGTTCCGGAAACCCACCGCTTCTCTTCCTTTTCAGGCGAACTCCTCCGGCGTGGCCGCAGGAAAAAGCCGATTTCTTTCCTTCCCCCGCTTTATATATTCCCTTTATTCTCTCCTAAAACCTCTCCAACTGGGTTTATCTCTCTCTCTTTCTCTGCCCCTTTTGAGGCAGAGTAATCCCCCAACAAGATTTCCGATTCACTAACGATTCACCTTGTCAATCACGACTCTTATTCCTCCCTTCCCTCCCTACTTTTTTGCCGCTTTTCTTCTTCCTTTTAATCCCCTTTCCTTCGATGCCCGGAGAGATTCCCGAACTCGGAAATTGAAAAACAGAGGAGGTGAAGAAGAAAAAAACAGAGTACCACCACAAGAGAGAGAATCAGTCATGGACGGGAGCTTTCTCTGTCCGGCGAAATACACAGAGCATAGAAGCTCTACCAGGAAGTACACGGCGAAGCCGGCGTCGTTAAAGCGGAAGAAGGCGAATAGCAACGGGTCCGGGTCTGTACCCGACCCGACGACACCGGAGCTGCTCCACCCGCCGAGGGTTGTCCGGATATCGGTGACCGACCCGGATGCGACGGATTCCTCCAGCGACGAGGAGGGGGAGTTCTTCGGCAGGCAGAGGGTGAAGAGGTACGTGAGCGAGATCAACATCGAGCCGGGGTTCAACGAGGTGAGAGCGGCGGTGGAGGTTGGGAAGCCGGCGAGGGAAGTGCGGCCGGCGGTGGCGGCGGTTCAGGGTGGTGAGAGGAAGTTCAGAGGCGTGAGGAGGCGGCCGTGGGGTAAATGGGCAGCGGAGATTCGGGATCCGGCGAAGAGGGTTCGGCTCTGGCTGGGGACTTACGATACCGCGGAGGAGGCGGCGATGGTTTATGACAACGCCGCGATTAAGCTCCGGGGACCCGACGCGCTGACGAATTTCGTCAATCCGGCTGTGAAGGGGGAAGAAACAGAGGAGGATAAACATCAATCCTCCGGTTACGACTCCGGTGATGAGTCACACAACAACAACAACATCGCATCGCCAACCTCTGTTCTCCGATTCAGAAGCCAATCCGCTTCGGAGTCCTCCGAGCCGGAAAACAACAAGCCCATTCCTCCGACGCCGAATTCAATCGAGCCGGAGGAGCCGATGTCTCTGCTTCTCGCCGAGCCAGTGGGAGAAGACGAGGCGACAGCTGGACTCCAATTCCTCCAGGAGTGCGAGGGCGAAAACAGCGGCGGCGGCAACCTCTACTCCTGCTCCGACGACTACTTCGACCAGTACCTCCTCGCGCCGGAGCTCTCGTTTTTAGAAGACTCTTCTTCTTCGCCCTCGCCGTTTGTCGCCGACGATTTCTTCAACTTCACCGCCTGCTGCTCCTCGCCCCCGACCAACGAAATCGTCGCCAGCGGGACCGCTCTACTAAAACAGAGCTTCTCCGACGGTGGGTTCTGCGACGGCGACATTTTCCTGCCGGACATCACCCAAGACATGATTGTTGGATCCGCCGCAGCGGCGGCGGCGTCCGCGTTCCAAGAGAACAATGACGACGACTATTTCCAAGACATTGGTGACCTTTTTTTCGCGGAACCTCTTGTGTCCCTTTGAGAAACCCAGAATAAAAAAGAAAGGGAAAAAAAAACCCCCCGAGTTGTTGTTGTTGTAACAGTCCTGCCGCCGGTTGGTTGCCGGTAATCGTCGGCAAGTTTTGTTCAACCGGCGGTGAAAAGGGACTGTAACGACTGAGTGATGATCGGCTATGGCTAGATTTTTTTTTTTTTGTAATTTCTCTTTTATTTAATGATTAATTTGTTTATGAGTAAATTAATGTCAGTGAGTGAGTGAGTCAGCTCTCCGTCAAAGTTAACGGAGCGGGGTGACGGTGAAGTTTTGTTGAGAAATGTTTAATTATAAATAAATATATGTCAAATGCAGAGTGTCATTAATCTCTTAATTATTTTACTAACTATGTGTTAGCGATAGTAATTAGTAGAAACGCCAAATTGAAAGGTTTGGCCAGGGTGGCATTCTTTTTGCCGCACACGAGCAGGCGCGATTAGCGGTTTGTGGCCGGTCGAATGAGTCAAGTCGGTGTCGCTGCTGCTCGTGTGTGTGAATTCGAGACACTCCCATTAATTAATTAATTTGTTTTTTACAATGTAATTAAGAAGATTAATTCGTATCAAGATACTCCAAAATTAAGGCTGACTGTTGACTAAAAAACCGTGGATACGAATGCTACGCTGGAAGCCCGCCTCTCGTGCTGCCGCAAAAAAATAAAATAAAAGCCTAATAATAATTACAAAATAAATAAAAAGAGAGGAAAAAAAAGGTAAAGAAAGGCTAAAAAGGGAGGAATTTGATTTTGATTCGGTCTCTTTTGCTGAAAAGGAAAATTTGTAATGAATGGGGGAAATTAATTAATTAATTTTTTTTTACCAGTGATCTTTTAGTTGTGGTGTGGAAAATTATTGGCCATGAAAAGTACTTGAGTACGGGGATTATTATTTATAATAGTGTAACCGGTCAAGTGTTAAATGTGTCGTACTAAAATTAAATGTAATCCTACAATTATTTTACTGGACGTGGGTGAATAATTATGTGAAGCAAGTGTGGGTTAAATTAAAAGGCTGAAAAAGGTTAAAGAAACCGGGGAAAAGGTGAACTACACGGAGTTTGAGAAATTGGGGGTATCGGGAGGGAGCGTGGAAGTAATTAGGAGGACTAAATTGTAAAAAAAAAAAGAAATGGGTGATGAAAAAGAGTGGCCCTGCAAACCATCCTGCGTCGTCGTTCAACAATCGCGACCGACCAAAACGCACGCGGGTCGCAGCTTTTTTTCATGTCGTTTTAATACTTGAAAACTTGGGCCCCGGCTGCTAGCCAGCCAGCTAATTTTTAGTGACTGGTCGGGCCAGTCGGATCCCCTCTAGCTTTGTCTTCTTACAATTCTTCAGTATTATTGTTAAACCTAATTTCACAGTGTCAAGTTCTACCTACGAGACATTCTGATCTTCATATGACGAATTAGTCAATCTCTCATCACTTACATACTAGATCGACACTCGAATTTTGAGACGATGTACGAGAAATTGATGAAAGACGCGAATTACCGGTAAATAATTTGGTGTTACGGTGGAAAGTGGGGGGACCCTAGCTAAGGTCACGTTGTGATGGAATTATCAGTGATAGTACTGAGCAGAGATACTTCTTTGCTTTGCGTTGCCATTACTCAAACAAGAAGATAATATTAACATTCTGGAAAAAAGGGGGAAAAAAGGGGGACACAAATTGAATAAATAATTGGAAAAAAAAAGTGGAGAAGAGGTCCTTCATAATTATTTCCGAACTAGGAAGGACACTTGTCTTGTCTCTAAGAAATTTTATGCGTCATTTAGCGGTCCAATTACATATACTACTAATAAATAATAATAATTTTGACTTGAGTTTATATGGGTAAGAAAAAACATTATTATGAGACTAACTAGCTAGAACAAGTGAGGTATTTGTGTCGTTCTCAAACTTCGATGGGGTCATTACGCATGTGGAGTGAGTTTCAAGCAACCATTAACATTAGTCACTAAATCTTTCTTTCTAATTCCCATTCGTTCTTTTACTATTTAGCATTTGTGTTACATGATGACCAATTTTTTTCCGATTTGGTCACTCGGTTTACAACTTCGGGAGCAAGAAAATAAACGACATTAAAATTTTTTGTATGTTGTGTTCTTTACAATGCTGGTTGCAGTGAGGATCATATCAGCTAGTTTGGAGTGAAGTTTGCTTGTGATCATCATATCCAACGTGGCTTATGATCTGCGATTACTAATCGATATTAATAACTTTTTAAACACAGATGATTGCATAGACAAAAGGGTACGTAACATGTCCGTACTTTTAAACTTCGACGTTATTTTAAATTTTGGACTTTTTTTAATTAGTTGGTTTAATTTTTATCGATATACTTTATCTGAAACATGTTGAGGCGAAACGGTAAAAGTAAAATTATGAGTACATAATGGATATAGTTTTTGGGAGCTAGGTAGGGGTAATTGTTAAGAGGAAAAAAAAAAGGTGATTAAGCCATGCCATGAGACAATGTGATTGGAGGGTATCGATCAATATGTTAGTGGGCCAAGAATATCCTTAAAAATCTAGGCTAAGATATACTACTTGCTTCAGTTCTAATCAAACCAATAGCAAGACATGCACGAGATGTGTATTAATCACAAAAAAGCCCTAATAATTGTGTCCCAAGAAACCTCTCTTCTCTCTCATAACACAATACAATATAAATATTAAGCTATTAATTTGAATTATTTGGCTATTTAGCACAAGATATAATATGTATATATGTGTGATTGTGTGTATGTATCCATCATATTGGGAAGTTTGAAACTAGATGAATTTGGGACGTTTCAGGATGTTATTTTAGACGTTTAATTAATCCCTTCTGTTTGTTATTGCTATGACTAGTGATTACTAATTCACTCTGGAGTGTGTCAGAGATGATCACCAACAGACATTCAGGATTAAGTTAGCAGTTTGTGTCGGAAATAAAATATATTAGGTTAGTGAAATTGGGAGGACAAATTGTTAATTGTTATCGTTCGATTATCGTCGGAGAAGTCGTCGTAACAGACTTTTCCCTCTCTTTCTTCTCCCCTCAACCAGTTCGGGTATATATACAAGCTAAACTTTTTTTTTTGTACAACTGTTACGATTTCACTAGCCGATTCTCAGATAATGTAATTTATTTTTCTCGCTCTCCGCCTCTATTACGTAATCTGACATGGTGTAGAAGTAAAACAAGGAGGATCGTTGTGCTGGGGAGAATTAACAATTTTAGGAGACAAATTCAGATTAATATACATATACATGATCATCAAGTTGATAGAGATGTGCCATTCCGTTGCAATCATGACTCAAACAATGATTGAAATTAGGCAGATTATCTGTAGAGAGAGGCAATCTGATAATAATAATACTATTATTAGTGATGAAATTAGGGAATTGGTCAATGGGTAAAAATAAAATAAAAAATAGTAAAAAAATATCTGAAAGGTTGAACGCATGGCACTCGGCCATAAAACGCAGTTATCAATCAATTCCACATCAGTAGTCCAATGACACAATACATAACAACCGGCGGCAAACTGTTGCAACAGAGATGTCCAAACAATGGTACAACAAGTATTCGGTTAACATCTTCTCATCGTAATAGTATCATGTTTCTCCCTAATTAATTTATTTCGAGTTCGACAGACGAGAATGTAAGTTGTTAAACAAGTTGGTCGTTCTTCACATCTGTATATAATATCATAGTTTTTGTAGATCATGAGGTCTAAGTGTCGTAGACAATTCGAGCAAACATTGACAAGCTTAGTTCAACCAAAATGGTACAAAGGCAAACTTCAAACTCACTAGATTAAACATTTACTTTTTTTTTTTTTTTACAAGAGTGATATATGTTTGAATTTTAGTTAGGTGCTAATTAAGAGATTCGAACCTGGAGTTTTCAGATTCACGATCAGTAGTGGTAATATCACTGGACAAAACTCTTGTTCGCGGCTAGACTTTTATTACTTGAGAAAGTGAATACGTGAATAATAGAGAAGTTATTGATGTATGGACCTCTTTCAAATTAAATATCACTCGAGTTATAACGATGTAATTCCTAATGATTGTTAGTACTAGTAATACGAGTTCATCGTATGCACTTGAAACTCATTATTAACTAGGGTACATGTGTGACTATAGTTTGTTTCTTGTATTAGTATTAACTATTAAGGCTAGATGTGAATTTGTTTCTCTATTGTTATTCATTGATTGATGATAATCATGGTCGAAGAAAAGTCCTTGAGTTTGATTTCACTTCCACTTTCTGGTGGCGGAATTTTCCAAAGGATCATCTCACTTGCCATTTCTTAATTAGACCAAATCAAAAGATTTAGTAATTAAAAAATGACCTGATAAGAACAACAACTACCATTTATATAGCATACTTATGTTATAAACCAGTTATTGTAATATCGTTAGATTAAGATCCTATTGATAATATTGTACGATTTTATTTCAATAACTATTTAAGAATGACAGAGAAGACGTACAATTCATAAACACACCAATCATATACAAGAGTACTAACAATCCATACTTAGAGTGAATATTTCTCTATTCCATGTTTCTATAATAATTTATGAACATAGAAAAAAATTTATGATGAAATTTAACCCTACATCCTTTAAGTTGAGAACCAACAATGATACCTCTGAACCAAACCTCGTCTATTTCGACATATTCATTTTACATCGACTAAGGGGTCGTTTGGAAGTTGCGATTGTTTTGTTGAGATTGTCATTATGCATGTATTGTTTACAATGCATCGTTTTTTTGTTTTTTTAGCAGAAACAATACATGGATTGTTTCTGTGATGTGACAGACACTATCACTCATTTTGAGTGATTGTTATATCTCAACTTTTAGTTGTGATTGTTGAGATAGTTGAGTTGAGATTGTTTTGTCTCAACTTTTAGCTGATGCGACATACACAATCACACATACCAAACGTTGTATTCTACAATGCATTAAATTCGACAATACATGTATAATATTATACATGCATTCTCAACAATACATTTATTTAACAATCGCAACTTCTAAACGACTCCTAAAAATGTGAATCTCATGTGTGTTTTGCTTTTCCTGTTTTGGTCTTTTGTGTCTCCGCAATTTCCCACTTCCTTTCCATTTTCATTTCTTAATGTCTTATCAGCTTATTATCAATCCTTTTAAGTTATTCCCTTTTCCCACGTCATTGCTAAGGTTGGAATTGTGGACAAACACGAAAAACTTTACATATATATATATATATATATAAAATTAACTTAATTAGGACTTAGGAGTTAGGAGGACCATTCATTGGTAGTTATA